AATGACCTTAGTACGACTTGAGCTCATCATGTTGCATTCAACCATCAGACGGCGCGGCCATACGTCCGACCGACGAAAATGGCAAACGTATCCCAGTATCGAAGCTCAGTACAGAGAAGCAGGAAGAGCTTCGTGCATATAGTGAGTATAACTCGTTTGCAATCAGCCACTCTCTGCAAGACGAGAGACACTGTACTCGTACATTGCACAGTCTGATACCATGGTCATTATAGACGCTCAGAGAAATCAAGAATTCAGACATCGCGCCCATGAGAGAAATGTGGCACTGGGGGACGAGCTTGAAAGGTTGAAATCAATCGATTTTGTATCTGGATTGGAGGACGATTTCCCTTCTCTTCCTGAGGAGTCTCTCACCAAACCGCTCACCGAAGAGCAGTTGGAATCGCTATCCAAAGAGTTCGGCGAAATATGCTGGGAAAACAATTTCTCGCAGCAACAAGATCCGAGCGCTGACCATTAGTGACATATATACACCACTACCGGCCTTGGCAAATACACCACCACAGTAGGATGCATATTATGCAAATGGCAGGCTCCAGTAAAGGAAAGAGGATGATGGTATGCATAGAGTTGAAACCATCTGAGGCGTCTCTCAATCAAGGGACTTGGACCCATGATCTGATGCAATACCGACGACTTGAAGAAATTGCGTGTCCGCTCACTTGGATCTTCTCTAGATGATGTTATCGTCAGCTCCAATCTCTGTTGACGCTTTTATCGATTATTATACATAGTAAGATAGTAAAATCGCTGGTAAACCTGATGGTGTTTGTCTTGGCCATCTCATCACTCGGTAGTATGTACATCCAGCCCCTTGCTTCTTGACAGACGTGTGATAACCCGTTGCTACTGCTGAGAATAAGAAGAAGGTTATTCCATTCATCAGCGAGCTTTTGTGGTGATCAGGCCTGCTCTCGGGTGGCAGCTGAAGTTAGCACCAAGTGTAATTGAAGGTTGAGTCCACGTACGTGAAGAGGAGTACGCAGTTGTGCTTGGATGAGGTCTTAGAAGGAGCAGTAGAGGCTAAAGAAGAAGAGCACAAATGATCATGCCGTGGGAGCGCTGCTGTGATAGAAGATGATCGGCCGATAAAGGGCTGGATTGCTAGAGAATCGTTTGCCTCTTTAGAGCAATGACTGTTTGAAGAAGACAGATACATTTTTTTCTCAAGATTTCACAGTAATATGGGAATCAAGTTGGACGACATATGGCACTGTAGCCAACTTTCCCAGAAAATCTGACAAAGCGGCATATAATATTGTATTTATATATTGATCAGAGTGATTGAACAAAAGACATACGTTCATCTTTCAAGCCACACACAATACCTTAATTAACTGATCATTTTAGAATGAGTGACGGTCAAGACACCCAACAGGGAGATTCATTCGGCTTTAGCCCCGGTCAGACAGTGGTGCGTCTTTTCCTCAAAAAGATATGGCCATCATGATTGGGGGCCAATGGCGAGCTGCTGACTATACCATGCCCTTCACGCTTATAGTACGACCCAAGTCTAGAGTTCGAAGAGTATGGCTTCCCAAGGATGGACCCGTCCATTGATGTCCATGGGTAATATCCAAGGTGCCGAAGCCTCAAGTTCCATTGGTTACCAGCAAGTGAGTACGCTTCCCGAGATAGACGAGTGCTGGCTGGCGACCGCGGTTCCTACTAGCTTCATTGAGCGCTGACCACATGCATGTCAACCCTTCATTTATGATGTGATAGGGGTCTGAACAGACCGGGCAGCAGCCCAGTATAGCTCCTCTTCACTCAGGAGGATCCCACAAAGATGTATGTTGGTGTTCCCTTCTTCAGACCAGCTAAAAGCTACTGCACAGCATCAGCTAAATGAACATACATGTCATCACCAGCTGCCGAGTCGATACGTCCGCGAGGACCTGATGGCAAACGCATCCCAATGTCTCAGTTACCCAAAGAGAAGCAGGAAAGTATCCGAGCGCGCGGCGAGTATTTCACACCAATATATTTCTGATCAAAGGTATGAATGATCTGGCACAGTGCTTGATTGACCTTTCTCTTCTGTAGAGAGAACTCACCACAAGAAAAATTCAGCCTCCATCAAGAGAGATACTGACAGGCGGCAAGAGGCAAACATGACCGACACCGTGCGGTCTAGATCTCATGATTTCGTATCCGGGCTAGAAGACGACTAGTGATGAAGACATATCATTCGCTGGGGAGGTTTCTCATATCATGTGGGAATGTCTCACCTGCCGACATGTGTAAATGGCTGCAAAACAAGCGGAGCGGATGCTTGAGAATTGTACGCTCGGAGCCTCTCATTAGGTGCTGACCTGAAACGTACGAATACAGTATATAAAGGTCAGTGATCTGATACAATAATGATTGAAATTGCTCACCCTCAAGAGATAGTAATCTATCATCCAAACATCATATCCAGATTGCAATGAGTACCGAGCAAAAAGAAATCACCGTTGATGACGTTGATTATATCGATGGTACTGGGGCCTGTTACCGCTTTTCCAAAACAGGTGATGTACGTGGCTTTCACTCAACATGGCTGCCAAAGCGTTGCTCCAGTGATCTGACTTTGTTGCCTCACTGCTCGTCCTTTTACTGCAACCTTCGACTGGGCTGTACAGACTGGAGAAGGTAGCTCTACAGGTCAAGCATCATTGGATGATCGGTTCGAGTACATACCGGTACCACCCATCAAGTGGTACGACAAAGGAAAGAAAATTTCGATGTCTGAGAGAAGCAGTGCACTGGACATAAAAAGGATTCGGGCTATCAGTAAGCTCATTCATCTCTAGTCCCATTCCTGGTGCGTGAACGAAGGCGACAAGCGGTGATGCTATGAGGAAGAAGCTTGAGCATATGAACAGAGGGCAGGCTGTATGCTGATATGGCTCCCCGCTAGACAATGCTCGCAAAGTCAAATCCCGAAAGAACAAAGGTGGACAACGAACGGACTCTGACCAGCGGGGTCCTCAAACCCAAGAGGGCAGCTACCCTTCATCAGCATCCGCAGCAGCCTCGGCGCCTCTGTCCGCTCACGAAATGATGTCTGACGATCAACGTCAATTTTATAACAGCTTGACTTATGAAGAGCGTCAGCTGTATGAGGGCAGTATGGGTCTCCAAAGTCTCCACGCTGCGGGCTATGGAGCTGGCTCTAGCGGGACGGCCGGCCAAATGCCACAGCTCGGTGCTGACGACGACAGCATGTTGATGGATGATGATTCTCAGCCTTCGTCTGCTGCCTACAACCCCGAGTTGGATGAGAATTCGGATCTTGCACAAGGGTTCGGTGAGCTATGGTGGGAGAGCTCGCAGCAGCACCAGTAGCCAGGGCAGTCGTAGAAAAACGATACGTATAGCCATGAATGCCATGATCTCATGCCGATTGAATGCAGGTGCTTTATAGAGTAGTAAATATGCTTTGGTCCCGTTCTCTTGTTCAACTTCCATGGCGCGTCACAATCCCTTGCTTGGGAGAGGATCTAACACCAAACACTCTCCTTATTCCACCTCCACCTCCAAACCCTCCCCACCTTACTCCCCTCTCCCACACTCCAATCAACCCCTCCAACCCCTCGCTTCCCCTTCCCCTTGATCCCTCCCTTCCCAACCTTCCTCCCCACTCCCAAATCCTTCCCCTCGCCCCTCCCTTTGCCTTCCCCCAACTTTTTCACATGGTAATACCTATCCCCCTCCAAAACACCTTCCACAACCTTCCTAGCACTCGCCACACACCCCTCCAACAGCGGGATGCCAGGGTGGACGTATGAGCCGGCGAGGTAGATGAGGGCGTTGGGGGAGTGGGGTTGGAGGTTTCGTAGTGTGGCGAGGGGGTCTTTGAGGGCCAGGGCGCTTGCGTTTCATGTCAGCATTATCTTCGATGAAGTAGGGGAAGAGAAGAGGGCAAGGGAAAGGAAGGGAAAGGAATGGGGACGTACCGCTCCAACCTCGAAACACTCAAAACCTTCTCCCTCGCAATAGGCACCACCGGGTTCGTAGTCTGCAACACCACCTCCCCGCCGCCGCTGCCTTGGGGCGGCACGATGACCTCCGTCGCCATTGTATACACGCTCTCCCCAGAAGGGGGGAAGAATGGTGTTTCGCCTTCATCTTCGTGAGCTGGTGGGGGTGCAGCAGAAGAAGAGGAGGGGGAGGGGGAAGAGGGGAGGTGAAGATTGATAGACCGCCGGTCGGGGGAAGAAGGGAGGAGGGAAGTATCTTTATGGTTGATCACTATCGTTTCCTGTCATATTCCCTCATCAGCTCCGGTCTTGAAAGTTGCGTTAGGGAAGGTTTGAAGGGGAACGTACTCTACATCTGACACTCTGCAAAGCCTCCGCCATCCGCCTCACCCTCCTCCGTTCTTTCTCTTCACCCCACGTCTTCAAATTCGCCTCAAGATCTTCAAGTAACGGCCTCGCGACGCTTGCTTGGGTTGCGAGCACAACTTTGTCTACTCTTAGACTCTCCACCCCCTCTTCTCCACCCCCACCCCCTCCCCCTTCCCGATTCCCGTCTCCGTCCCCGTTGGCGGACACACGCCTCAGCTTAACCCTCACACCCCCACCAACAGCATACTCCAACCCCCTCACTTCCGTACCCACATTCACATACCCCTCCCCTTGTTCTTCCACAACCCCTACCAGCCTTGCCGTTACGTCCCCCGAAGCCAGCCCTTTTCCTAGGCGGTAGTGCGCCGTCCCGAGGGTGACGTGGAGATATTCAAGCAGAATCCGGACGGGGAGGTTGCAGACGTCTTGGTGGGTCATAGTGCCCACGGCAGAGAAGAGGGGGAGGACGATCGTGCCCATAAATGATTCGAATGCGTAGCCGAGAGGTGTCTTGGGGGACCATCCTATAAAAGGTATGGGCAGGGGACGGTTAAGGAAGGAAGAGAGGTGTGTCGTAAACTGCCCAACAGTCAGGTCCGGAGAAGAAAGCTGCGAAGGCAAGATATCGTGCCATGCCAAAAACGACAAGACCACCAAAAGCAAGTAGCTTATAGCGACCCCAAGCAAGTTTAGTAAAGCGCGGAGAAAGTTGAAGGGACCGGTCAATGCTTTGGAGGGTAGGGAGGGTATGGACCAGCCCGATGCGCCGGAATGGATAAAGTAGGTGCCGGACTCGGATGAGAAGGAGTAGGTGTAGTGTTGGGGGATGATGGGGAGCTGGAGGTGGGTATAGAGCGAGATGAGGAGGGGGTAGTAGCCTAATTCATAAAGTCAGTCGCGAGTCGTGGGATATGGAGGAAGGAGGGAGTGACAGACCTCCTTGAAAGCCACGCATCGGCACATTTACGACCCATCCTTTCCTCCCCTTCTTCTCTCCCTCGTCCTTTTCTTCCACTTGTAAAGATTCAGAGTGAAATCCCAACACCGGCGACTGAAACACAACAAAGAATCAGCAATCGTACAAAATACCAAGAACAGCACAAATTTACTCGTTCGATGAGGTACACTTCAGCACCTTCTTTCCGTAGTAGATAAGCCGTGGTCAGGCCAGCGAGGCCGGAACCTATGACTGCTATTTTCATCTCGAGAAATGCGATGCCGCTTGAGCTGATTGCTGATTTTTCCCCGAGAGCCGACGGAGATTTTCCTCCTTCCAAATGATCGAGCTTGTCGGTATACCGGTATACCGGGCAAGGTGATGTCGTGGACTGGGTGCTTGGGTATGGGGTATATTGGCCCCTTGATCTGTGGTTAGATGTACCGTACTTGTACAGGACTGGTGGTAGACGGTGTTCTTACTTGTAGATTGCTTGTAGAGGAGAGTGATTCGAGGCCGTTGGCTGTTGACGTCATGACTTGCGAGCAGCTTGCGAGTTGGCTCATGGGATGGCATGTCTCGCTTTTGTTGTCGCTACTAGCTAGAGACGTCGTTCCCTTCCCGCCTCCTGCCATTGAGAAGAACGACTGAGCTGACTCTGAGTCGGATCACGTCTGATGATTCTTATTGGTCTTGCAAAGTGAGTTCAAAGGTCCAGCAAGTCGTCCTTCTTCCCAAGACCCAATGTCAAGCACCATCAATTGCCCTAATCTCTGCATTTGTGTGCTCATCACCCAAAGACAGCGCTCACTCTTATGCGACTATGCCCACCACCCGACTCGAAAACATAGCCGGCGTTTCGAGTACGTATAGACATCCGCAGCCCGTCGGCCTCGGCTTTTACGCAACTCCGAGCAGACGTGAAAGCTCTGACATCAACGAACACAGCCAATGCGCAAAGCGGGGTGTAACTGTATGCATTCACTACCCCTTCAGTCTTCCCTGGCCCGGGTAGCTAGTTTCATTAGCCCCAGTCCCAGTCCGTGAATCGTTTGAAGCGCGAATGGGGAGGCCGAGCGACAAGCCATCCAAAGGTTCGAAACTACCCCTTACGGCCTGAAGCCAAAAAGCCTAGGCTTGAGAGTTACTTTTCTAAAATCCCGGACATCACCTGATTCAGTCCAAGATGTCCTCCTTGTCCTGCTACTTTTGTGTACTGCATAGCCGCCCCATCTCAGTGCCATGTCTCTGCTTTTAACCCCGCAGCTCAGTGCCCATGTATACACATCCGCCGGGAAAGGAAAAGCCAAAACAGAGACAGGCCGAGGCCGGTGGGCGATTGCTTCAGGGTATAAGGGGATGCGCAAACTGACTTTTGGAGCGGAGAGACGTGTCCTAGATGCTTTCCTTGCATGCATCTTTGCTTTGTCATCTTTTTGCTCTATTCTCTCCCCAGCATCCGCCAGCCAATCGCATACAAGCCCCAGCTGGTGGTCGGATACAGCGCCAGGAAACACGTCGGCATCACTCCACTTTTATTTGCGTCGTCGCCGCTGTCGCCCTTATTACCACCGTACCCCCCTGCTAAGTGCTACGTACCATATAAACACCAAGAAAAGCCGGCCCGCCATGTTCCGTCTGTAACATCCCCAGCACATCTTTGTGAAACGTGTGGAAGAGAAAGGAAGCACCGAATCATTGTAAAATTTGGGGAAAGGATTGTTTGTACCACTCTCTCTTGTCCGGCGTCGGTATTGTGGAAACACGGGCGGAAAGAGCGTGGCTGAGATATATGTAAGCAGTTGAAAGTGTATCTGTATCTCTTCTGTGCTCATATACAACCCATAGTCAATCAGCACATCTATAATCCACCATGGCAGCCCTCACCGCCCGCCGCCCCCCAAACCCCCCCCGGACATCCACAGCCCCCACCGGCTCCTCCCTCCACCTCACCCTCCCCTCCTCCTCCTCCTCCTCCGCCCTCCCCCCCAAGGACACCGACCACCGCCACCTCTCGTCCAAGTTCAAACACATGTTTGAGAACCAAAAGTACGCCATCTTTAATGCCTCGGTGACGCTGCATGAAGTGGGGAATGTGCCGCAGCTGGAGGGCGAGTTTGCGGTGGGATGGCGGTTTAGGGGGAAGAAGCCTAGGGGGAAGGAGAGTTTGGAGCTGCATGAGAAGCATCGTGAGTAGTCTTCGTGAGTAAGAGGACGAAGCGCTGAATGTGGGCGAACAGTGGGCCCTCTACCGAAACCATCGCTCCCCAATCTACGTATATCCAACCCTTCCTCCTCTTCAGCATCAGTCAAAACAAACTCTACATCCTCCTCCATCCCCGCTCCCTCCACCTCTGGCTCCCTCCTCAACCCCGAACACCACCGTTCCCAAAAACCCCACAAACTCTTCTCCCTCCCACCGCCTCTCCATCTCGGCCACCATGCCCCGGACCAACGCCCCGAAAAGAAGAGTTCCGACCCCACCCCTCTCAAACAAGTCCTCACCAGCAGCGATATGGAAGGCGGGCACATGCAGCAGTGGCCCATGGAGTCGCCAGGGATCATGGAAGAGCTCGACGGCGACTACTTTGAAGAACCCTCCGGTTCCAGCGGCTCTTGGGAAAGGCCCGAAAGCGCTGGAGGCACCTCGTCGGGGAGTCAGGGGAGTATCAGTGTGGTCACTGGGGGACCGCAAGTGAATGTACATCGGGCGAGTATGAATTCGCCTTCGACGCCGATATTGAGGGATCAACAGAATCGGGCGGGGCAGTTGTCTATCCCCTTTCCTGGAGGGGGTGGGGGCGGGGGGAAGGAGGGGGGGTTGCCGGCGCCGGTGAGGTCGGGGACTATGCCTTCGCATACGCCCTACCTGGACGCGTTCGAGAAAGACAGTTTGGCCCCAGGCCCGCCGGGGACGAGGAGGACGTTGTCGGCCAATACGGCTGCGACGGCGGAAACGTCTTCTTTTGCCAACTCTTTTCACCCCCATTCGCGCGACTTTGAGAAAACCCGTCTCCCGCGCGTCAGATCGACTTCTGGCCCCATGCCGACCCTCGGAGGAGGAGGAGGGGAGAGGGATGCAGAGCTGGTGTCGACACATCGGAAAGGCGAGACGCCTGTTCGGCCGCTCAAGGCCCATACGTGTAAATGGGATTTCGAATTACACCATACTCTGCGTATTCCTCTCTTCAAACCGAACACCAATGGTGCTGGGGGTGGGGGAGGGAAGAAGGGGGATGCGATGTTACTCGGGAACGGCCCGACCTCAGAGTCGGGCTTAGAATTGACCATCTTGCAGTACCCTGCGAACGCCAATGCCGCCGGAGGGGGAGGGGTTGGAAAGAGTGTACAGGCGAGTGCTAGGGCTTCGCCAGTACCGAGTATGATTGGAGGCTCGAACCCATCCGTCGTTGCTTCGGGTTTGGAAGCCGTCACAGCCGGAAAGAAAGACGGCCGCAAACTCGACCGTACACCCGTCAAATTCGGAACAGTCAACATCGACCTCGCGCCCTTTGCTGCTCAAATCCTTGCTTCCCACTCTGGCGGACCCACCTCCGCTTCCGGCGCCAACGGGCCAGGGGGAGGGGGAGGAGGGAGGATGACAAGAAGGTTCTTGTTGAAGGGGAGTCGGACGAATGCGACGGTCAAGGTTTCGGTGGAGATGGAGTGGATGGGAGGTGAGGCGAATTGGGTGGCTCCGCCGATGCAGGAAGGACATCATGTGATGGGGGTCAATGAGTTGATGGTTGATAATCATGATTCCCATCGACCTGACTGTGAGCCCTTGTTCCTCTCCTTCTCTTTACAAGAAGTGATGCTGATGTGGAAAAAGTGTTGTTGGCAAAGACGCCGTCGGCTTCCAGCTCTGATTCAACCCCATTAGAGCGGACGAGCACGAATATGACGACGCTCTCTGGTATATCCAACTACAGCCCCTTCTCCCACCACAACACCCCCGGGCAGAGTAATCATTCCCTCCAACTCACGCGCACCCGAACAGGCGGTACGTCCGGTACACTCGGGACCCTTGCGAGTATCAGCGCGGGCGGGGGAGGGCCCTATGATACATATGAACATCACCTCCACGCGCCAAGTCCGAGTCCGACGAGGTCTCCGAGGAGGAAGGGGAAGAGGGTGGAGTTGGATTTGGAGGGGACGACGCCGAAAGCGCCGAGTTCGTCGAGGATGGGTTCGCCTGTGAGGTCTGAACCCGATCGTGATCGTGGGCGTAGACATCATTCCACGCGTACACCACGCAAACCTTCACCTTCCCCTGCCCGAAGCTTGTTGAATCTCGACGTAACGCGACCATCGCCTTCGAGGCAGAATACCCACTCGCCTTTACCGCCCCCTCCACCTCTCATCCCGTCGTTGCACGATATGCAGCATACCCCGAACCATCGGCATCACACCCACCATCTCCGCCCGGGGCACACACCGTCCTCAAAGCATACAGACATGCACGACCTCCCCCCCGAGACCATCATCGAAGCCATCTTCAACCCCCACCCCGCCAAAGAAGCCGGCCCCTTCACATACGTCTCTCTCAACGCCGACGGGCATCCGGAGGGGTATAGTATGGGCCTGGGGAAGGGGGAGGTGGAGGAGAGGATGGTGAGGGATGCGAATGGGGATGAGGAGCGGTATGCGTATTCCCGCTCGGGGTTGGGGGTGGATTTGGAAGGAGGGGTGGATGGGAAGGGGAAGATGGGAGGAGGAGGGGGGCATAAGTTGGGGTGGAGGATGAGGGGGAGGGCGAAAGCGGAGAGAGGGAATACGGCGAGGGTCGTTTCGGCGCAGGGGTGTGGGGGAAAGTTGAAGGGGAAGGAGATGAAGTCGAATTCGACTTGAGGGGGTTATAATCATCATTTAGCTATTGGACGTCAGACTCGTACTTGTTGTAGCATCCAACATGTATTACCACATTTCACATATCTATCAACATCGACTCTGGCTGAGACATACATGCGAATGCAAAGAAAAGTGTCCATCTACGTCTAGGGAAGAAATTCAACAACAGTCTACTCTATCTATTGGCGGCTCAAGCCTGTCCAAAACTCGCCCCACTCGGGCCACTCCCAATCCGCCTCCTCGCCTCCTCATGCTCCTCCCCAACCGACTTGGGCGTCCTGTAAAACACCCCATAAGCACCTGCCAGCACGACCGTCCACCCGATGATGAAATAGTACGCTTTCGCACCCGAGTCCATGAATGTAGTGGGGTTGGGCGATTCGAGGCCTGCTTGTACGGCGAGGGTTATAGCCCCTCCTACTTGGAACTTGTCATACTGTAAGCGCCTGGAAAGAAGAAGAGGGGGGAAGGAGGGGACGTACGACAACACCAGTCCAAGCGCCAGCAACACCAGCCATCTCGGGCGGACACATCCTGACGAAATTGATACTGCTCGCAATCATGATTGCCATACTCCCTGCGCTGCCTAGGATGAAGGCTGGGAAGAGGTGGGACCAGTATTTGACGCCTTCACCACCGGAGGAGGTGATTTGAAGAATCTCGGCGCCTACGATGACTGTTTCTGGAGTCAGAGGATGTGGGTGGGAAGATGAATGGGGAGGGGCGTACGGAGGGCAGAGGCGGGAATGATCCAACGGGGTTTATCCACCAACGCGGGTATACTTTTGACAAGCGCTCCAGTCACGAGGGCCACGATTCCTTGAGGCAACAGTGCCACAGCGGTATGCACTTGTTCCTTGTCAGCTGTCACACGACCTTCAAAGATATGAAAGACTAACAAGGTTTCCAATTGAAAGCGATTTGCCAGTAGTTGGCGAACAAGAGCTGCGAAGTGCCGTAGAAGCCCATGGGGATGAGCGTTGCAAGGGAAGCGATGATGGCGTTTGTGATCATCCAGACTGTGTTGGGGAGGATGGCAGTGTTGGCCGGGATCTTGGACTCTGCCATAGGTTGCAGGCTGTCAGTTCATCACTCCAAAAATGGGAAGGTATGAATTCACCCCAGACAAAGAACCCGATGATGAGAGGCCAGCTGACGATAAATGGCGCCACAAAGCTCGCAGCTCCCCATCCATCTATCGGCCCCTGCGTCAGACTCAAGATCAGACAGACCAAGAAACCCATCATCATCACCACCCCTGGTATATCCATCCTGCGCCAATTGGGGACGCTGTCCTCATGCGACCGAGGGTGGCGAGCAGGAATCAAAGGCCAGGTGTGGGGAAGGAAGTAGATGGATAGGGCGGTGGAGCAGAGGCAGAGGATGGCGATGAGGCGGAAGAACCATTCGTATGACGCGAGCATACACAGCCCCGCTAGAATGCTAACCTAACGTCAGCAAGGACCGAACTGAAGGAGCGGAGACGTACAAGCCGATGACGTTACCGACACCGCCAGCGATACTAAGGATGGCGAGCTTGGGAGCTTGTTCGGTGAGGTTGGGGTACATGTGGACGACAAGGTGGCTGCGGAGTGTCACAAAACGCTATCAGATCGGAAGGGCAGAGACATACTAGCTTGAGGGCCGCGCTGAAGAATGGTATCAGTCGATGTTGGGAGACGTGGCCAAAGGGACTTACTCATCGCTCCTGCCATACCACCGAGTCCTCGCATGACCAGAAAGGCATACCTTTTCGTTGGGTCAGCCTAGCAATCTTCCCACGTGGAGGTGCCGCATGTGCTTACTTGCTGTGCGTGACAAAAGAAGTAATGAGACTCAACACTCCCAAAGCCAAGAAACCTCCTTCAAAGACGTATTCAGCTGGGTAGAGGTCTGAGAGTCGACCGGCAAAGAGCAGGAACGATGCGAAGGTGAGAGAGTAAGATGTGATAGTCTGAGGATAGTTTTATGAGTATAACTCCAGTAGAGACGAGAGGTAGTAACCACTTACCCAGACTACCTGAGACGTGCTTAACCCCGTATCTTTTGCGATTTCCTCCGCAGCGACCGCTACACCAGTGGAATTGGCCAGGTCGATAAAGTTGGCTAATGCAAAGAGCCCCAGCAAGGCCGCCTTTCTCTTGTCGCTCAAACTCGCCAGCCGATGTGTCTCCTCCTCCCCCTTCTCTTCCATCTGTAAAGGCTCTACCGAACTCCTAGCTTGGTACAGAAACTCATCCGAGCGCTGAGAGTCGTCCATGTCATTGTGGTTTTTGAAGGTCGAGTCTTTAGTGTGATTGGATGAGAAACTGGCCTTATAAGAGCTGTTATTAAAGGTCATTGAGTGAGAGTCGGGTAGGATTGAGGGAGGGATGAAAGAGTGCCGATGCTAGACAATGGGCTGTGGTCAATATGATGAACGAGTGACGGGGTGTTGGACAGGAGGAGTACTGTAAAACTCACAGGCCCCTTTCTATATATAACAGGCCATCGCTCGTTGCCGGGTTCCCCGGAGTAGGGCAAAAGGAATGCGATGATGCCTTTGCATTTTAGACACTCTGCAAAAACACACCCGAGGTTGTATCTGAAACGTTCAAAGCTGCTTCGACACCGACGGAGATAGCAGTGGTGCCTGGGATCCTGCTTACCTCAGCCCAGAGCGTGCCTTTACACGCCTGGTGGCCAACGCTTGGCCAACGCCGAAGTCCTTGGAAGTGGGTGAAAGCTGCTCAATCGAGGAGAATAAGTGCACTGCATAACAGGGAGGTATATCTTGGCACCAATCTCGGGGCTGTGGAAAGGATAGAAATGGTCTTTGGAGGCTTGGACGCGAGGGCCGAGGCCGATGGACCGAGGCTGCACAGGGGTCCGTGAGGTCGCTCGGGCGGCGTGACAGCTCGCTGTCGGTCTTGTCGTTGTACTGATCATAACGACGATGCCTCCTGACTTCACATTGTCCGTCTATAGAGCGCAGTAGTAAATAGAGAGATGTCGGCTCAATTCATCATTAGAAAAGACTCGGTCTTCAGAAGACCGACAACGGAGAACATGCAATATCATTATTATTACAGAGCCACCCTGCATTGCTTCAGGGTCACTAAGACCTATGCATGACAGGTTTGTGCATAGCGTGAAGGAAAAGACTTTGTAAAAAAGCCCTGGCAAAGCTCCTGACTGAAAGTTGGACACTGGACACTAGCCGAGAATTGAATTGTCATGAGATGTGTGTTGTGTGCTGTGTGTTGTGTACTTGTGTGGCACCACACACGGGAGACCGACGTAGCTGCTTTGTCATGCGCTATCTACATATGCACCTCCCGGCATCGATCAGTGTGTATTCTCCTGACATCGTACAGCAGTACCACCGATTGGAACACAAGTGTACAACAGTTGCTTAGTTGCCTACGCGGTGTCTCAGTTGTGAAAGCTTCATTCATGGGGCGGTCATGGTGGCTGCCTGGTTCTATCTATGCCACTTACTATTAGCACCACGTGTGCGAAGACATGCGTGCCTTGGGACAGGGGCTGGTACTGCTCTCACCAGGAGGTCTCCGTGATGATGCCATGTCATCTGATTCCCTTCGAATACTACGACGAGAGACTCCTAATTGTCCTGCTCTTTGAAGAGCTCGCACATTCCTTCCGGCGTATATTCTGGAACTCCGCCGGTCAGAGATCAGTATTTGGAACACATCAAAATAACTGGCACGACTCTTCTACGGCCACTGTACAATAGACCACTTCACCAGTGCGCCGAAGAGTACGCTCCTTCGTCCTTCAACAATACCAATCAGCCGCTGGAAGATATCTCTGCTGTTGAACGAGAATATGAAGAGCTATGTTACAATAGCTTATAATGGCAGCCGCCATGATGGTATTATAAATACATCATATGTAACAGGCGGGGCTAGACTCAATCAGTATGTTGAAGAAGCGCCTGTGCGCCCGTTCAAAGAAGTCCAGGAGGAAAGAAGAAAGCATGCTGCTATTTTCAGTCTTCGCTATATAAAGTCGACAGATGAAGAGATTGTCAGTAACATCGCTCGTCGCATCATTTGAGATGGAACACCAGATGATAATAAGCAGATTCCAAAGAAGACAACCCAGTGACATTATTACAGTATGTATTCCCTTGTTGTCTTTACGTCTCGTTTGAGCATGGTCGGAAAGAGGAAAAAATGAACCGCGACTCCGCTGATATCGATGCTATCTTCGAACGTCCTTCTAAATAAGGCCCGGTGGTAGACTGAAAGGTCGGGCCGTGGCGGCTCTACAAGCAATATAATCAGCGACGTTTCCTTCTGGAATTCCCACAACAATCAACAGCAACAATGAGCACACAAGGCGAGGGAACTCAAGAAAAAGTCGCTCTAAGTGACATCTCTTACATCGACGCGAAAGGGTCCTGCTACCGCGCCCTCGGAGAGAACGTAAGTGCTCGCCAACATGGGCGCGAAGAAGACGATTTGATGTTGACAACGGCGTCATCGTTATTATCCTCTTCCTTCTCTTCTCCACTCGATGCCGTCTCCAATCTGAACTGCAATGGTACAGTTCACAGGATTCAGCGGAGCATCGTTAGATCCTATCGAAGGAGTCGAATATGTGGAGGTAAAGGTACCACCCATCAAGTGGCGCAACGACGTCACCAAAAGATTCCTCACTCTGAGAGAGAGGAGTGACGACCTGGAGAAACAAAGAGTTCGAAGTATCAGTAAGCCGGCTTGTTCAACTCTGGGCTTTTGATTGGCGAAGATGTGTAGCGGTGATTACAGGACACGCCATGGGGCGGGGGCGGATAAACAGTATGTATAAACCGCTCGTTACTGACTTGCTATAAACGCAGGTGCCAAGCGTAGACAGACCCTCAGGGGAAAAGAGAAAAAGAAGGCCGCAGAAGCTCAAACTCAAGCGGAAACCGCTCAATCTGGGATGGGTGATGATGAGATGGCATCCTCCTCTCGGCAACTTCCTGACTACCCAGGTGCTGAGCTGGATGAGACTTATGTGCAGCAGAGTTTGGGGAGCTGTGGGACGCAGACTACCAGGGGACTCTCGGGAAAGTCACCCTTGATGACATTTCTTACATTGACGAGAAGGGGTTATGCTACCGCGCCATCGGAGATCCCGCGAGTGCCCACCAACATCACTGTGAGAGAGCCATTCTGACCCTGGCGGCAACCATAATGCCGTCGTTTCTCGCTTCCTCCCCTAAATAATCAACCCCACCCATGCGTAATCGAAACCGTACAGTCTCACAAATTCAGCGACGAATATCCGGATCCAATCGATGGAGTCGCGTATGAAATCGTAGCTGTACCACGCATCACTTGGCGCGACGACGTTACTAAGAAACATATACCTTTATCGAAGAGGACTGATACATTGGAGGTAGAAAGAATTCGAAGCATCTGTAAGCTTGTTCCAAGATTGTACTCTCTGCCCTGAGCCTTGTTGCTTGGACTTGTGGAAACTTAAAAGATACAGCACGTCATCATAGGCGGTTGCACAATATGGCTCGTCGACGGCACGTTACTAACTTGCCATAGGTAGAGGCTCAAAACGCAGGCATTCCACGAAGAGGATAGAACTACTTAACGGAGGCTAGGGGCAAGACGACCCACAAAGCCAGGCCCAGACTCAAGTGCACCAAGACACGCATGCCGAGGAAGCGCAAAATGAAGATTGGGCCATGCTTGATGATGACCAGACGATGGCGTCAATTCATCGAGAATTACTTACATCCTACCATTCCGAGGAGCTAGGTAAGGAGTGGGAGATTGCAGCCCAGTTCGGTGAGTTCTGGTATAGGACCATGACGGGGGATCAGCAGTCATCAGAGTAGTCTCGTTCGCCGGAGCATGCGGATCGAGACGATGACGACAAGCTGCTCAGTTCAGGAAGAGTCTTATGTGCAAGTCCGGGCGGTAAGGGAAAAGAAGAGGACTGAGTAGAATGATGCATATGGTCAGCAATACATCGTTAAGACTCGCTTTGAAAAGTCGAAAACAAAACGAGCCAGACGCGTATCACAATGTTGATCGCTGAATTGACGTTGATGGCGACGATCTGACGCGATCATGTCCTCCGTTCCACTCCTCGCGATTTTGTGGTGTCTTAGATAAAAACTTCACCAACTACCACACTGGATACTCCTGAGTACTAACAGGGACAGTAAGATGGCAGCCGGACTCAAATTGTGTATTACAACAATTCCTGTGTCCTTTTCCGATCTGACTCGTACTCCCCCGTTACTACGTATGTACGCATGCACATCATCTTCTCTCATCTTTGAGGACTACGGCGCATGTAGTATAGTAAGACATGATCATGTGACCTATCGATGTGAGTCCGTTATTACAGTGCTAGTTGATTATCCATGACTGGAAGAGTGATTTTGGAAATGATCTCCCTACAATATTAGGATGGTAGGATGTGGCGACAAGCTGCCGAGCCCGGCAGGCCGTCTGCGTCTGCGTTGGCAGTGTATGCTTCTTTTGTGTGTCTCATCTTATTTTTCTCCTCTTTTATTGGAAGCTAGTCACTCAGGCAGAAAATGCTTTTGGCGTACTACATAACGGGTGCAGTAAGTGGCAAAGAGAGAAGTACGGCGAAAGAACGGTAAAGAGCGTGGGAGTCATCCGGAGATAGTTGGAACCCTCGTCAGAGGCTGATCAAGTGCTGGTCTTTCGCATCTAGGCTCCATATTATTGGCAGTCTAGTGGCCCCAAGTAGATACTCAAACGCATACCAGCGGCGAGAAGTTTTTTGAAATTTCCTTAGCGCACGACGTCTGGCCTTCTAGAGCTGCTCGCATACACAAACAATCGAACCCGGCTTTTGAACTTACACCGTCGTACTTCGTACTTACAAAGTTATTGGGCGGGTGTAACAGCCGGCCCTACGTATGTACCGGCGACCAGCGAGATAATTGATCTATGACGCGTTTTCATTCCTGACACAAACAAAAAGACCAGTCACCGGCGGCCGGGCGGTGTACGGCGAATGCTTTAGGACAGAGTTCATTAAGAGCGGTAAATGAAAGGAAAGTTTGGCACTAGAACAGGAAAGAGAGGATCATCCACAGGTTGCCCCCCAGGGCCCCCAGCTCCCCAGCTTCCCAGCTTCCCATACATACTTTCTGGTGACCCGCAGAAACGGGCTGTTTGTGGCTTGGCCGGCATGCGCTACGGAGCTTCGGTGGCTCGGTTGTCGCTCGGTGAGCTCGTCTCGCGTCTTCGCTTTTCAGGCAAAATCCCCTCGCATCCTGCATCCTAGCAAATGTTTGCTATTATTTTAGTCTCATCTCAAAAGCTACCGATCAAGGCCAAGAGCACATGTATGTATTTTGTGCCAAAACACGAGAAACACGCCAAAAAAAGCACCGATAAGTCCGGGAAACCTCCCGGGGTCAAGTGTGATCGAGCATTCATCTGTATGTATAGCAAAGACAGGAGTCCGGGACTCTGCAAACCACGAAGGATGGGATGCGGGTGCGCAGAAACAACCGATTAATGAACGAGTAAATGAACCCCTGCCTCGCATGCTTCGCCAGCAACAAGAGAGCTTTTGTGATGAGCATTTACAAAATCTGCAACAGTAGAGTGGTTTCTGATCCCGCTGAGCGGCTTGGGTGGGAAGCGATTAACCGGGGATTTTCGAGGACCGGTTACGCGGGTTGACTGTGTAACCGGGGGTTCTATTTGCCCGCATATAAAAGTCAAATTAGGGCGGGCAAGCGGCGTCATGGTGAAGCATGCTTTCCGTATGCACAGAGTACACAGGGCGGAGCGCGGAGGTATGCACAGAGTACACAGGGCGGAGCGCGGAGCGTACCCGTACGAGTGCAGTACATCGCAGCTCAACCCACGCAAGAACCATCCACACACAAGGACAAGTGCACTTTCTCCTCTTCTTCGCTCTCGCTGATCGCTGGGTACAACCCCACCTACATACTCCCATATAACAAACCTCCCGAAGAGCCCTTCTCACCAAACCCAGAAACCCGGGAAGCTTTACGACATGAATGATCGACATAGCGCGACAAATAGCCCGCAACGCCCATGTCGCACCCTCGCATGTCGTATGTGATATCCGCAAATCCCAAGCACGTTCATTCCTACCGTAACACTTCCTATAGAGTAGACTCAGTTAGGAATAGTGGGACATTAAAAATGCCCCGCAAACATATGTACATCTGTATTATACTGAGAAGGAATCCCCCGGATGTCTCGTGTAAATCACGTAAACACATTACGTTGAAGTTGATCTTCAGGATCTTCAGAACGTATGGACGACGACGTCTTTTTGCCTCTGGCCTGAAGTGTGCTTGCCGAGTCTGCAGAAGCGCTTCTGGAATTTGCATACAGAAAAAGGCTCGGCAGAGCGCCCGGCATTGACGAAAGGGTCATCGTTATCTAAAAGCAATCTATGAGCACTACATGAGAGCCTGGATATACGGATGTTGGGGTTATCCATGTAGTAAGATATTACGAGAAGTGTTGCAAGTCGTTGACAGCCGGGATCACTGGAATGACTGGGAGGCTGCCATGGCTGAGGGGCTAGTACAGTTTCCTCTTCCCACCCCCGCATTTTTGGGCTCGAAGAGTGAGGGGCACGAAGAGGGGAAGAAGGGATCGAAGCTAGTGGGGAAAGAAGTGGCGTTTCTGCAAACCATGAGGCGCATGTGGTCATGGTTGACGCATTCCAGCGAATATGCAAGAGTACTAACAAGTAACAAGGGTGACAGGTGTTTAATTCACTTTTTGATGAATCTCGTATGTAGGGAGCCCTCGCTCTCCTCGCCTGTTTGCTCAATTACCAAGTATGGGCTTCGCAGTGTACAGGAAGAGCCTGCGGGTGCATCTTATAATTCTATTCTAGAACCCTGGGCGATGCACATGCAACTATTCTATCTTCGCGCGCACCAAAGTGTACCATTTGCATGAAGGACAAAATGTCAAAGATGAGCCTGTTGGTCTTGCTTGATACACTCCGCTGATAAGGAGGATAAGATAACGTCGTCCAATGCGACGGGGCCCAGCCGCGAGCCGCGAACCGGCAAAGCGAAGAGGGAGAGATTCTGCGCTAGTATGCTGATATAGACTCTTTAAATGAAGGCTTTCCAAACGTTCTGCCATATGGGCAGCTCTGGGAAGTGGGACCAACCTCTCGGCGCTCTGGCCTCTGTCTCCTCGGTGGTGCACCATATCGGCCCTGTTCGGTGTTATGGGCTGATGTCGCCATTGGTTGGAAAACATGGGCAAAAGAATGGTAGAGAAGAGTTGCGTTCCCGCGGTTATGAATGGGTATGAAATGCGGAAGTGCCTCCTCTCGGGAGATGGGCTAACGTCAAGGTGGATCGTCTGTGATCTCTGGGTGATCGCCCGAAGAGACGAGGCAGATGGAGATGTGGATGTGGCCCGTCATCGCGCAGCATAGACTTACGACTCGATTATACATGGAAGTATGCATCCTGTGCATCCGGCCGGGGATAGCGGAGAGCAGATGCCGGAGAAGAACCAAAGAAGGGGCAGAAGACGGCCGCTCGCGAGAAGCGCGAGAAGAGCGAGGACGGGATCAAAAAAGTGGTAGTCACTGGGGTGGTGACGTGAACTGTCGATCGGCGGTCGGCGGCGGCTGTCGGCAAATTATGTAATGTGCACATCACTTTAGGGTGATTAAAGAACAGGGTTGATGATCTCTCAAGAAAAGTCCAGGGCCGTGCCGCACGCTTCTGCTGACGCTGCTTGTCCCGGTCTCTGCTTCACCTTTTCCACCTTATGCATTCCGTCATATACATAATCCATCTGCACATCCTCAACGTTATATAGACCCACTCACCTCAGCCCCACCCCACCTGCTCACCATTACTGTATATCTCGGCCAACTCCCATAACCACTTGCTGTAACTCCTCTCACGTTTGCCTTTTTTTATCACAACACCTCTCCGGCATTCTTCAGCCACCTCTTCATCTCCCTATTCCAGCTATAGCTCTCTCTTGGCTGCCTGCGCAACCACCAGCCACCTGTCCATTGCTACCAGCATCTCCATCTCTGGGAATTAGATCCTATCGTAAGTGCGCTTGTCGATCCTTGACTTTATGCTGCGACTTCTCGAGCATGTCGCGCGTCTCTTGCCGCTCTTTTTTTATTTAGTTTTTTTTACCATACCCGCTGCTCTGAGTCGCTCCAGTTTCTTCGGTGGTACTTGGCGGTATACCAACTGTCTCACTACTGTCGCGAACTGTTGGCCGAGACCGAGCCGTCTGCTCATTCGTCATGTGCGTTTTCTTTATTCCCTCCGCTCTTGTCTTTTCTTTTCTCTGCCTATGTCATTCATTTGATCCCATATTGTTCAATCCTGCGGGACATGTCTTGTTCACATCTTTCTTTACGCCGTCAATCTGGAGCAGGGGCTGACCGCATCCTTTAAACAGTGGTCATTACTACATCTTTACCTCACCTTGCGTAAACGCGTGCGCCCCCTCTCAAGTCTATCTCGACCTGCACGACTCTCTCCTTCCTCCCCTGCCCGTCTCCAACGGACCACTCCCATAGGCCATAGGCACCCCACCTAGCCTACTTTGCCTTCGACCCCAGGGCCATCGTCACAACTCCGCCGCCCACGGTTGCGTCCCCATCTCCCCCGTAACTGGTATACGGTATCCGGCGATTTCTTCCCATCCCCCCTGAACGCCACCAGCCAACACGTACATCTAGTTCCCCAACACATCTCCACTCCCATTTCCCTTCTCTCCATGTCGCCCACTACCACCATCTCCTCCAAAGCCCTCACCAGCAGCCAGAGCCACAAAATCCACAACAACGGCAGCATGGACGAATTTGACGGCCGTACCAGGAATGCCAAGGCTCAGAAGCGGCACAGAGAGAAGCAAAAGGCTCGTACGAAAGCTGTGAGTTGAATGCTGTAATGATTCTCGATAGGTTTGCTGATGCTTCTTGATAGTTGGAAGAGTCTGTCCAGATTTTGTCTTCCCAGCTGGACGATGCGCGTCGACAACTCGGTCAGATGCCTTATGGTTCCAGCAACCCGCGCGCTCCCATCACCATTCACTCTCCCGAGTATGCGCAGTTGAACGCCGAGAACCAATACCTGCGCGAAGAGAACCAGGATCTGAGACGACAAGTGTACACACTCCGTCTGACTTACGGTGGGCCACCCGAGGCTGGCAACCCCGCCGACTTTGGGGCTAGCCCGCCTTTGAGGCAGGGGAGCAGCCATGGACATCATCCTAGAGTAGTCACCACTGTACGTTTTCTCCTTTCGTTTTCGAAGCAACGACTGACGGCGTCTCTAGCCCTCATCTGTATCTCACCACACAACCAGCCGCCACAACGAAGGCACTCCTACGAGCACGACTTTCCCCGGCGTCGACGGATTCCGTACCAACTCTGGCGACTCGTCTCGCACACGCGTCATGTCGTCTTCTTCTGTACGTCCTCTTTCTGTACGTGTCGAGCCCATCCTCTTCGATCTTTGGGTCAGCAAGCTGACTTATTTTCTTAGGCTCCGTCGGCTTCACCGTATCTCAATTCTTCGTCATTCGGTGACATGCGAAACCCTTCATCCAACCCCACTGCCACGGCCGGTCCTCCACCAGGAAGCGGAGTGGCCCAGCTCGACCGCTCTTATGTCGCTCCCCGCTACGAACCCTACTACTCCCACAACGCCCCTCCACCACACGCCCTGCCTCGCTCTCAAGCAGTTTATAACGCCGGCGTCGACATGAACAACTACCGTTCTGGCGAGACTTCATCAGGTGGCGACAACTTTTTCACTCCAGGCGAGGTAAGTTCTCATCTCCTCCAAACCCATTAGTACTTGTTCTAATGAGCTGATCGATAGGCTAGGCTGGGCATTCCTTCGCTGGCAGCATTGGGTACTCACCCGTCAACTTCCACGGGGGGTCACCGGGGGTCCCGTCATCCGCCGAGTCTTGGCGTCAACACTCCCATTGATCAACACTACTCCACGAGGTCGCCGCTTTTCCCCAACATCCTCTCGTAGATCTTTTTCTTTCATGCCCATTTCACGGCTAGGGCTTTCACACGACGTACTCAAGTAAAACATTATTGTATCATTAATAAAAACAAATTGGGCGCATTCTTTCTTCTTTCTTCGCTTTCTTCATCTCTATATCTATCTCCTTCATGATTTATGGTTGTTTGTGTGTCTTTACGAAGGGAATCCAGCAAAATTATCAAAAGAAGTTGATCTTTTCAAGATATGCACTTCGTGATATAGTTATGTCTTCTGGCTCGGCGGGCTCTGAGTACAGAAACATCCACATCTGTCGCTTTTGCCTACTACCGTTATCATACATCTGCGAGATGTTCATATCTTCACTGCTTCTGCTTGTTAGCTGGTTAGGCATGTCCATGTTGTGCGAGCCATAAGGTGCGCATTTTGCACGTGGGTATTCGAATAGCCAATCTCATTCTCAAGGATGATTTCTGGTTATCATAGCCCCCGGTCAGGTATTAGCGTTTGACTACGGTTGTCACACGGTCATATCCAGGAGGCTTAAGGCCAGGCCCAAGAGCACAGCCCAGCAGCTCTTCTGGGCCTGCTGCAACCCCGAACACCGATACGTAGGGCGGCATTGCCAGTGAGTGTGACACAAATGCACTACGCTATCTACCATACATAATAGCCTCACAGGCCATAGGTTGCTGCCATAATAGTGCATGTGCAGGGTAGACATGCGCTGTCACTGACGTGATTGAGCAAAAGAAGAGGGGCCGCTCAGGCCTCTTACCAGCGCTCTTGTCTTGATGTAGCAGAGGTCGTTTTCGGTAGACCGTGGAACAGCCTCAACCTGAGTGTGGCATGCGGCACCATGGATAGGGATAGTCGGGGGACCGAGTAGAACCGAGGAGGTACGAAGAAAAAATAAATAAAAACACACTCATCGCGGCGGGGAGGGCCACCACAGCCTCATTAAACCCGGGGTAACGTTATCGTTGACTGATTATTGCGCTCATATTAATGTGGCATGCCGGGAAAGCCGGCTGGCGTACTTGAGGCCCCTATTAGGGCTTAGGGCAGCGCTGCATGATCTGCATGATGTAGTTCGGCGCAGGTACGCATGCAGGGAACTGGGTTGATCTCGGGAACCCGACTGGATCTGTATGTACGTATAGATGAATGGCATATTGAAGTTTGTATAGGGGTGGGGGGGGCGTGCCTTTGCACCCTTCAACCTTTCTCTTGCGCAGAAGGGACCGAGGCGGAGGTGGAAGCCACCCTCGGTCATCTGTCTACCCTTGGGCTGTGTAACTTCTTGGACCAGTGGTCTGGAATCGAGCAGGGGACTGTCAGGTCTGCAGGCGGCTATGGACGCATACGATTGGGGTATACCATGTGACACGCGCAAGCGAGAGCCGGAATCAACTTTCAATTACTGTAGCAACTGCCCTTCTGTCGTCACTCGTCTGCTGTCGTTGTTGTGGTCTCCTCGTCTGATATTGTTAGGAGCCATTCTTGCGCCTTGCTCATCAATTGCCAGAGCATAATAATTCCAGGCCAGTGTTGACTTGTATATGTAGCTTCGCGTCTCGGACAGACAAGTTGCTGGCCCTCATTCAACAGCCGCTACTGCCTTCTACTATCACTGAACATTCGACACTCCAAAGGCAGCTGCTCAACCCCCGCTTCATATTTTCGCAACTGTTTCCGTCTCATGGTCTCAGTGAGATAGGTCAGAAGAATATCCGGCTGTGGGAAAGAGTGCCATCTACCTTTGGTCTGGTCCGGTCTACAGTACTCGTAGCTAGAGCTCGAGGAGGCGCGCGGCTTGATCCAAGGATGGCTTGAGAAGAAGAGGTCGGCGTGGACTCGAGGTGGGTCGTCATTCACTCCTTGCCACCAATGGGCTCCTTCTCTAGTCATCTGATGCTAGTCTTAGCTACCATATGTCCCTTGTTGGTGCTTCAAGCATCATCCTATTCGCGCCACCACCGTTCTCTTTCCCCATTAAATATTGATCCGATCCACCAGCACCTTTCTTTCGCCATTGTTGTTGATCAGCGATCCCCTCTTCTTTCCGACTCAAGCACAATCACTGTTAAAGAGCTGCTGCTCTCTACCCTAAGTCACGTCCAAGAGCTTGCATTGAAGCCTGACTATTATCGCTCTTCGCTCTCTTCGCCGCATCGCTGTTTAACATGATGCTCCGTGGGCGCTGGAAGGGTCTGGGGCGATGGGAACGCGGACCGACGACGATGGCCTAGAGATTCATCAACACCTCTCCCAGGCGACCGTCGCTTTTCTATTGACGAACAAGCAGTCACCGAACTTCTTCATCGTCTCCTCCGCGCTCCCTCCTCCACATCATCATCAAGCCTTATTCCTCCTCTCGTGTGACCTCGATCCCAACATCCTCAGCCCCGATCCTCACACTCCCGCTTGCTTTCTATCCTGAGTGTACGCTACTTGGTGAGTATGCAAGCAAGGCCCTAGAATGAAAGAAGATAATTTTCTTCGAGTTTGATCAGTATCAATCGTCGTCATCTCTCCACCACCGAGCTGGCTCCTCCCCATATCGACCTGCGTGTGACTACTCTGCTTCACTCTAACACCCCACAATCCTTTTTCGACCTTACAACATGGCGACATAGAGACTCGCGCCCCCACGGCGAGGGGACGGGACTGATAGCCTGCAGCTGTAAAGTTTGCGAAGATGTATCACAAAAGGGTAGGCCGTACGCCATGACAGTAAGTGTAGCTAGCAGATTATTATGGTACAGCGCGCATACTAGTAAGTCATTGACGATACGAGCCCGGATCTCATATAAGCAAGACTGTCGGATTCGGCTGAGCGAGATGGGCATTATGAACTCCACATCCTCCTCCGCCGAGCAGCTTTTTTCCTTGTCACATCTTCTTTCTACTCTATTTTCCATGAAGTCGTACTCGGGATTTACAATCTGGCTGTACGATTACAACCTTTGTACATGCTGATGATGATGCTTTCGCGCCGAGCACATTTTGAACGATTTATGAGAACGGCTACAGACATAGAAAGAATTATTACAGAAGAGTAGAAAGATATACTATGACAAACCAAGAAGTATCTAGATTATGAAGGGCGCTTACACCAGCCCGTTGATATTCCCACTCTACCCTAATCATGACTCACTTCGCCCTCCTAAAATCCTGCTCGCCCTCCCTCAACCCCTTGACCGCCGGCGTAGGCGTAGGAAAGTCGTATCGCGCAGAAGAGACCCCGCTGGAAAGTTCCGTCCCGCTCACAAAGTCGGGCAGAGGCGTGTCAATGCTGAGGGGAGTGATACGGAGGCGAGAAGGTTTGCGGCTCTTGGCAAGACCGCGTCGGCGCAGGGCGGTCTCAAAAACACAGTCTCCCTCGTTTCGGCGGGCGCATACAGAGCAGATTGGGCGTACGCCATTGCACCTAGTTGAAATTAGCGTTGTACTTTGCAGATAGAAGGAGGGCTCACTTGAGTTTCTTTGAACGACAAAAGTTGCACGCAATAGACGTCTGCCTCCGAGTCCTCTTCCTCTTCTTCCCATCCTTCCCACACCCCTTCTCATCCCCACTCTCACTATCCTCCTCCTCACTCTCCCCATCCTCCTCTTCACCCTTCCTCTTCGCCAGAGCATCAAAGCTCGGCTGTAACGACACCTCATCCTTTCTAGGTCTGCCGCGCTTCTTGACGACCTGCGCTTCGGTAAACATGTTGCTCTCATACGCGGGCTGAACCAGCTTGCGCGCGGAAGAAGGTCTGGCGGGGCCCATCCTGGAGGGGATGATCCTGATGACGGGCGTTACGTTCGCATCTTGCAAGTCGCTAGCGCTTGGAGGGAGGATCTTCTTTTCGTGCACTCGGATGACGAGCAAGGGAGGGTTGGGACTACCTGGAGTTGAGGCGAGCGCGTCCGGACGGGCGGTGGGGAGTATAGCCTCGGGGGTGTGAAGGGGTTTCGTTTGAGATCGGGGCACGGAGAATTTGGGCGTGGAAAAGGGGAAAGAGTCGGAACGAGATGATGATGATGATTGGTCGACGGTCTGCGTCTGCGACGCACTCGTAGCAATCATAGGCCACTCGCCTGTCCTAGAGCCGGCCAAGGAGGGACCGGTGCTTTCGACATGACCGCCGGGGAAACCGAATGCTTTGTGATAAGACTGGAGTATCTCTGCCGTTGCGTGCGTCTGGGCATGATCATCAGTACACGTCATTACTGAAGGAAAGTGGGCTTACTTGACTGTCGTGCAGTGGTTGGGGGAGATAGTCTGCGAGATGAGTCTCCAAGTCAAGAGAGGCGATGGGCTGGAATGACCATGGTTGCGCATTTCCATAGTCGAGCAAGCGAGGGGCAACATCAGGCAGAGGCTGAAGCATTGATGTTTCAGATCGACTACTGGCAAGCGGAAGTACCCCACCGCTGTAGCTGCAACACAGTCAGCCAAAGCCCAGCTTGGAAAAGAGAGGACCCACCTTGGGTGTTGACTTTTCTCTGAGATGGTATTGGTCCTGGCCATCGTCGGCACGGACCCACTATCCATCATCCCGCAGCCATCTTCGAGCAACGATTTCCTGAATTGTGCCATTTCGCGAGACATATCTCTGCTATCGCTCCTAGCGGCCTCCATCGTCGAAGACTTCATCTTCATGTCGACGAGATGCTCGTATCTGTTGCTATCTGAAAGACCTGGGACAGAGTCCGTCAATATCGCCCTCATGATAGCAAGACCAGTGCAGAACGTACCTGGGGGCGAAAACTGCCCAAATGTCGCAGGGGCCGTCATTTGTGATGGGAGCGATACCGGAGCATCCAACAGCTTGGAAGCAAGCAGTTGTTGATACTTGTTACCAACTTCGACGGTTGACGTGGGGCTAACAAAGGTCAGCACCCAGCCTGGCGACGGACGACGGTAACACTTACGGCTCCTTGATGGCTTCAGACTGCAGCGGCGACAACGTGCTTGCTAGCTGAGAAATGGATGACGTTGCGTTTGGTGGACGATTTCCGTATTGGGCAGTGGAGGATTCGCCACACGGTCTGGTAGTGATGTGAGCTAACTGAGCAAGTGGAGCAAAGGTAGACTTACAAGCCACCAAGATTAGGTCCACCGAGGGGCATTGATAGATGAAACTGAGGAACGGATTCATTGACGTTCCCGCTTGCAAGATCGGTATCAGCATAACCGCGCGAGTTACCGCGCGAGTTGCTTTCAGAAGCGACCAAACGCAAATGCTGTGGCGCAATTTCGCTTGGACCCGGTTGAGCCATCAACGACCTCGAAGCCGTCGCCCAATCCTGCTCATTCGCCCACGAGGAACCCCAGTTGCCCTGTGATGCAGGCCCGTCTGACGAAGATTGGCTTTGGCTGGTGCCAGTATGGGAAGCAGGAGACGACTGAAACAGCTCTGGCGCCAAATGGTGGAGAGCAGAAGCAGAAGCCTGGGGTTGCTGGTTCATCTGATAAGGTAGCGAGTACGCTGGTATGAAGCCAGTGGGGCCGAAGGGGGTATCGTTGTGGAAGTATTGGTGTCTGGACATGTTGAGTCTTCTGAAAGCCAGAGGCGTCTAATGGTATCGCAGAAAAGGGAGGAGCGTCGCGATGGACGCGTCTTGGCGGTGTTGATGGTCCGAGGGGTGGTGATGTGGCGGGGACTGGGTGCTGCGTACCCAGTGTTCGATGTCGGCGAGCGGGTGGGCCAGTCTGTATGTGAGATGGGAAGATGAATGGTAAACAGCAATCTGTACGCTGCTGGAGATGGACCACCGGAAGCTTTTTTCCCTGCCAATTTTTGGCGGAGTCCCTCAATCCCGGCCCTTTGATCCTTTGATACTGATAGGGCGTCTGCAGTCGCCATCGTTACGGAAATTCGCCTGGGTTGCCGCGGTGACCAAATCACTGCAGAGCGTCGACATCTCATCTTGCTTTCCAGCAATAAGTATATACGTTGGTGATATTATGCTGTCATCACCAAGAAGATTCCGTTGATATGGCTGTCACATGTAGTAATGATAGTCACGAAAGGAGGTCCGAGGTAAGCCATGTGGCCATCGTTGAGCAACGAAGAGAAGAAGTGTAGACGAGAGTGACTACCTCCCGCAGCACGAAATCTCGCAGGCTGATAAGATCTTGCTTTCGGTCAACCCCGAGATAGTCTGCCCCAAAGTTTTACCGATAGTGAATACCTCTCTGTATTCTCTGTACGTATCGAACTCGAACCCCTTAGCCTGCGCCCTGCACTGACTCTCATTACAGTGTAATGATAAATAGCTAGGTATCCCGGCGGCGGGCAAGTCAGAAATCTTCCCACAGAAGGCGGGAGTGCGATCCACCCCCTACTGTCTCATATCAAAGCACCAACCACTCACTTCCCACACTTTCCTTTCGAAAAGCACAGCTCCGGCTGGTAACCCGAAGCAAGCTGGTGCCAAAGACACCTTTGACACACCAACCTTTCTCCGTTTTGGAGGACTCCTTTATCCCCCAAGTCTCGTCGTTCACACGAGATATGTTCGTGTACCCGGTGTATGCATTCTACATCGCTTGCATCTATCAATCCAGCAGATGACCATAGCAATGGATGGGCACTCCTTTGATCCAGCCACACATCCCAACTGCTTCTATCAAGACCTCCTACTCAATTCTCTTCCACCTCATATCCTCCAGTTCACAACATGTCATCCCGGTACATATCCCCTCCCCTCCTCCTCCCAGTAAGCTCAAACCAAAACTAACACTCCATACTCCCCACAGCAGAAGCACCTCCTCCCAGCAAACCCACGACCCCTCCAAAGCCCACGTCCTCCTCTCCACCTACGCCCCCCTCCGCACCTACCCCGTCCTCAAAACCTCCAACGACGAGGAAGACGAGGGCCACACGAGCCGTATCCACAGCGCCTGGACCCCCTGCGACCCCGTCCTCAAAGACGCCTCTTTCATCCTAATCCCCTCCACCCAGGGTCATGTCAGCCCACACTCTGCCAAGACGAGTATCAAAGCTGCTTCGAGGTTTGTTGCTTCATACAACAAGTGTTTTAATACTCTTTTGAGGGCAAGGGATCACAACGAGACGACTTATGAGTTTGATTGTAGTACACCTGAAGGGTATACCGCAGTGGATGAAGCTTGTCGGGAGGAACATGCGAGTCTCCAACGTAAAGCGGCAGAACAAGCATACGACGAAATGCCAAGCGGGACACAAAATCTCTTCACATACCAACAAGTCCCCTTCCAAGACTTTCTCAAACACGACCTCAAAAACACACATCAAGAAGTCTCCACCAAAGACTTTTCCGACGTCCTCACCGACGAGCAATACCACGACAAGCTCGCCCGGAACTTTCACAGTTATAGAGCTTGCAGGAGGCTTACTGATCTGGGGGACAAGTATCCTTGGGCACTGTTTACGACGGGGATAAAGGAGCCGACTGATTTGGTGCAGAGTAACATCACTGGACGGTGGGTACCTGTTGATCCGCAGTTTGATGTTTTGGGCGCAGCGGGTAACCTCGACGCGTCCGCCAAACGTCAAGTCGCCAACGCCCTCGACGTATTGACAAAGGAAATCAACGGCAAACCCCGGACCGAAAACGGCAGTTCCAACGCTTTCTCTTCCGGTCTCTCTTCCAAAAGCAGCTTTGCGGATTATCACGACTTCAACCATGTATCCGAACATCTGGTCTATCTGGACTGTTTGAAGTATGCAAAAGACATTTCGGATGTAGTTGAGGTGGATGGATTGCCGGTGCATTGTGAGTGGGTGACCCCCGAGACGCTTTTTCCTTCGAAACGGAGTGATGCGCCGAGGAGTTATAGGTTGGGTAATCATCGGGGGTATGAGGAGGCTATGAAGGACAAGCTGGCGAAGGCAAACAAGAGATAGTCAAATGGTCGTTAAAAGTAGTCAGGTGTGTATACTGTATGTGCCATGCACAAAAGATATTATCACACGAGATCAAGAAGATCCAAATGCATATGCGAACAAGGAAACCAAATCATACAGAAATACCAAAAACACTCCTTACGCGCTCACCCCAAAGCTCACACCCTGCGCGAGCGCCACCTTGCTAGAATAGTTGACCGTCGCAGCCGACCACCTGACATACTGCTTCCACGCATCACCTCCGGATTCCCTGCCCCATCCCTATTTCTGCGTCAGCCTGTGTCCCACCAAGAAAGAGAAGAAGAGGAGAAGAGCAAGAAGAAGGGCCCACGGTAGACTTGTTCCCCCCAAAGCCCGCCCCAATCTCCGCCCCACTAGTCCCCACATTAACATTCACAATCCCACAATCACTCCCCTCCGGCCCCAACCACCGTCCCATACTCTTCAAATCTGTCGTAAACAGCGCCGACGACAGTCCCTGCGGTACCGAATTGTTGAGCTCGATAGCTTCTGAGAGGGATGAGAATTCAGTGACGTAGAGGATGGGCGCGAAGACTTCTTCGGCCCAGCAGGGGTCGTTTTTGGAGGGTTTGATGACGGTGGGGTAGACGTAGTGTCCGCCAGAGAGCTCGTCGTTGTTGATAGAAGAGGAAGGGATCCGGCCGGAACGTTTCGTCAAGATCTCACCGCCCCTGGAAGTAACAGCCTCAATCGTATCTTCATACCTCTTCACAGCGGCTTCATTATGCAGCGGGCCGATCAACACCCCCTCGTCGAGCGGGTGGCCGACCTGCAAGTGCGAAGCGGGGGCCGCAGCGTCATAGACAGGGAGGAACTTGGAGAGGAACTCGGCGGAGATGTCTTTGTGGAGGAGGAGGCGGCGGGTGGAGGTGCATCGTTGGCCGGCGGTACCGACGGCGGCGAAGAGGACGGATTGGAGGGCGAGGGCGAGGTCGGCGTCTTTGTCGACAACCACAGCTAGGTGAGTGTCAGTGAGGGAAAGGAGAAAGGGAGAGGGGAGAGGAGAGGCGTACCGTTGTTGCCACCAAGCTCGAGGATGGACTTTCCAAACCTGTCGCTGACGACCTTGCCAACTTCCTTGCCGATCTTTTCACTTCCAGTAAAGCTCACTACGTCTCATCAAGTCTGCCCAATGTCAAGTGGGGGGGTGCTTACCAAGTGGAATGTCCTCGCTGCCGACGATAGTCTTGCCGACATCAACACCACCGCAGACGAGAGCGGCGACAGATCCGGGGAGGTCGTATTTGGCAAAGACGGGTGCGAGGAGCTTGGTGAGGGCGATGGAGATGAGGGGGGTGGAGGGGGCGGGCTTCCAGATGGTAGAGTTTCCTGTGGCGAGCGCGATAGACAGGTTCCATCCCTAGAGAAGATGACTGGTTAGTACAGACTTGAAGACGCTTTCAGCAAGCTCACGTAGACGGCCACCTATAGTATGTCAGCAATGATATTAGGCGATTTCCAGACACTCACGGGAAAGTTGAAAGCAGACAAAATACCAACGACACCAAGGGGGTTGGGGACTATCGCACATCAGCAAAGCTCACTACATCCCAAACCCGACTCACTCTCATAGATGACATGCTCTGGCCTCTCACTAGGCAACACATTCCCCTTCAAACTCCTCGACAAACCAGTGGCCAAATCGCAGATATCAATAAACTCCTGCACCTCTCCCTTACCCTCACTCCTAATCTTGCCCATCTCCAAAGACACCAAGTCGCCGAGCTCATTGACCTTGGAGTCGAGGGCCGCGCGGATATCGCGGATGATATCACCGCGCTTGGGTGCTGGGAGGGAGCGGATCTTGAGGAAGGCGGCTTTGGAGGCCTTGATAGCGGCCTGGGTCTCTTCTACGCTTGCCTGTGGGATGTTATTTGAGTTGAGTATGGATGAGGAGCACTTACACCTTGGATCCTGGCGAGGACTTCACCAGTAGCGGGGCACCTAGACACGAGCTCTTCGCCAGAGCCCTTCCACTCGCCGTCAAAGACACCGGGGAGTACGGTAGACGGGTCAGTGGGGAGGTCTAGGGCAGCGAGCACCTTCTGGGTGCGCGTGGAGAGAGCGCGGGTAGAGGCGGAGGCAGCTCCGGCAGAGGGTGAGAGCGAGCGCATGATGAGTTTGCGTTGTTGGTGGGCGGGAAAGTAGGCGAAAGTACGGCGGGTGGTGGTGGTGAAGTGTGCGAGCATGGTGGCTATATATGTTGTGGAGATGCAAACGAGAAAGAGAGACGAGCAGCCTCGAGCCACCCGACCGGGAGACACCCTGCATCAAAGGAAGAGCGATGCGATTAACAGCGCGCGTATACACATCTCGGCCATCCGTCCAGGGCGGCGAGCAGCGCCACCAAGCAACTCGACTTTGTTATCAAAAAGCTACATGCATACTTTACACAAGTCACAGTACACTCGCCATCCGCTGGCGCCCACCTCACGCATATCTCCGCTTAAAAATCACTGACACCACTCATCCCTCTTTTACCGCCCGCAAACAAAGCGTCTCCATCCCCATCGCCTTCCGACTCGCCGCCAACAGCCTCCTCAGCCCATCCAGCTCTTTATTCAAATCATCCGGGCTTTGCTGCCGCCCGTATACCGAGCCGATGGTATCGTATATCTTTGTAAGCGTTCCGTTGGCTTGTGGTGTGATATAGAGAGATACGGCAGAATGGAAATATTCAATCTCGACCGTCGCCTTTAGCCGGCGTCAGCTTTGTATAGATAAAAAGCGAGATGCACGTACAGTAAGCATACCGCCAAGACCATACTGCCGTATACGTTGGAAACAGCCCAAGACGACCTGCGTCACATTCTCCACCAACGCTTGCAACACTTGCGCCAGCCTGGCAGGGGCGATATTGCTGACTTGCGCGTGGGTGTCGACTAGCAGCAGAATGATCTTGTGCATATAAGGGCGGATCTCTGCACGCATATCAGCTTTGTCCTTGACGTATGATCACGAACGCACCAGTAGGCTTGCCCACATTGACCCAATCAGTCCCTTCCAGTACGGCTTCCCTCACGATCTTGTCCTGCACCTCGGCCCTCTCGCCAATATACTTTTTCAGCACCTGCTCGTCCATCCCACCCACCACCTGCAAGAGCAGACTTTGCTCTTTGGCCATATCGACGTCCAAGAGTTTGGAAACCTTTGAGGAGATGGCAGGGATGGACGTTTGTTTGAGGTGGTGGAATTTGGAGAGCGAAATCAACAGACGTGTTTCCTATATCTCATCAGCTCTTGCCCTTTCCAGTCTTGCGCAGACTCACCAAACTGATATCAAGCTCCTCAACCCTCGACCCTCTCCCCACCCTTTTCCCCTGAACCTCATTCTTCCACTCATCCCTCGCCGCCTCCAAAATGCCATCAAAGCAATAACACTCCGTCTCCACCACCACCTCCCTTATCCGCCTCTTAAATCCTCCACCCAACCCCTCCTTCTCATCCCGCCCACCCCCATTCCTCGTATTCGCCGCCACCCTCTTTGCCGCGGTCGTCATCCTCAGTTGATAACTCTCAACCACCGCCAAATACCTGATCGAGCCCTTGTTGGAAGAGACAGAAGGAGAGGACCAGTCTTCGAGCCCGTGCAGGAGCTTGGCGTCTTTAGCCCAAGACGTGGCGAGGACTTCTTCCATCTTCCATTTCATACTGTCCACCAGGCCTTTCATCAAGCTTACTTCATTATTCCCCACGTCATAAGCCCCGAGCTCGCCGGCGCAGTCGGCGATTTCGTCCACCAGCTTCTCGGTGAAGTACCCCACTAGCACAGACGTACTTCCTTGTGGTACCCACCCCGTCGACGGGGACGCCGGCGGCAGCCCATCTCCCGCTCTAGCTCTAGCGGCGGAAGCATTCGCAAACCCACTCTCCGCCACCCCCCCATCCGACAACCTAAAAAACCCCGACACCAGCCCCACATACAACTTCATAATCTCCAACGCCATCGTCCTACACACCGACGCCGGTCTGTTCGACGGGGGGATGGTGCTGCCGCCGGAGGATTCGCGTTTGGAGTAGCGGCCTTGGATGCAGGATTTGCCGATACGCCAGAAGGCGGAGAAGGATTTGGAGACGTGGGAAGAGAGGTCTTTGCTGAGGTGGTGGATGGCGAGCCAGGCGGTGTCTGTGGGGGTTGCTTTGAATATTTGTCAGCTTTTTCGAGTTGGTGGGAGATGAGACGCACGGGATAAGGGATCGGGTTGGTACTCGGGCGTAGCGAGCTGTCGCCTCAAGAGCACCAGGTATGCACCAGGAGCAACATTCTGGTTCGCACAAGCGCGTTCCGCTGCTATACTCTCATCAGCATGATACGCGTACAATAAAATGCACCCTCACCTCGGGCTTTCTCCTGGTGTTTGTTAAAGATGGCCTTCATGGACCGAAGGATATGCGCATGTTGGTACTCGAGATACGTCCACGCCGCTTCATCGCTCTGATCCAGCTCGATCAAGATCCTTTACACTGTAAGCCTCTGCTCTTCTTTAGGGGCGCATGAAAAGACCCACTCGATTGTCCGTTCCTGTTCTTCCACCCCCCTCGTCACATCCTTGAGTTGAGCATTCAGCTTATTCCTCATCTCCCCCATAATCCCCTCCACACTCCCCCAAACCTTCTCAAACACCCTCTTCTGCTGCTCCCTGCTGGCATTCACCCCCGGTATAACCCCACCCCCTCCCCCGCTCCTCGATTCATGCAAATACAGACCTTTTTTGTAATCGCGCAGGGCCTGGTCGTATTGGTTGGCTTGGATGGAGGTTAAGAGTTGGCCGGGGAGGGTGAAGAGGAATTTGGATTTTTCGAATACGGCGAGGGTGGAGCGGAGTTTGGAGGCTTTGACGGCGTTTTCGAGGACGGGGAGGAAGACTTGGTCGGCGCGGTGGGCGGCGACTGGGGTAGAGTTGTTAGCATGTGGGACGAGGAAGGGGAGGAAGGGGGAGAGAGGGACGGACCTTTGAATATCTCGCGTAGTTCTCTTGTGCCGTGGTCCGTATCGTCCGCTAAAAATCCTTCCTTCATATCCCTATACACCACTATCCCACCATCAGTTCTCTTCTCCTCGCAACCAATGAGTTGACAACGCACCTTCACTACTAGCCTTGACGGCCACAAAGCGATCAAAGTTGTCCTCCACCAATATCCTCACAGCTTCTGACCGACTCTCTATCGCCCGCTCCAGATTCGATATCCCTCTTCTCAAGTCTTGATACGAAGCGTCCGGGTGGTGGGCCGAGAGAAAGACTTTGGGGTCGAATGATTTGGAAGAGAGGGAGGTTGCGGCACGGGTCTTGAGGTCTAGGTCCATCGTCCTGATTCCTCCTCATCAATTTCCATTCCACCCGCTAGCCTGAGGAGGGGAGGTAGTACTGACCCACTGAGTTTGCCTCTGAGACCAAGAGGATCATTGACCTCCCCAGCATTTCGGCCATCATCCCCCAGCCCCCCAGCGCCCGCGAGAGGTCCTTCCTGTTCGTGGTCGATAGACTCCCATTGGTCGGGATATACAGACGCTATACCATATAGCTTGAGCACTGCGTCAATCACAGTAGTCAGCATGACTATCTTCAGGGGAGGATGAGAGGGGGCATACGGGCGGCTTCGTCGACGTCGCGTCGGGACATGGTGGTCGAGTTGTCGGTGGTTTGCTGTTGCTCCAGCCGTATGCGTTGTAATTCCACGTTGCTTTGACTTATGAAACGGGGGATAGTGGTGAGTGTCTGCACGCAATGTTACCTGGGGATTACTTTACACCTGTAATGTAGAGCGGTTGCGCGCATGACAACAGTAACGGGATCAAATGAAAGTCGGTGGTCCGCGCCCGAGTTGGATGACAGCATCACTCTTTCTACCGTGAGGGGCGGCTTCAGTCTTCCCTGGCCCGGGTAGCTCTGGGGTCCGAGTGAATTACAATTGCACACACAAGGGAACGAAGAAGAAAAAACACAGTCATCATAGAAGTGACCAAAGACAGAGGGGTAGCATTGCCATATCGAATCTAGGCTACAATCTCCCATCCCAACCTCTTGCCCGCCCAGAACGGCATAACCTCCACCCCATCACCCTTGAACGTCCCCCTAACAAACCCTTCCTCCTCTCCCGTCTTCATCAACTTGATCTCTTGCCCCGCCTTCGCCGATACCTTGTAGAACGCCCTACCGTGGCCCGAGACGAATCCTTCGAGCTTGTCCAGCGCGCCAAACGATTCAAGGAGGGTAGCGACAAGGGGAATCAGAATGGGGGATGTGTATACACCAGCGGCGCAAGCGGAGACGGCTCCGTCTTCCGTCAAACCAGGCGCTTTCGAAGAAAGCGGGTGCGGCGCACTATCACTCCCCAAAAAGAACTTTTTGTTCCCACTCTTCACAGCTTCCTGCAGCGCTTTCCTATCTTTCGGCTCTTTAGCCAAAGGCTTGCAGAAATGGTGCGGCTGGGGCGCGACCTCGTCGATGGAGAGGTAGAGGTGGTGCGCGGTGATGGAGCAGGCGACGTTGTCGGGGAGGGAGGCGACGGTGGAGATGGCGGCGGAGGTGGTGGCGTGTTCGAGGACGATGCGGAGGGAGGGGAAGGCTTTGGCGAGAGTGGTGAGGTGTTCGAGGAAGTGAACTTCGGCGTTGAGGATGGAGATGTTCTAAGAGTCTTGTCAGTATTTGATGGCGTATATGTCACTCAGGGGTTAATCACCTTCTCAGCATCGCTGGGCACTTCGCCATGCAGGTTCAGAACCATACCCTCCTCTTCCATAGCCTTGAAGACAGGGTAATAGACTCCATAGTCTTCGATACCAGAGTTGGAGTTGGTCGTCACACCTCGAGGATACGACTTTACACCTACCCATTCCGTCAGCTTCATCCAGACACTCCCTTGCACCCACTCTCGTCTTTTCCTGTTCATAGCACGCCCCTCCACCTTACTCCCCAAGGGAGAAACAATAACGTACCCTTGATACCAGCATTAGCAGCCTTCCTAATCTCCTCCGGCGTCACCTCCGGATGCAGATACAGCGTCATCAACCACTCCACCGAGGGTTCGATCCTCTCAAGCTCCTTCTTGTACGCCAGCACCGCTTCAGTCGAGGTAAGTGGGGGCACCAAGTTGGGCTATCGACAGTTCATAAGCTCGAGCTCGGCTTTCGACAAGAGGTATGAGGTAGGAGGTAAGAAAAGGGATAAGGAGAGGGTGGGCTTACCATGACATAGGCAGTTTTGACACCGCCTTTAGCGACTTGGGGAGTGACGAGCTCGCACATCTTGCCTTGTCGGACGTGGACGTGGAAACTATTGCCAGCCATCTCTTATCAGCTCCACTTCATACCAATCTTTTTCTTCGAGTCGAAAACGCACTCGGCGGGGGCGGGTAAAATGATTTCTTGAGACATTCTTGCTATCTTTTGGTATTGGGGGGAAGAGATGAAAGATGTAGAATTGGAGATGCATGGAGATGAGCGCGGGTGGAAGTGATGGGCGGAGGGCGCCGCTACCAACCATATCGCCCGGATATAGGTTGAAGCCGTTGAACGATGAGATCTTCATGCCTGATACACTTTGTCGTCACTTGGAGGGCAGAAGGTCGAAGGCCGAAGTCTAGAAACGATAAGTACATGATACTTTCGAGAAAGTGGAAGAATGAGCTCCCAGCTTCTCTGACCGAATGAGTATCGATAAAAGACGAGACTTCAGGTCATTCGGACGCGAATCTGGAGCCGATATATAACCAAGCTTATAGAAGATACTCATGAACGCGAGCTGCCTTCAAATAGCAGAGTGCGGACACAATACATCAGCAGCCAGCACCGAAAAGCAACTTACCTCGAATCCGGCGGAGTTCGGAAATGCCCGACCCCACGGCTATCTACAGGTCGGGCACTACTGCCAAATGCCAATGACCAGGCCGAGCACCTCAAGTCTCGAGCACGCCCTGTCACCCGTCACTGCCCGCCCTTTGCTGTCACCGAGCTGTCCACGGCCCATCCTGTCGGCCAACATATGTACAACAGCCAAAGTCAACACAGAAGACCGGGGATCCCGGAGAAGGCCGCCGTACGCAGCGTCGTGTGTGACGCGTCTTCACCCATCTCCTCTTGTCGCTTGTCCTCTTCTTTCTGCCCATTCTTTGAAGCCTATACATTCCATGACAAGGCGTTTCAGTAATTCACTTGTAATAAACCCTCCGCAATCAATCGACCGGCCAGCTCACGCCAGCTCCTGACTCTCCTGAAACCCGCCGCTACGCCGCCTGTCGATTGTGATGTGCCTTAATCGACCTCTTGCCCGACCGACTCTCCCCTTTTTCTCACGACAGCAACTCACCTCTCCTTCACCATGCAAACAATCCCAATTCCCACGGGAGGGATCGGTCTGCAACGGTCCTTGTGCCTGTCTGCTCCGCTGGGCCCGAATGGAACACGATCATTACTCCGCGAAAAGCGTTAGGCGTGGTCATATACACTCGGCGTCTGATGAGGACGTGTAGGGACGCCAGGTGGTGGCGCTCGGGTCGCTCTTTGGCCCAGGGATCCAGTGGATGCTAACGGGTGGTTTCTTTTTCAGGAGATACACTTTTCGCCTTCTCTTTCTTCTGTGTCTTGATCAAACCCTTGTGTTTTCTGACTGGGCTATAAATCGCTGTATATCACCCATCGGACGCTTGCTTGCTGGAATCCATCAAGACCCATCAAAATCACAAGACAGAAAGCCCTTGTCGTTCACCCGCTGATCAAGCACTCAATCATCTCATCCCTGGCCCGTCGTCTGGCAACGACCCACCATCTCGGCGCTTAAAATCACCTCTTTGCCACTGATCATCTTATTGCTGGCCATCATTCGAGCTCCCAGGAGCTAACAAGGCGCGTTTGTTCACCATGAACATTGTTGTAAGCCCATAATAGCCCTGACTGGTTCACGAAGCTGACCAACGCGCACAGATCGACGACTTTTCTCCTCAAATCGAGTACTACGCCTCAGCCACCTCCGCCTCAGGATGGACGACCAACCACACCGCCGGTTAGTCAATACACCCAACTCCATCCTCTTCAAGATTCTAACGGTATCTGCCTTTAGACGCGCTTCTCTCTTCCTACAGTAAAGGGACCTTTCACGGCACATGGGGCGATGGGGATAGGATGGTGTACAGGTTCAATGGCAGTGCTGTGGCGATCTACGGGGCGAAGAGGGACAATCATGGGATATATGGGGGTACGTCTGGGCTGAGGAGAGTAGAAGGAGCGACTAACGGGTATCGCACAGTGTCGCTCGACGGAGGGGATGAGCTGACGGCCGATGGGTACTCTGCTACTCCGATCTTCAGACAGCTCCTGTACACGAGAGGGGGCCTTGATGATTCTGAACACACCGTTGTAAGTTTACTGTCATTCGAAGCAGATCAAGGAGCTGACGTCGGGTTGAAGACGGTGACAAATCATCCCAACTCGGGCACCTCGGCAGCTGATGGCCATCACTGGCTTGATATCGACTGCATTGAAAGTGGGATAGACTTCTGTTCGACGTGACACGTTCTGACTTGTCTACTCAGCTACAAGTTCTGTGGATGGCTCTATATACACCACTATCATCGACGACTCTTCTTCTGTAATCGTCTATGATGGCTGGGAGACGTATCTGGATGAGAGCAACAACGTATTGTTCTACAACCTCACGGATCATACGACTTCGACTTATGGGGCGACTATGGATATTCCGTGAGTACCTCTCCAAATCGAAGTGGCCTGTGCTGATAAGCGCGCTAGGTTCACCGGCTCTTCGATACAAGTAATGGCTTCCGTGAACTCTGGACATGGAAACTACTCTGTCAGGTGTGTAGATACAACCATAACAGCACCCGTCGCTCATACTTGTTACAGTCTCGATGGCGGTGCAGCCTCAACTTACAATGCTACTTTTGACGCATCAGCCTGGCAACTTCCTAGTACGCTTTCGACTCTCTTCGCTCTCCTAATCTCACTAACTTATCTTGATAGTTTTCACTGCGACGAATCTCCCGGACGGCAATCACACAGTCAGACTCACCAACCTCGGCTCTGGCAGCACCAACACTCTGAGTTTCGACTATGCCGTCGTCAATTCCACCATTTCATCCGATAGCTCTTCCACCACGGACGGCTTGAGCCAAGCGACTACCTCTGCCAATAGTACCGCCCCCACGGCGAGTACTTCCGCCACGTCCATCTCGGAGAGTTCTTCCCGCGGAACACCCGTCGCTGCGCTCGTGGGTGGTATCGTTGGGGGTATCGTCGCGCTCGTGCTCGTTGCTGGGCTTGCTTTCTGTCTTTTCCGCTGTCGACGCAATCGTCGTCGATACGGAGATGACGACGCATACTACGCTTCCGCGTGGTCTCCCTGGCGAGAGAAGAAGCGGAGCTCAAAAGGCGATACTCTCGATCTGGGTGAGCATCCCGATGAGTCGATGGCGGGCACGCCCATGGGTGTGGCGTATGGGACTCCCGTCACACCCTTCTTCCACTCCCCCCACCCTCAATCTCATGCCAACTCCCACCCCCAATCCAATTCCTACGCCAACTCCCACCCTCACTCCCCACATCAGCAGTACCCCGCTGCACCCTCATCCGGTTCCAGCGGCGAAGCGTTCTACTATCCCCCCGACGCCCGTCAAGCCCCCTCACCATCATCAGCACCGCATGAACACAGTCCTTTCCTTACCCAACTTCCCGCGCCACCCGCGTCTAGCGCCACGTCATACCAACACTCTGCCCCTTCCGCTCTTCCGACATCTTATGCCCCGTCGGCCCTTCCAACTTCTTATGCCCCCTCTTCGGCGTCGGTGATATCCCCCGACCGGGGGCCTAGTACACGCAATGTACGCACCCTCCCTAACACCCCTGCGAGGCAGTCTTCAGCCGATAGCGGTATGACCACCGCACCGGATACGCCCAGTACCACCTTGAGCGAGAAATCCCGTCGGCCGCTGGCGACTGCGGGTGCAAACGAAGGAGGTCTGCCGAGGATAGACAGTCTGGGCAGTTTTGGGACGTTGCAGGAGGAGGCGAGTGTGGGGAGGTTGAGTGGATATGGCGTGAATGGGCATGTCCACGGGTTTGGACTTGGGCACGGCGGACATGAGGAAGATGCGGGGAGTCTGGGGATGGAAGAGCTCGCGCCGCCGGATTATACACAGGCGACACAGCCTCTTCCGGGGCAACATGAGAGATCTGTGTGAGGTATACACGGATAGTCGTCTTTTTCACATATTAACATTCTTTTGGACGACGAATTGGGTCTTGAACCCATTCAAGGTTAGGGTTGAAGAGCCTTGGGTCTTGTGCCAGGTATGATATGCAACTTTTATGTGGAAACTCATGGCAACTTTTATATCATAACCTCGTCAATCCAGGACCAAAACTCAGGAACACAGAGGTCTTCTCACTGTCGATCCTCGATAGCGCATGTGCTATAGTGACTACATGATCGTCGGGATATACTACTGTTGCTAGCGCTCGTGTCCCATACGTCCTGGCCGACTGCTCATATATTTTGCTCTTTATTCATCAAAGCGTAATCTGCTACATATCATTATGACCGATATGATATCAATGCCCAACAGCAGCCCTGAAGTCTACTGCGAAACAGTCCTTGCTGATAATTGGTCTTGAGACTGTTCCGGGTCTTGCCAAACAAATTCCCATATAGCGTCCTCGGTGAGTTGATCCTAGGCTCGGCGCAATCGGAGCCAGGGGCTTTTGTCGAGCCTAAGTTGATCCACCTTCCTGACTGTGTTTTCGGCTGCAGCACTCGTCAAACGAAGCAACGCGCAACGCTGCTTGCTCCGCCTCCGTTTCGTCAAGAGTTGTTTGAGCGGTCTGCACGCGAGATTGGAGGTCGGATATCCTGTCATTTTCGGCCTTTCTACTTGTCACTCGACGTGTTCTATCTGGAAGTAGTCCCGTTGAGACATGGTAATGACGCGAAAGACGATTGACACGCACCAACGTCGCGCCTCGTCCGTAGCTCAGATTCAGTAAGCTCAGCAACATACTTTTTCGGCCTCCCTTCTTTTTCCGGCCTAAATATTGTTATACGAAGAAGTATAGGAAGTACATCAGAAGTAAGCAAAGTCCACTTCGCCACGTGCGCGATAGTTTATAGTTGGAGATCCGGTAACGGCATACCTGATGACTTCTTTTTACTGTTGTCTGTGCTTCTTCCTTCGCCGATTGTGTCTATTGTATCAACGACTGCATACAGAGTGCCAGGTGTCAGCGGAACTCATCACTTGACCACATGCCATGTTTGTCTGCTTGATGATGAACCGGTAGTCTGAGATAGATCCAAGAAGAAACTCACAAAGGCTCGACCTGACTACTGTCAGCGGCACCGAATGCCTGTGAAGGCCGTACAACAAATCATTAGTCGGTGTCTTCACGAGCTTGAAGACTGACCCTAGTACAGTACAAGTCCTCGTCATTATAGGCAGATCTGGCATTGTTGTTGCAATCACTGCCGAAGGAACCACCGCCACCTTCACCTGTGTTCATGATGATCGGTTGTCAGAACTGAGTTGAAGATGTGACACTGCGATATCACTGTATTTATGTATACAGTTGCCGATACTGAAGTGCTTACAAACCAGTGCCTACAAACCCACGTAAAAGCTGTCAAAGAATCACACACATGCAAAAGAAGTGCGTGATCCTTGGTTTGATTGGCAGACTACATTATGCTTCGCGATCACCATCGCTGCGAATTCCCATGCAATTTCGTAGAAACGGTGGTCCTTTCTGTTGTGGCCTACTTTTGACATGTCAAATAATGACATTATGATCTGAGAAAAAGGAGCACGAATAACATCTGCCGGCCACCACAGCACTGTCATCATCATCAGATCAGTTCTTGATCCTCAATGACTGCATAGTGACTACACCCTCAGGAGGAGAGACGATTTCCGCGAGCACTTGTTGCATCCCGGACCGATTGATAATGCATCTCGCCCAGCTTTCACCAAATGTGACATTCCTTGTGAAACTCTGACAGACCAGGCCATAGCAGCAGCCAGCCAACAACTACGGACTCGACCAGGCATTGTTGTGCATAGCTAAAGTACATATCAATACTGGCTCTGTTCCTGGTCATGCGGCTCAAAGTCCCAGAGAGCATCCTCATTGATTTGGTCCATCCTCAACAGTTCGTTCTCAAATTGAGCATCTGACAACGCATTACGCAATGCTGCCTGTTCATACTGAGTGTCATCGAGACTCGTTTGAGCGGCCTGTACGCGAGATTCGAGGTCGGCGATCTTGTCTTTTTCGTTTTTCCTCAATTTTCGTTGACTCTTTCTGTCTATATGAGAGCCAAATCAGAACTTGGAACCAATTGATTGTATTGTGCGCCTTGATACGGTCCAAATCAATTGATACGCACTACTTTCGCCCCTCTTTCGTTTCTCTTCCTCATTGAGCTCAGAGAGCGGTCTGTGCTTTTTTGATTGTTTCGTCCCTGTTGGATGATATTAGTATCACAATATATGGATATGAGATTATAGAATCGGCACAGTGTATCCCTCTACATGATGAGCGATAGGAACAAATTGAGCGATAGGAATAAATTGGGCGACGGCATACCAGACTTTGTGCTTTTGCCCATGCTGGGCCCTGCTTCGTTCACGGCGCTGTTGGTCAGCTAATACATGCAAGGCGCATCATGGTGTCAGTACTCTTGGTACCAAATGGCGTTTTCGTCCTCTTTGTAGAAGCCAGCAGGCTCAAGCAAGATTCGCGACTCACATGATCTTCGGTGCCAGCAGCAGCAGCGCTGAAGTACGGTGCAGACATTGCCTGCTGCTGGCTATTGAAGTAGTTCTGATCAAAGGTACTCATTGTATCACTCATTGTCTGCGATGGACGTTGATGATAGCATTCAGGCATCCAGATTTCATCCCTACAATCAGTGATGATCATCAACAACGAAGTGTACTGACCGGAGCATAAGACGCGACAGAGTCGTCATGGAAGAAGACAGAATAACTGGCATTGTCAAAGGCTTCTCCGAAGAACTCGTCACGTTCGCCTATGTCGGTGTTGTTGTTTGAGAAGGACATGTTGATCTTTCGTTGTCAGGATTGAGCAGAAGGTGTAATACTACGACACTACGGCCTTTATGTATACTCTCTACTGATACCGAGGTTTCAAGCGGCAAGTCCGACAACAAGAGCTGTGAAGAAAGAACCTTTGGGGGCAAAGAAAAGCTGGTGGCATAATGGATCGGTCGTGGAAAGTGCTGTGCATTCCCATGCATATAACAGGCCATTCGTTGTTTTTCTACAGCCAGCCCAATTCACATGTCTTTAGATAGATGAAATAGGACTACGAGTACCGTACTACTGTGGGAAGAGCTTCTCACGAGAATGATGAGTAGTCACTATGAGAAGATACACCTCTTTCTTGTCTCTATTCCTTTTGTTACGACTGTGCGAAGAGCTTTTCACTAGGATGATGAGCAGTCACTATGAGAAGATACACGTCTGTCTTGTCTCTATTCCTTTTGGTACAGATGGCAGAGTCAGTCCTGGATCGGAGGAAATGACAGACAGAAAGACTAGACCATAATAAATGAAGAGAAGATGCCAGAAATGCAGCAGCTGACCAATTACTCGTAGAGTATATACGTTTTACTACTACTAAGTCCCGTGTGGCGGACAATGTCAATCCTCCTTGCGTGATGAATGCACATGGACTACACCTGCTGGGAATAAGCTCACCACCCGTTGATCATCCTAAAAAAATCGTTGCCATGCTGATCTTTGATGACCTTAGCTATCCTGAATACAGCCTTTTTCCTCAAAGGTGATTCACGCCTCTGCCATCCACGCTTGAGCTTCTCGTGAGCAAGGCTGACATGTTGCGCGGTTGGCAGAAGAAGATCGATGGCATAACAAGAAAAGGAGTATTAGCGGAGCTTGAATGTTGATCATATGATTTCACTAGGCCATCTTTCATGGTCCTCAGTATCCATTGAATTGAAATAACCTCTAGACAGAAGAAGACAGATGCATCGTCGGGCTCGAAATATACCTGATACTTTACGCAACAAAGCAGTCGCGTGGCCCCGCAATTGCTGACCAAGCAAAACCTCCACTTCCGCAAAAGTTGTTGACAAGGCTGAGATACCGACTGACTTCTTGTGATCATCTCTGCAGCGCTCATATCCTCAATCCTGTCTCGCATTTGGTGCTCCCGCCATGTCGCAGCCCACCCAAAACCATCACGAGGAAGAGGAAGAAGAAGACAACGTCTATCTCGCTGAAGACGATGTGGAAGAAGTTCTCGAAGATGACGGTGGCCGACCTGACTTTGAAGAAGATGCAGAGGAGGAACAACCTCAAGCGGAGGGATCAGAGCTCAAGGACCTTGGAGATGATCTTGGAAACATCGAGCTGGAAGCCAAGAGGCGGAGGGTAGTCAGAGAAGATAATAGCTGGGGCTCGATCGGTATGTGTCTTTAGGGGATGAGCAAGACTGACAAAGTAATAGCTCTTCATGACAACCTCAAGTCCATCTTTGCTCTATCACTGCACCCCAAGTTTCCCAACCCACCTCTGGCCATTACTGGTGGCCAAGACGACACCGGTTTCATATTTTGTCCCATCCCTCCGTCGGCATCGGCATCATCTTCCGAAGTAAATTCTCGAACGTTCCCTCCTGTACGCCTTACAGGGCATACAGACTCTTTGGCATGCGCAGCCTGGAATCATGATGGTGAAATGGTAGCTACTGGGGGCTTGGACGGCCGGGTCAGAGTCTGGCGGAGAGTGCGAAAGAGCAGAGGAAAGCCGCTCACGGACGAAGAGCTGGAGGCCAGAGGCATGGAGGCTTGGAGAAATTGGGAGTTTTTGGACAACTTGGAGACCGGAAGTGAGATCGAGGTGTGTACAACTCTGTACTATCCTTGACAAATTAAACTGACAGAGAGTCAGTGGTTGACATGGCACCCAAAAGGCAATGTCCTGTCAGCCGGCTGTGACGACGCTTCCGTCTGGATGTGGTCTTGTAAGTGTCTTATCTATCTACATGCCTCTCAACTGACATTGTGTCACAGTACCTTCCGGAAACACTCTAAACGTCTTCTCTGCCCACACCATGCCCCTCACCGCCGGTGTATTCCCACCGCCCTACAAAAACCTCCTCACCTCCTCCCTCGATTCTTCCTTAATCCTCTGGGACCCCCGCTCCACCTCGCCCATATGGAAAATCAACACTTTCCTCCCACCCAACATCACCACCATCAACCCGAGTATACACGGTACCACCTCCATAGCCGTCTCTCCTCGAGGAGATATTGCTGCTGTGGGAGGTGCGAACGGGCTTGTGAAAGTTGTGCATCTGATAAAAGGGGAGATTTTGACGATTCTCAAGGGCCACAGACAGGGGGAGAGTGTAGAGTCTTTGGCCTTTGTGGACCTGATACCGGGTGGGGGAGATGGTGGGAAGGGTCTTGTTATTGTCAGTGGCGGGACAGATGGCAAGGGTTTTGTATGGGATGTCATCACCGGTCGAGTCCGCTCCGAGATCAATCACTCTGTGCGTATCTTTCTCTCCACCTTCTTGCATATAATCTGACAGAACGCAGGAATCAATCACGTCCCTCGCACCCCACCCTGCCCCCAACACACATCTCGTAACAACGTCTTCCATAGACGGTACGCTCAAAACTTGGGACGTCCGGACGGGAACGTTGGTGGGAGCACATACAGGGCATTCCGGCGGGGTGCTCTGTGTCGCTGTGGCTCCTTTACCCCCGAGCTCAGAGGAAGGCGAGGAAGAGAAGAGCCAGGTTGCCGTCGTCAGTGCCGACGACGAAGGGTACTGCAAAATCTGGAAAGTGTAGATTACCTTAGATATCTAGATGCTTGTCATTATGCAGGTTTGCATAGGTCATGCTTGTCGTCACTTTGGATTTAGGTCGTCATCTAGATACCCTATTCGACATCATCTGTCATTCTAACCAGCTCTTCACTCTCGCTCTCTTCCTCGCTGCTCTCTTCTTCCTCCTCTGCCTCTTCTGCCTCCTCCTTTGCAGGATCTTCCGTAACTACCACATCAGGCTTATCCCCTGCGCCTTTATACAGCCCACTAGCCAACCCCCCAACTCTCTTCCCTCCACCAACAACCCCCGCCGAAAAGCTCCTCCCCACATTACCCACACTCGCCAGCATCCCCCGTCCCATCCCGATATGCATCGGGTTCATGCTGCTCGTTCGTCTTCGCCCTTCTTCTTCAGTACCACCGCCTCTGGCGCCGATACCCGTGAGGGAAGCTTGACGGATATGCGGAGGTCGAGCAGAAGTGGGGAAAGCGAGAGACGTTGTGGATGAGGAGGGGGACAAGAATGGGAATGGGCTGCTTTGGTCCTCCGGTAGAGGAGATACGAGCGGAGTCGGAAGAGGAGAAGGATGACGCGGTTGCAATGAGATTGTCTTGAATTGCACTCCCTGCCAAACATTCTCCTCTTCATCATCACGCTGCGACTCCAAAGCCATCCCCTCGAGCGAGTGCAAAACCCGCTTCAAACCCGCCAAATCCGCTTCAACCTCTCCCACCTTTCTTTCCAGCCTCTTCCACTCATCGCCCTCTTCTTCATGCTTGACATACTCTTCTGCCTCACCCAAGACGGCTACCCGGTCGGCTTCGGAGCGAACTTTGGGGTTGGGCGCCAAGGGAGAGACGTCGAGAAGAGCTTCAAAGCCGCGGTAGACACGTTCGATGTCTGCTAGAGCTATCTCGACATCTACACGGGCGTCCTCGATCACCTCGTGCAAAGCATCAGACAACGTCTCGATTGTCGTCTGTGCCGACATCTTGCCTCCAAAGCCTGGAACCCCCGGTGAAGGCAGGGGTAGCCGAGCGAGCGGTAGGAAGCTTGCCTTCTTGCCACTTGTGGGCATGATCGGCGAAGAGGGAGTCGGAGGGGGGTCGGACGTGATGGAGCCGCGCAGTGAAAAGAGGGAGAGGGAGAGGTCGTGTAGGTTTCTTTGAAGAGGGGAGTAGCGGGTTTGGATAGGGTCGAAGAGGGTATGAAGTGTGGATATCTCTGGAGATGGTGATGGAGACGAAGGCTCTGATGAGGGCTCCGAAATGGGCGAAGCTGGCTCTTCGATGGTCTCGGGCGGAGGTACCTCAACCTGAAGAGCTTTAGGCGACTGATCCTTTTCGTCTCCTTCACCCTCCATATCAAACCAGACCTTGCTCTCCTCTCCACCATATTCAAGCTCCCCATCGACCTTGACACCTTCTACAGCATCCTTGGCCAGCCATTCCACTCTCTGCCTTTCCAGCTCCATCCGCCTTTCTTGCTCGATCTGCAAGTCTTGAGCGAGGGTGGTAACGAGGTCTTCGGCGAGTAATACACGAGCAAGGGATTCTTCTGCCGGGTCGCGGTCGCCGTTTTGGAAGTGGGTGGAGGAGCGTTTACGAAGCCGAGGAAGAATACCCCGCCAGCTTTTGCGTTTCCCTTCGTCGATCCCTCCCGCCTCTAATGAGGGCAGATAGCCAGAAGCGGCTTCCAGACCTTCATCTAACAGTCCCTCCAGGACATCGGCTTCCAACACCGCTCCTTCCACTCCCTCTCTCAACCTCTTGACCTTCTCCGACCACACCTCCACCTTCTTCGCCCGCTTCTCTTCCTCCGCAATCATCCTCAACCTCAGAGCAATCTCTCTCCTTCTACCCGCACTCTCTCTCGTCGAGCTGAACGAGAGCTCATCCAGTGCCGCTCTCAGCCCTTGCGCCCGAGCGGCTTCAGCCGCAAGCTGGGTCTTGAGCACACCGACTTGAGCTCGGAGGGCGGTGATGGTCGCTTGCGACCTCGTGCGCTGGTTGTCCAAGTGCATATACACCGTCTTGTGCGTCTTTTGCGTGAATGTCATATACCGCTCCACCACCCCCGCCGCACTCTTATCATCCCGATCCACCTTTTCCTTCTCCTCCTCGACCTCTACCCGCCGGGCAGTCTCTTCTTTCAACTGCCCCTCAACAGTGGCGAGTGATGTATTGAGGGCATCGATCTGGGATTGAAGGGAAGATATGAGTGCGTCTTTGGAGGTGAGGCTGATGGTAAAGTCGTGGAAGAGCTGGGCGACACCGCGTTGGCCGATGAGGAGGTTGGAGATGGCTTCTTTCGATGATTCGATATTGTCCTCGGTCTCTTCTCCCTTTGTTGATGGATGTGCCTCCTTGTCGATACCGGCATCATCCGCTTGAACAGAAGAGGTCAGCCACGACGAAGTAGGCTTGGCGGGCACATCTGGTGGGACAGCGTTCGGGTCTAGCTTGTGCACGAGCTTCTTATACTCTTCCAATGCCAACTCTCTATGCATTTGTATCAGCTCGCAGTTTCTCTTCTCAGATCAAAAGACTCACAGGAGCTTCAACTGCCCCTCAGCCTTTCCCCTCTCCCCCTTCTCCCACTCGACCTCCTCCTCCTTCTCCCATTCCACGCGCTTCACCTCACTAAGCACCCTCCTCTCCTCTTCCCTCTCCAACACAAGTCGCTGAAGCGCATGCTTAGCAGACGCGAGGTCGGATGACGTGGACAGCAGACGGCTCTCGGTCAAGTCGAGTTTAGAAGACAGTCTCCTATGGGCGAGGGAAAGTTCGGTCAATGCCTGCGAGCCAGACTGGACTGGCGGCAAGGGCGGGTTCGCCCGGAGTATCTCTAGCTCTTTCAACAGGCTCTCATGGACACGATGAGTCTTCTCGAGCTTATCATTTGTGAGAGAAGTTTCGAGCCGGGAGCCTTGTAGTTGGATGGAAGAGGTGTGGGCGATGAATTGGTACTGGGCGAGTTGTGAACGGAGGGATGTGATTTCGAGCATGGCAGGGTGTGTTGCTAGGAGATGAGAGGGGGGCGGGGAGGAGGATGAAGGCATATTTTGGTTGATGAAGAGGGAAAAGAGGAAAAGAAGGCAACTGTGAGCAAAGTGCACGCGCAGCCACCGCGGGCCCGGACGCTTGCCGCCAATGCCGCACTTGCACCAATGGAATTACGGATGTAGGTATCTATGCATGGTGCTCTATTATGTACCAAACCCTCCCATCTCTCTCACATACTAGGCGCAGACGAAATGTATATAGATCCCTAAGTAAAAAGACAGATAAGAAGAAGCCACGACCTAATCGCAGATTTACTGCGCCAAGCTATGCAGGAGGAAAAAAAAAGGTATCAAAATTAGACAATGCGTATGGAGAGACATGATTGGGATGGATGGAGAGCTTTTAGGGGTGGTTGGATGATGGATCTAGAGATACAACGGGGGGCTGGAGGGGTCTAGTCAGAGTCAACGAAGAAGTAGGCACCAGAAGACTTCTGCTCCTTGTCCTTCAAAGAGTCCATCTTGTTGATACGAGGTCGGCTAGAGAGGCGTTAGACACAAGCTCGTACACGTGTTGGAGATACGACTTACAAGTTGGTAGGATCTCTTCGGAAAGTAATGTCCAAGCTCTTCAAGAACTTGTTCATACCCGACAACAGACCCTCCGGCTTCCTCGCATAAGACTCCTTACCAGGCTGACCTTCAAAGAGAATAACTCGGTCGGCAAGGTAGGTGGCCATGATGAAATCGTGCTCGACGATGAACGCGGTACGCTTGGAAGACATGACAAACTTCTTGATGACCTTGGAGGCGTGGATACGTTGTTCGGAGTCGAGGTACGCGGAGGGTTCGTCGATAAGGAGGACGTCGGCGGGGACACCGAGCACGAGACAAATGGCGACTCGTTGCAGCTCACCACCAGACAATCTGCGTCATATTAGCAGTGCTCGCTGAATGGCAAGGTGGATGGAACTCACGTCTGGACTTCCTGGTCCATGATGGGCTCCAAATTCATAGGCTTGAGGACATCAGAGTTGTATTGAGGGTCTGTTCAAATCAGCGCAATTCCAACCTCCCAAGAATTAGCCTCACGCATGAAAGCTCCCTTGATCCTCTTCAACAACAACTGCCTAACGGTACCCGGGAACTTGGGCGAAATCGTCTGAGGCTTCATAGAAACCCGCATCTCAATCTTGTCCGTCACACCATCCGCCAACATCTTTCCGCCTAGCAGCTGCACCAGCGTCGTCTTGCCCATACCATTCTCTCCCAACAAGACCAAAATCTCGGAATCGGCAAACTCGCCCGCAGTGACGTGCAGCTTGAAGTCGCCGAGCGTCTTGACCATGTCGGGGTACTTGTATCGTCGGGTCTTGGGCGCTTGGAGCTCGTCGGCAGTCTCGGCAATCTTGAACGTGAGAGATTCGTCTCGGAAACGGAGGTTTTCGGTGGGGATCATACCGTCGAGGAAGATGTTGATACCTTCTCGGACAGAGTAAGGCATGGTAACAACACCATAGGTACCGGGAACACCGTAGAGGACACAGACGAAGTCAGAGAGGTAATCAAGGGTAGCAAGATCGTGCTCGACAACGATGACATAGTTGGTGGCGGTTACCAAGCCACGGATGACCAAAGCGGCAGCAAGACGCTGACGGATATCGAGATACGATGAAGGCTCGTCAAACATGTAGACGTCGGCGGTTCTGCAGGCGGCGATACCGATGGCAAACCTCTGGAGCTCTCCTCCAGACAACTGAGAGACCTCTCGGTCTTTCAGGTGCGTGAGCTCGAGATCCGTCTCGAGTTGCTCCCGCTGGCCCGTCTCCGACTGCCTGTCAAACATCTTGCCAACGGTCATGTTGGGGATCTTAATACTCCTCGGGATCTGATCCACATACTGAGGCTTGGTGACAGCCTTAATGTCGTCTTCCAACACTTTGGTGAAAAAGTTTTGCAATTCACTTCCTCGGAAGTGCTTCAAAATCTCCTGCCACTCTGGTGGGTCGTCGTAGCGACCGAGGTTGGGCTTGAGCTTGCCAGACAGGATTTTGAGGGCGGTGGATTTACCGATACCGTTGGTACCGACGAGACCGAGAACCTGGCCGGGACGGGGGGTGGGGAGACGATGAAGTTTGAAGGCGTTGGCGGCGTAACGGTGGGTGACATGGGATTCGAGGTTGGTGGGAAGGTTGAGAATTTGGATGGCTTCGAAGGGGCACCTGGGGTGATGTTAGCACGGGAGCTTGTAATATTTTTGCGCGAGGCGCTATTCCTTAGAGTCGCGAGCGCGAACGGGAGTGTGACGTCCAGCGTTTGCGGCCAAACGACCTTGTCGCGTCGTTCGTGCATGCACGACAAACAATTCGCATACAGTACGCCCTTCAAAAGCAGATACGAGCGGAAGGAACCTCAGAAGAAAGGAAGCTCACTTCTTGACGCAGATACCACAACCAATACAGAGCTCTTCAGAGATGAACGCCTTTTTGTCGGTGGGGTTGACTTCAATACAAAGCTTGCCCATCTTGACCACGGGACATGATCTCCTGCATTCTTGACGGCATCGCTTGGGTTTGCACTAAGAACAAAGAACAAGAGTCAGCGAATGCATCAACGTGCGGCAGCCAGGCGCGGATCTGGACGCACCTTGTCGTCAGAGATGATGGCAACACGGGTGAGCTTGTCGGACATGGTGGCGGATGATTTCTCTGGGTGTTATGTGGTAGGCGGGGGTGAGAGGCCCTGTCGGCGGTGGTGAGAAGAGGGCGAAGAAGGAGATGAGGCGGTTGAGGAGGACTGAAAGTTGCAGAGGGCGGCGAAAAATCCAAAATCACAGACCGACAACGGATTTTCATTGTTTCAAGCTCCTGTGTGATAGGCGCGCCGGGATCAATTTGCTCAGCCAACCAGGAATTTTCTAATTACAATACGCTTGCCTACTTGCTGTTTATAGTGACGTGCCTATTATCCGGCGCGTCGGCTTTTTGTTGTTTGTATTTTCGTCCTGCTTTTTTTGTCTGTCTTCTCGCGTCGGTGATCACCATGCGCGCGATAGCCAGACCCTCATTGTCCCAGTGTCTTACTTTCCTTTGAAACTCGCTAGCTGTAAATGTGCGAATAGCTCGGCCATTAACGGTGGCAGGCAGCATGCTGCCGTACTACTATTATTACTCAACACCGCCGAACTGATCGGTCGCTCACTCGAGGGACTTTTTTTTTTTCTCCTTTGTCTTTTGCATGTCCTTTGCGCACATTATTGCCCTAACTATGACATATGCAGCCTATATGTACACCAGAACTATTTTTGGTATGGCCTTCGAAGCTACGGCCTTTCGCTAAAAGATGACCACATCCTCTATCTTCTTCTTCTTACCCATATACTTTTCCACGTTGACCATCAATCATGTCCGACAAAGAAAGTGAACACACGGTCAAATACCCGGATGCAGTGAGTCGAGATCGTTTTCTCTATCGTTCACGGCCGAATAGATTCGACGATGAGGGAAGGATGCTGACAGAACCGTTCTCTGTGCAGTCGGTTGACGACAACACAAACGCAGAAAGCAGCAAGACAGGTGAGTTTGGTTTGCCTTCTATCATCCTCTTGATGTTGATCATAAATCAATCTTTCTTTACTGAACCCACAATCCATAAGTCATCTAAGCCAAGAGAAAGCCACGAGAAGGCCATTTTCCGAGCTCACTGAGAAGGAGCAGAAGGAGCGTATCATTTGTGCGTAACAGGTCCTCTTTTGATGGATCTGGGAGTTCTACACAGATCATGGAGTCTACCTAAAAGCGCCTAGATGCTGACACTTTATCCGGTACAGATAGAGAAAGCCAAGCGAAGAGAACTCGTAATCGGGATTCAAAGATACGCGAGCTACAAGCTAGCTGTGACAAAGCCCTAACAAATCAAAGCTTTCTAGCGGACGAAAAGCAATATTTGCTTGATGCGTTGGCCAAGGCTAAAGCCCAGAACGAGTTGAGGAAGGAACAGTGGCCTGATGAGGAGGATCTCCCTTGGGACTATGATGATGATCGTCATGATTGAATACGGAATCTCGCCATTAGTGGTACCGCCGAGGCCGCCGCCACTGCTACCGTAGCCGTGAAGATTGAACATGGCTCGTTGCCTGTGGACACCGTCATGATGGGACAACGTCATGTTTGTCAAAGTGCGGCGGGGCGGTGTCATGGTGAGCAATGCCGGGAGGAGTATGCGGAGTGTGGAAGGGATGATATGACTACCGAAATGACATTGAAAGTTAAAAAGTACTCGGTACTTTCTACGACAGCTATGTATAGAGTTGATTCGAGGGCTTCTATGAAAGAAAGCACATGGGTCGACCGAGTCTCATTCTTTTTCCTATGTTCTTCTTTCAGTCTCGCTGTTTGCCATATATACTCTGAAATTCCAATGAGAGACAGCTTATATATATATATATATATATATCCTGAACCTCTGCCGCCGTCGACCCTTGGAGCTGCCATGCTGTACTCGCACATGTAGACCATTATGCAATCCCGCCCCTTTGGCGGACCTCCCTTGCCCTCTCGCAACTATTAGTCCGACCGACGAACCGAGTCCTCGGTCCTGTTAATTCCTGAGAATACATGTGTTCCGGCCGCTTTCGGCAGCCTGGTGTATTTTCATCTTCGGTTTGGACAGCTTGTGGGAGCTTATCCCGAGCACCAGAAAGGAAACCCCGTCCAGAAGTACTACAATAATTTGCTAAAACCGTATACTTTACACTATTCTCGCATGTGCTTTGGTCAGCGTCAATGCTCGAGTTTTAAGCGGAGTCTATGATAACCTCGAATCGGCAATCATCATATCCTGGCCAGGTGTATATCAGTACAAGTATGTTATCGCATCGTTATTGCAACTTCCGCCACTGGATATCATTTCACAGTACATCTTGTCTTACAACGACGACGCAAGTGGCGAACAGGAGCCTTTCTACTACGACGACGGAAGCTACGGTGACGACGCCGGTGTAAGCTCCTCTCCTTTGGCGTTTCTGCCTATGGCGAGCCGTCGGCTTATGGGGGGGTCAGTTGTCACACGTAGATCTTCCCTGAAGTGGCATGGCGCTGAGTTGTGTGGATGGTTGAAGGACGCGCGGTGTACATACTCAATTCATATCCTACTGTTCTACTCTTTCTCTATGCGATAATACCGAAAAGGTCTTTTCCCCTCCAAAATCACCTTTTCCCGTCCTCTCCCCTGCTGCGTCCCAGCAGGCCGTGACATCAGTACACTCCATTTTAGTGATAGCCATTGCTGACGCCCTGGCATCATGGGTGGTAAAAAACTTCCTTGAATCTCCTTCACTTTCGCTTACAGGAAGCGGGCAATCAGCAGCAACAACTATCCGGCTTTGATACTGTGTGTTGTACTATTGTTGTGTTAAGTCTCTCCACTGTCGCTTTAGAATTGCGGGGAAGAAAGGGAATCAGAATGAACCGAGCTGACAGAGCGCGCGCCCCGGTACAGTCATTCAACACGCTTAACGGAAGCGAAAGTAGCAAAGCCACGCGACGTGAGAAGCAACAAAAAGCATCCAGTATCCCTCGCAGTCTCATCATCATCTGAGAGCATGTGAGAACATGTTCGTCGAGACAGCAGAAAGGAAATTTAGCTAAGGACGGTCTAGTATGGGATCCCGCCGTTCAAACAGTATCCTTGCATCAGTGATGATTACGGGAATAAAACACACTCTTCTCACATGTCAATGATGCTCAGATTCTCAGCAGAGTAGAGTCCATTGTGGACGACGCTTTATGCAGTATCGGTGGGCGAGGTATATATGACCGTTGTGATACATACTCATCCAGTATCTTCTAACTTTGACTCATTCCCCAAGATCAATTCAGTAATAATGTCTCATGATGACTCCACTGGTGACGACGGCTTCTACTACTACTACGAAGACGACACCGACGCCATATCTGTTGTCCCTTCCGCTTTTGACAACACCTCTTCCTATGGCGGGGTCAGTAAATTCTATTCATTCGATGGTCACATCTAGCCACCGATTCTCGGATGTGGCTATGTATAAAAATCACATCGGATCCCTGAATCGTACATTGTGCAGGAGGCAAACAATTAGAGTCAACTGTATAGCCAGCAACAGCAGCAGCAAACATCTGAATCGATCGCCGCTGGTGAAGATTTCAGTCCTGTGAGCTATGGTTCTTTCATTTCCCATCAAGTCGAGAGACTGTCTGTCTATCAAGAATACGGGCTACAGAGGTACGACGGAAGAAAGAAGCTGACATGATGCGGCCTTTGTGCAGTCGTTCAACACGTTCGAATCCGTCAACAGGTCAGGTATGTCGTCTCCTGATCTCTTACTGAAATTATGCATAGAAGAATTGCTGATTCCACAATGCCATGCGCATCTTGTACCACTACTGCATATCCAGGCAGAGGCAAGGACAATATCAAGTCAGAGGTTGGGCTCACCGATAGTCAAAAGAAAAAGCGCGCCAGAGGTCTGTACCCGTCGACCACTACTGCGTCGGTTTCGAGAGCAGACCCTGTATACTGACATCAGTCGTAATCCAGATAGAACTGCCCAAGCTGTCTCGATCAAGAAGAAAAAGGAGAAGGTTCGAGACCTCCAATCTCGCGTGCGTGGCGCCGAGACAACTCTGAAAGCATCGGAAGAGGAACAGACTGAATTGCAAGCTGAATTGTCGAAAGTCAGCCCCGAAAACACAGTCATGATGTTTAAGAGCAAAGGCCATGATCACAGTAACGGTCAGAATCTCCCTTGGGAGTTCGAGGAGGACCCGCGGGAGGACCAGGGACAGTACACCAATTTCCTGAATGAGTAAAGACATGTCTGTCACATCGACGATCCTGATTTGACGAGGAGTAAGAACGAGAAAGTCCTAGGCCAATCTTGGTTGCCACACGAGTAGACTACCCAGTACTGAATATATATATATACTCCTACGCATGCCTCTCCCAATCTATACAAATAGGACGTACTCCATTAGCAATGACTGCGTATTGTGACGGCGTGTTGCAGGAAGTAAGAGACGAGCCCCGTCACGAGCCAGATGTATGGCGACCCCCTGTATGCTATCAATGTCCCGAAGAAGAACCTGTCACAGTGAAGGCAACAAGTTACATCGGAAGTCATTACAACTACTCCAGCCGACTGCTCGCAGACACGCTGTCGTCCCGGTGTAGATGAAATGTGGATACTTGAAGGTAAACTATGTCTTCTGTGGGTCAGCACTCGTTCCTCAATGAAGTTGTATCAAGAAGAGGAGGAAAAAGGATCAGGTAATAGTAGTATCGATCAATGCCGAGGCTCAGTAACAGCCTTCTAGTTGATGATGAAGTAGAAATCATCACAGAGTAGGGGGAAGGGGACGATGGGAGGAAAAGAAAGGAAGCAGTACTCACAGTGATATCGAGGAAGGTTTCTTGATTTTACAGTACAGCACAGTAAGAAGAAAGATGAAAGAGGAGGATGAGGCCAATTTGGTGGTTGCGGTTGATACGTAGAAAATACACGTCACGAGGCAATATGCGGCCAGCCCCGCGATCGAAATCTGCCGAAGCGGTTACAAACTTACTTACGAGAGAGAAGTTACAAAATATAATGATCTACAACGCGCCGTTTTGCCCCTCTCGCCTGATTCCAGGTAGCAGAGGGTGGAAGAAGGACTGGATGTAGATCATGCAGACAGATCATATGCATAGCAGGTCGATAGGTGTCAATTTTTCATCCTGTGCATCCTGCATTCTGGCGAGCAAAGCGCGTAACGTGAGATAGAAATCACTCCGCAAGCGGGCGAGCGGCAGGCGCCGCCGGCTCATAATCTTAAAATGCGTATCAAATGTAGCCCCGTTCCTCGAATTAGGCACAGCTTGTAGCGCGCTGTCGCCCACTCCAACCAAGGGAAAAGGAAATCTTTTCTGCTCTGTCCCTGCAACTAACTTGCCAACCACAGCCACACCCACGTTCTCCCCCCATTCACCCCCCTCCGCCATGCTCCGTCCATCCAGAGGCAACGTCAAGCTCCTCCTCGGACTCTCCGTCATCCTCAATGTCGTCGTCCTAGTCGCTCTCTTCGTCCCCAGCAAGCAGGCTCACGAACTCCTCGGCGAGGAGACATGGGCCAAGATCACCCAATTGGGGAACCACATTGAAGAACATAGGCATACCTTGGTCCCGGAAAAGAGCTGCAGCATGTGCGCTGTGGACCCAAGACTGTGCAATGAGCTGGGGTGAGTATCGGGTGATTACGGCGCGATCGTGCGTGAATCGGACCATGCTGACGTGAGACTATCAGAGAGGAGAACCTCAAGAGATCGCTGGGGTATGTGGGTACGAATCTCCGGTTGAGACGGACGCTGTCCAAGCTCAAGCGTGGTGGACGACTCACCGCCGGTGTTGTTGGAGGTTCAGGTATGTTTCAGTGTCCCCGGTTCGCAGCTTCGCTCTAATACATCCGCAGTATCAAAGGGGTTCGGTATCGACAAAGACCCAGCTTACTACCCTGATACACCGACAAATCTCAACAGAATAGTGTTTGACAGGCTTAACACTCTTTTCCCAGCGCCTAATGGAGTCAAGGTTGGAGACAGCGGGAGATCGGAGGATATGAACTCTTTCATCAACGGAGCGCAGGGAGGTGTCGGTGTGTAAATCTATCCTCCTTATCGTCACGGCGACTGACAGATCTATAGGTACGGACTACTTTTCTCTGTGTTACGGAGAACATCTTCCTGAGGATATGGACCTGGTGTTCATCGAACTTGCCATCAACGACGAAGTGTAAGATCAACACGTTCTGATGATTTCATAACTGACATGATCTTAGCTTGCTGAGAAACATCAACTCGTACGAACTTCTCGTCCGCAGTCTTCTCGATCTGCCCAGACATCCTGCGATCATGAACCTTCAGTGCGTTTCCTCTGCCGTTCTCATCACGATTGTGCTGATTTGTCGATAGAGTCTTTGCTCTCGAGTTCAACACTGTCACCAACGGTGCCGAGATGGTGAGCATCCTATCTGCCCAGACCTTTCGAATTACTAAATCGTATACAGCACACTGGCGTCGCTCAATCCTACGACCTCCCCGTCCTCTCCCTTCGTAACGCGCTCTACCACGAAGTCTTGAAGAATGCCTCCCTCGTGAACGAGCTGTTCTGGGTCAGCCCCCAGGGTAAAACAGATCTTCGACATGTCAGTCTCCCTGCTCCTGATCTTTAAGAATCAACCACTGATCAATATCTAGATTGGAGAAAAGGGCCACAATCTCATGGGCCGCATCGGCGCAGCCTACGTCGACTCTCAGCTGTGTGAGATGGAAAAGTACGAAGCGAGCATCCCCGGCGCAAAGGACATGTCTCTCGATCAGCTTTACCCCCTCGAACCCCTCCCCCGAGTACGTCTCCTTCTCCGCCATCCTTCTCTTCCTCTAGTACTGACTTGACTTGGAATCTAGATGCAAGTCAACATGAAATACAACGCCGACCTCACCCTTCCCCCCATCAAACCCCAATGTTTCTCTGCAAACGGCCACAAAAACCCCCTCGTCCCTCTTACAAACCAAAACTGGCGCAAATGGAACTGGAAGGAGAAGAATTACCTCGTCGCTGATCAGCCTGGCGCGAGGGTGTCGTTCAAGCTGCACACGACGGTGGGGAACATTGAGGTTCACTACTTGAGGTCTTGGCAGTACAAGCTGGGATCAGCAAAGTGCTGGGTGGATGGGGACGAGAACAAGGCAAAGAGGCTTGAAGGGTACTGGGATCAAAAGTACAATATCGGGCGGTAAGTCTTCCTCTCTTGCCTTTGACCTTGCTCTTGCGGTGGCAGGTAGCTGATCCTTGGATGCAGAGCTGCAACGATCCGAGATGACCTCGCGCCGGGAGAGCACACGCTCACCTGTGAGCTACTGAAGGAGACTGCTGATCCCGAGGGCGGTCTGGAGTTTAGGTTGATCTCTGTCATGAGGTCAGTTTCCTCTGCTGGTATTTGTGAGGTGTGGTAGCTGACTCTCGGACGAAGCATATGATACAAATACAAAAGCATAACAATCCTTCTTGGTTGGAGGGGCACTTCAGATCTGGTGGTATATCATTGTCTGCAAGTGAAAGCAGAGCAACACGCATCAAACGATCTAGACATGTTGAAAGAAAACAGTTTTGGGAACCATGTATTTCTTGTCAATATAGACAGATAACCAGGTAGAGGAGAGCGCTTCTGATCCTCTTAGACACATTGTTGAATCTGTGCATCGCCAAACACCTTTGTCTCAGCCGGATCAAGTTGATTCATGAAGGCACTCTATAACACCAAGATGTAGTATTACACACGGACACCAGAAAGACGACCAGAGCAAAGTGAAGCATAGCGAGAGAACAAGTCACGATCACCCAGCTATCCCAACATTCTCTACGTCACCTACAACACTCACTCCTCACCTCACGCGCGCACTCGCCACAAATCAATAAAGTTCGGGCTCAGTCACATACTTTCTCGCCTTGGCCATCTTTTCAATCATCCCGGCAAACCACTTCGCGTCGAGCTATTCAAGATAATCAGCACACTACTGCGGTATGCAGACGAAGAGGGAGAGAAAGTAGACATACACGAATGTTGGCGCCATGGAATTCAGGTCCCTGGTCCACAGCCCATCCGTTGGGCTGCCTCCACTGATCTTCCGGGAAAGTGTGATTGGTGTGAATGGCGTAATATTCATGGCCCATCATCTCGGCGAGGATGGCATAGTCCTACATTCAACGTCAGATAAATGCGCGATGACTATGAAGAGCACTTACACGAGCGAAACCGTCGTGCATGATTTCAAGAACACCACTTCCGGGCTTCATCCACAAGAGATGACTGAGACCGTTCCCGTGCACGCCAAACATGATATCGCCTCTCAACGCCAAGCAGAACTACCCCCACATCAGTGTCTGACTTAAAGCCGAGAGAAGAAACTCACCTGCTGCACACGGTGAAGCTTCTCCATCTGCGCATTGTGGAACTCAATAACGCCCTCAGCATCCAGCCTCTCCATCTCCACCAACAAAGCCGCTGCGTCCTCATCCGCCATCCTCCTCTTGGTGAGCTGCCTGTTGATGTAAACAACGACGGGCACACCGGCACGCTTGCGCTGGGGAGAGCAGCCCTCGGCCATCCCGAGCGCCTTGAGGCGGTTACGCATGGGGTCCATCCAGTTGGAGGGGACGGAGAGTGAGGGAAGGTCGCCTGTGGCCTTGTTCCATTGGCGAACGTCTTTGCCCAATCGGTGCGCGGCCCATCGCTGGCTCCAGCGGTCAGTATAGAATCAAGAGAGGTGAGGAGAGACGTACGTCGGCGATGGTAATCTTGTCAAAGAGGAATGTCATGCCAGATCTGACACGGTCCTCAAAGATGGAAGGTTCCTCGACGACAGTGTCAGGCATGACTGTCTGCTGGAACCATGTTGTGATACCTATAACCCCATGTCAGTCATGGCTCCGTAGCGACTCTTCTCAGTCTTGAATCGACAAACTACGTACGAGCGGGATCTCTCTACAAAGGCGCCCGTCAGCAGAAGCCCAGCCATTCGACACCAGAGAGGCAAGACGTACCCAGTCATCTCCTTCAGCTCGGTACATGATCCTCGCTGGCATCTCCGTCTCGCCAGCTGCAGTAGTCGCCCTCCAGGAACCAAGGAACATTTCACCTAAGAGATCCCAGAATTCAGCTCATCCGTTCGAGATCTACCGACGCCAGGTGGCCCTGACAATTGATCGTGACTCACCGACTATGTGAAGGAAAGAGGTGACGGGGGTTAGTAACTTATCTCAATGAAGATAGGCGGGTGCTTACTGACTAGATCACAAGGTTAGCGGGTTACATGACAAAATATAGACGGGTGCTTACAGTGGAAGTAATGATCCAAGAAAGACCCCTTCCTCTCGCCTTCCCTCACATCATTGAAGAACATCTTCAAGTCCATCAGCTCTTCTTCTTCACTATCACCACCGCAAGGCCTGACGTACGCTGATCCCGTGCTTCCTGATAGCCGCCGGTTGCAGCAATCCCTTGTCCCACGCCTCCTTCTTTGACAAGATCTGGAATCTGTCTTCCCCCGCGGCTCCATGTCGCCTGAATGTGTCGGTTTCTGTAGCAAGTGCAGACATCAGAAAGGACACGCCTTCCTCGGGGAAGGTGGATGGGTTGGAGGTCAGGGCGAGGAAGGTGCCATTTGTCATGTAGAGATTGTGGAGGTAGTCTGTGGGATTGTTGATCAGTAAATCAAAAGGGAGAAGATGATAGCCTTACTGAAGCCTGCGACGCCGCTTATCCACTTTGTCTCTGGGAAATCTTCCATAGGCACATACAGCGACTCTTGACTACTCCAGCTTGAGGGTAGGAGACCAACCCGCTGCGAAAAGAAGACTTGAGCCAGGTCCCAACCTTGTTTCTGAGGCCATGCGGGTGAAGGACTTACAGATATGCTGGGATGGAATGTGTGACCTCCAGCACCAGTTCCGAGATGTGTGAAGATGGCGAGGAGGGTGAGGGAAAAGAGCCCGGCGGCAAGAGCTTTGCGGGAGAAGAGGAGGGGCATGGTGAAGCGCCAGAGAAGACGGGTGGGGCGCGACGCGCTGTTTTAGAGAGAGGCTGCTGGGCGGGCTGCTGTCTGCCAAGAGCAACCGTAGACAGCTGGCTATGTACAGCGGTATATACACAAGACCCAGGGGGTGTGATTGACGAGCAAGTGGAGAAAAGAGCGAGATTACGAGATGGAGAAGCAGGTGAGACTGCATCTATATCGGCTGTAAATTCGCGGCCCAGTTGTAACCTTGTCAGGATCAAACTCAGGCACTCTTTGATCGATTATTCAACTGTTGATGTCCTGTCCCAGAATGTAGGTCGGCGATGTCAATGTACTGGACGAGAGGTCAATCCATGCGCATTCGTCTAGTATATCACTCAGATAATCTCCTGCGTTTACCCAATCGCTCAGTCACCAGGCCCCACATCTCCCCGCCCAATCACGTATCCACCGGCGCTTGTGTACACTACTGCCAGATTACATTCGTTATACTGTCTTACATGATGTTTACATGATGATAAGCATGTTACCATCAACTTTGATCCGGGATTGGTTATTCTACGTAGGGATGCCTACAAGCTCGATACAGGATGACAGTGTACCAAGTCGAGCAGGTGATCTACTACAGCGCCCACTCCAACTTCCAGGAAACAGGAAAATTGACAGCATTGCTGACAAGAATAGTCTGCGAAACAGAGTATTCCGTTAGATCGCTCACAAGCAGCAGCCAAAGACCCGACGACAGAAGCTGCGACGATGATGCAGCCGTTGACCAGCTCGGGAATACTCTTAGGGGACTTCGTCATTGGCCTACAGCCAACGCCTGGCCAATGCCTCCTCCTGTCCCACTCCTCCATCGCCAATGACACTGTGCGAGTCGGAAGTCATCACCTTGAAGCACTTTCAATCACAACCCTCCTCAACTTTCATGCTGTATCCTTCCTTGGCCAATTTCAATGTCCCACTGCAAATTTCCGGTCCACATCCAAGCAGTCCACATCCAGAGAACAATGCGATATGATGGTGAAGTCGATGTCATGACGCCTACAACAAAGGAAACCCCTCCCTCCCTAAAGGTCGGAAAGTTTACTCGTCGTTCTCGACGACGGCGGTTTGGAGACCCTGCACTCCTGTCAGCTTCCACCCACATCCCTCGACACACTCAAACTCACCTTGAAGCTGGTAACACCCTCGACAACAGAAGCAAGCACGTAGAGCTTCTCCTTGGCACCCTCGTCGTCGTTCCTCTTCCTCTCGAGCCTGACCCTGATCCTGCGGGGGGGAGATCGGACACCTCGGGCCCAGACGGCCTGGTTGAGTCCGGGAGAGACACGGACGTCGTTAACACCCATAGACTTCTGGGCGAACTTGATGATCTCCTTGATGGCCTTGGGGGCCTCTGCGCAAATTATCAGCAAGAGCCGAATATATATATGGGAAAGGAGCGCACTCTTCTTAAAGGAGAGGTCGTGGACACGCTTGTGGAGGTGGATGGTGTACTCCCTGGTGACAACGTCGTGAAGGGCGGATCGGGGAGTTCGGGTCTGCGTATCAAGTCAGCGAATTTGGCAGCCATGCGGCTTGTGCGGGGTGGATAAGAGCAAGGTCGAAGGGTAGTGACGGGTAGGCCAAGCAACAACAAGCAATCCTCCTCCACCTCCTGAATCATGCTCATTGTCCAAAAGTCCACCTCGACCACTACTCCAGCGGAAGCTTGCTCTTCGTCCAGGTCCCGGCTAGAAATCGGATGCTAACCTTGCGTTCCTTGGTGGCAACCTGAGCAATTGTCAGCGTATATTCTCGAGCAGCATGACACCAGGCAGGCAAGACGGCATTCCTTCTTCCACTTTCTCAAACTCAACCCTCAAGCCTTCCTCCGTGCTCCTTGTTCCACCGCCCTCCCCACTCTCGCCCCTCTGGGATATGCCGTCCTGCGTGCCCGCTGTACCCTCACGACTCACCATCGTGACCTCTGTTTTGTGTTTTGACGGATAAGGAGGACCTCTATGCACTTGCGCCAAAATCAACAGAGCACCGCGCGGCGAACAGCGCCAACTCATTTTTCCGCAAACGTGGCACTTGAACGGAATCAAATATCTGGCTTATCACCGACGCGCGCGTTTCTTACGTTTGTTGTTGTTGCCGTCATCTTCTCATGCGACCAGGCTGTCAAACTCAACATGATAGGCATATATACCGCCTACATAGCATCTTTGTCACTTTGTGGCAACATGGTGCCGTGGTTGCCAGACGGGTCTGCCAGCATCGCATGCCCTTATGCCCTCTCGTCACGGCTCCTTTGATGGCGATGATGCAGGTGACTGTCTATACCTGAACAATTGTATACAACATGTATCAAATGGTATGGTACTTTTCATGTACATATACTATGGGTCTCTGGCGTACTCCCCATCTTGGCTAAAGCTTCATTGTAAGCAGCCTCCCACTCTCTCCACCGCCGTCTCATGGTCTCCTGTCTCTGTCGTGATGATCATAACTCCCAGGCCTACCCCGATCCCTGTCCCAATCTCGCCCCCTCTCCGAGCCGGACATGCCCTCTCTATGTTGATATGGCGAAGCTCGGGGCTTGCTAGGCTTTGACGGTATAGCACCAGGAGGAGGTTGGGGAAGCTTGGATCCCTGCGGAAGCGAGAACCCAGGGGAAGGTTTGGTACTCGGGTTGAGGGTGAACCCAGGGGGAGGGGGTTTGGTACCAGAGTTGGAATGGGTACGAGGACGAGGTATGGTACCGGAGCTGGAACCAGGACGAGGTATGGTACCGGGGTTGGGATTGGAACTAGGACGAGATGTAGGATTCGTCGCACCGGCCGCAGAGACCGGGGGTGTCGTCGTTTGGAGATGTGGAGGAAGCTGTCGGCTCAGACGCAGAACGGGAGCTTGCTGGCGATCTTCCCTTGTGGGCATCCAGCTCTCCGTTCTTCGTGTTTGCATATTCGGTTGCGCCGTCATATCGGCCGCGCCCATGTGCATCCCCGGCGAGCCCGTCCGATCGGCATCGTTGAAGAATTTGGCCATACTCCTGTCTGAGGTTGCTTTGCTGCTGCCACTGCCGGAAGAAGAGGGGCGCCCCAAGGAGATGGAAAGCGGCTGGACGGTTGGCTGCCCGGGGTTCGTTTGCCCGGGGACAGGAGTTGACTGTGGAGGGACGGGATTCGACTGTGGAGGGACGGAATTTGACTGCCCAGCGAGAGGGGGAGGAGAGGTGCTGGGTGATCGGATGGGCTGACTCGGCTCTCTCGACTTTTCAAGCTCCGCTTGAGCGGGAGGAGGCACAGGTGGTGTCACCGGCCGCTCTTCGTCCATGTCATCCTCGCGGACTGGAGGGAGCGGCTCGAGGCCAACGGCGGGGGACATATCGAAAAGCGGCAGTTGACTTTCCAGCAGCAAGACACTGTCGGGAGTATGGAATTCCGATCCCTCCGTCGACCGAGCTTGACGGGCTTCCTTCATAGATCGTAGTTCCTGTTCTCTTGTCAGCTTATGATAACCTTACATACCGCACCGACTTACTCGCTGCACGAGCTCTGCTACAGTCTTTTCCATTTCCTCCCTCGCATCCTTCATACACCTCTCCACAAGTCTCTCTTCCCTCTCCTTCATCTCCTTTTGCTGCTTTGCCATTTCATCTCTCTCCCTCTTCATAGCTTCTTCTCTCTCCGCCTTCTCCTTGTCGAGCTGCTTTGCCCGCTCTCGCAACTCCTGAACGAGTCGTCGAGTGGCCTCGTTCTGAGTCTGAGCGGCGTTGTTGGGGGACGAGGACTGGACCTGCTCTCTGATCTGAGCCATCTTTTGGATCTGCTTCTGAGGGTTGTCGAGTTGAGTCTGCATCACAGACATCTCTTCCTCCTTTGCGCTCTTTTGCTGCAGAAGCATCTCCAACGCCTCGATCCTCGACCTCATCCTCCCAACCTCCCCCTCTGTTGGCCCTATCGGATCCGTCACCGCAGTCCCAAACTCGTTCATCGCTCTCGTCTGATTCGTCCCGTTGTTCCTCACTTCATCCCTCAGCTGGGCAAACAGCAGCATTGTGTCGGTGCACGCTCTCATACACTTGGCTGTGTTTTGCGACAACGTGTCGACAAGGACCGCGATGGACGAGTCGGCACCGTCTTGGCCTGATATGGTGGCGATAAAGGTAGCATGCTCTTGCAGGGTCGCTTTGAGGTTGTCGATATTCGTTTGAAGCCCGGCAAGGGCCGCACCATTATCCCTGTCAAACGACCCCATCATCTTGATCAAAATGTCGTTCACGCCCGCTTCCAAGCCTCTTTGCGTCCTCTGCAAGACCGCACCCATCTCTGCCAACTTTGCGTCCGACGCGCCCTTGTCCCTCATCGCAGTGCTTCTCATCTCTTCCAACTTACCAGCAAGCTCTGCTGTATGCTCCTTGACGAGCGCCTGGGCTTTGCGCTCCCAGCCTTCGATGGCAGATTCGAGCTTGTCGACCTTGGCGATCTCGGTCTTTCGCACTTTATCCGCGCCGGCAAGCGCTTTGAGCTTTTCTTGGGTGATGGCCTCGGATCGTTCGAGTTTGTCGACTGATCTGAGCAGAGTGCTGATCTCTCGGGACATGGGGGCAGGCGGAGCATTCGTCGGTGGGGCCGAACCGATCCGGGCTGCAGGGGACGGCGCCGAGGACGTTTGTGCTGGCGGGGGTATCTCGGCAGGAGTCTTGAGCTTCTGCAGCTCCTCCTGAAGCCGCTTCAACTCTTCCCACAACTTGTCCTTCCCATCTCCCACCGCCGGGCCGGCAACTGCCTTGCCCTCCCCTTCATCATCCCGCGCCCGCTTCCTCTTCCTCTGCCGGTGAGCCTCCATCCCATCAATCTCTTCGCGCTGCATCGCGACTTCATTCTCCAAAAAATCGAGGCGATCAACCATCTCTTGTTTGACGACGCGGGATATGGGGATTTGTTGGTAGTTGGGATGGGAGGGAGTGAATTGGGCGGTGGAGGGTGTGGGGAGTTGGGCAACGTTTAGAGCCTCCTTGGCTGCCAGTTCGGAAGCAGCCTGAGCTTCTTTGGCTGCCAACTCGGAAGCAGCCTGGGCTTCTTTGACCGTCAACTCGGCAGCAACTCGATCTTCTTCCGCCTTGAGCGCATCCGCCTGATCTCGATCCTGCTGCCACTTCTCCAAAGACCTGACCCTGGCCATCCCCTCTTCAAAAATAACCTTCACACTCTTCACTTCCGACATCATCCTCCTCAACGCATCAGCCTCCATATCATAATCCTGCTTCTCCAGCTCAGACTCTGCCTTGATAGTCTTTTGCAACGCTTCAAAACGCTGGGCGAGCTGCTGAGCGAGTTTGCTCTCGAGCACCGTGTTGGCAGAGCCGAATTGGTCTTCGAGCGTCTTTTTGTGGTCTGATAGCGCCTTGAGGATATCGACTGGAACTCCAGCTGGCACAGCTGGTGCAGTTGTAGAAGTCACCGCAGAGAGATCCTTGACACCCCCGGCTTTGACAATCATAAGCCATACCAGCTCTTGAAAAGCCGCCCTCGCCGAAACCATCGCCGCTTCATGCTGCTGCCGAGCCTCTTTCGCAGCCCGCTGGGCAGCGTCAAATACAGGATGGCAGGGGTTGGCATCAGGAAAGGAGCAGAGCTTGACCAAGTGTCTTGAAGCATCATCTTTCCGAGTAAACGCTGCCAGTGCAGAGTCCATAGCACTAAGTCATAGTCAGCAATTGCCATGCCGGGAAGGTGGGATGGATAACGACATACTTTACGAGTACCTCAAACGCTTTGGTGATTTCTGCATCGGAGAACGAATTGGGTGGTGGGAGTGGGAGGGTCCCGCCCCCGTGTGGTACCGAGGCAGCCCCATTGGCGTTCATCGTGGGAAGACAAGCGGGTGAGGCAGGTGGTGGGACCTTACCGGCCGCGGGGGGGAGGAGAGCCCTTGGAGGGCGGCACTATGACAATGTTGATGATTCCTGCTGATAGAGTGGGGGAGAGGCGTTTGAAGATTGGGATAGAGATGAGGAGCAGATGGACGGTGGAAGAGGAGGATAGCGCAACGCGGCCGGCGGGAGCGCGACTTGTTGACGACAACGGCAATGTTCCTGTCGGCTCTCACCGACGCATCTTGGGGAAGGGTGGTTCGAGATGCTTTATATACGTCACGGTCTCATACATCCATGGATATACCAACACCTATCCATACCGCATCCTGGTTGTGACATTACCACGATAAATTCTCCGGAATCTAACTTTTCCGAGGGACGCAGCCTGCCGATCTGACGGACATCATCCTCCACTTTTACTAGTAGACTGATCTGCTGCTCAACGCCGATGATTACTCGTACACTGTTACATTGTAGTCCTGTTATCTGGTGGCTATCGCAAGCCGTTTTCCGAGAGACGAACGTGGTTCACAGAGGCCTTGGAACGAGATAGTTGACATCGAGGTGTGGCCAGTACTAATCTCTATCCGCCGACCTTAGAGAGCACCTCCCCTGAGGTCGAGCAATAGTGTCAGCCAAGCCGTTGCAGGCAGTTTGACTGTCTCACATCAGACTTGTCTTTCTTCCCGTGGATGAGCAAGTCTGGGACACAAATGATGGGACTATCTTGGAGTGACTGGGGACTGGATTCATGGCATTGTGTTTGGCTCTCCGTATTTGTAATATCACCTTATCGAGTGTCCTACCACCACACAGCACCCCATGGTGAGTGACTTGCCTACGTGGTCTGGAAGCGTGCGCGCCTCGCCCTTCCCTCTGGTTCGCAGTGCCAACTGGATCGGAGAAGTGCTGTGGATATCGTCCATGAACGGCAATCTTCCATCCATGAGGGCCCGGTGACTGGGCGATGGAAAGCTGTCTGTCCTGGCATCAGCTTGTGAAGTTGAACTTCAGTTGATCGCATTCATGACGCGGGGATCCGGACACCGCGCACGCAACATTCGGTGTTAAGATATGCTCCCGCCATTTTTACGTATTCTTAACCATCTTACTCTCCGCGGCGTTTTTCGGGGATAGTAATTCGCACTGTTGGTATAGCAAAAGCAGTAGAGCGACAGCACCTCAACCGTCAAGACCGTCAACCCAAAATGGCCCAGAGAGTTACCCTCCGAAAGCGTCAGCCCTACAACACCACCTCCAACAGGAGGAGGGTCGTCAAGACCCCCGGTGGCAAGCTCGTCGTCCACCACTTGAAGAAGATTGCTGTAAGTATATCATCAACAAATTCGACATGGCACTATGGAGGGAGGGAATAGGGATAGGGATGGGGAAGGATGATGGAGGGGAGGATGAGGAAGATGGGGAAGGGGGGTATGTCGTTGAAGAGGGGAAATGCTGACGCTTTTCCGTGTAGTCTGCCCCCAAGTGTGGTGACTGTGGTTTCGCTCTCGCTGGTGTACGTCTACTTTCCCACACCTTCCTGTCCGTATACTGACCTGCTCCCAGATCCCCGTCCTCCGTCCCCGTCAATGTCAGTAAAATTCCCCTCCCAAAGGCTGTTGTCAACGCGCGAAGATTTTGTCAAAATTTGGATGGAGAGGTTGTCGAGACGGATAGGAAGATGGAAAGAGATTGTGGGGAACAGTAGCTAACGGTGGATTGCAGACGCCACTCTCTCCAAGAGGCAGAAGACCGTCCAGAGGGCTTACGGCGGTTCCGTCTGTGCCACTTGTGTTAAGCAGCGGTACGTCCCCCCATCTCTTCTTCTTGGTCCACCATTAATCTCTTCCCTCTTTCTCCCCATCCATCCCTCAATCACATCGCTCCCCTCCCCACAAACGACAAATCGCAAACAACAGAATCACCCGAGCTTTCCTTATCGAGGAGGCCACCATCGTCAAGCGTATGCTCAAGGACAAGGTCGCCGCCAGGAAGTAAATTGTATCTTCTAGATAGGTTTACCGAGTAGCATGGATGGCTGTCTGAGGATTTTTCTTTTGAGAGGGGGGATGTATGATTTCACGGCATCATCCTGGTCTCAAGTTGGGACATTTCGGGGGATTGTGGATAGTAGAGGCGGGCGCTGGCAGGTGAAAAGGCTGATGTTTAGTGCTAATTGGCCCTTTGGGCAGTCACGAGGATGTTCCAAGTTCAAGTTACACGCCATTCTTGGATACACGGCTTTCGACCTTTGCTCTCTTCGACTGCGATCCCCAAGGATTTCTGACTTGAAATCACGCCCAAAAACAAACACCAAGATTTCAGCACAGAGTCCGCCGACTACTCAAGGATTCGACATGTGGGGATCAGAAAGAAAGCCACCAACAATTCGTCCTACCCCTCTCCTCTCATCCCCGCCGGTCTTTTCGAGCCCCACACAGATTAACGAAACGTCTTTGGATACATGCGGATCTACTACTATTACAACTAATAATTCTCATCACTCATCTCGAGAAAACCTTCTTCAAAAAGCTCCCCCTCTTCTTCTTCTCCCCCGTCGACCCCGTCGACCCCACCGCCGCCGCCGCCCCCTCATGCGCCCCAGGATCCACCATCCCATACCTCACGTATGCCCCACATTCTCTTGTACACGCCAAAATGCCCCCTTTTCTGCCCCTCTTTCCCCTGATCCTGATTCTGCTCGGTCCAAGTTTCGATTTGCCTGATATCACCCTCAGCATGCGTAAACGGCGCAAAACTTGGATTCTTGGCCAAACGACCCGAAACAACCCGAGGATCTATCTTTCCCGCTGTACGCTTTCTCCCCTCCCCCCCCCCCCCCCGGGCGGGGTCTGTGAAGGGTAGGAGGACTTTCTGCAAGTCTGGTGTGATGCTGGGAGAGCCGGGGGTGGAGATACGTTTGGATATGGATTCGAAGGGGAGGCCGGAAGACAATGCTCTATTTGTGTTTGTGTACCCATAAAACACATACCCTGTATCTAGTCTACACCTTGCGTATACTTCAAGCTAGCGACTAGAACCGCCTTCCTCAATTGTCTCCGTCTTGTGCATCCAGGACATCGTCATTGAGATCCGCGATGATTTGCTCACCGCTAGCGACCAAGTTAGCCTTTCGTACCCTTCCTTTGCCAACATCCAGCACAAGAAAAAAGGAAGGGCAGCTCACATCGTCTTGGGTACGCAGCGAAGTACACACGTCTGATCATCACATCCACAGAGCTTACTCCACTCTACCTGCTGGGTGCTGTTCTCACCTGTAAAGTCCATCACATTCCAACCCCTGATGCTCTTATCGGGCTGAAACCTTGACTTCCGTTCGATAGTGATCTGCGATTCATCGACTCCGTAAAGCCTGAACAAGTATGTCAAGTAAGCTTCTCCGTTAATGTCTCTGGATCAGATCGCTCGACGACGCGAGTTTGTAAGATGAAGTTGCCCCCCGAGACTCACCCTGCATAGTATTCCTCCGCCGTCTGCGTCGCACTTGTCCAGTAATGGACATCCGTCTCTACCACGTCCGGTTGACCCTCGTCTCCCTCAATGGTGACATCGAGGATCTCCCAGGCGTTTGCTTTGCTGAATTCTGAGTTGTGCACATCTGTACCGGGTAGAAGGGCGTCAGTGCGGTCGGTAGTCGAGGTGGTGACCGATATGAAGACGAGCTGCTCTGGTTGATCTGCCATCGTGTCTGACTGATAAGAATGTTGTGTTAAATTGAGGGGAGAGGAGGGTGAAGGGGGGGCCAGGTATTTATATACCGCCCAAGTACAGCGACTCATTCACACCCGCCTAATAAACCAGCTTCTTCTTCTCACGACCTTAAAAGAGGATCTGGAGAAGCTATTCCAGCAGTTGCAAGAGTCATGTGAAAGGTATCAATAAAAACACCATCAGGTGTGGCATCTTCTGGAACTGTCTTGGGAATTTTCAAGGCATTCAACATGCATCCCTTCACGGAGGATGATTCGTTTCGGGCACTGCTTGTTGACCATTCTTGGCGCTCCATCTAAGGCTCAATGGACGTCCCAGCGAAAAATATACAAGCATACATCTTATGAGAGCAGATGCCTCAAATACGCTGCTTCCATGACGGGAAAATGTCACTCGTCGCACGAATAAAAGGATTGATTGTGAAAGTCGATTCAGTGACGCGATACAACAACAAGCTGACGCGAGACCCCACGACCTTCTGGATCGGACTAGACGACACTTTACATGCTTGACTAACACGACTCCCAAGCTTTGCGATCGCCGTCTCGACGGGCTTTAGGAAAGAAGACACTGCACACATTCTACATGCTGTTACCTCATACATGGGCAGCTATCCCATGGCGTGGGCAGCAGGGACTGGGTCATGGCAGAGAGACAAACTTTACAGTCATGAAACGGCATCTCGGTCGGTCTGTCTGTTTGGCGTCCATGATACCCCGCGCTCGGCAGATCGGCAGCATGCCATTGGGCCGGTAAGGCAAGACCGGCCGCGATACATAACAACTTCGTGATGACGATATGAGTCTGAAACTATATTCATCGATCAGCCCGCCTCTTGATGCTGGCTAGCGTCTTGGATGTGTGTGACTGTACGAGAACACAAGCGCTCATCTTCTACGTGATCACCTCGCTCGATATCTAGATCAAACCTCTCCTGCATCTAGGTATGATACGCCGAGTACTTTCTGAGTGGAACACGAGCCGTGCAGCGCTATGCAACAGTGCATAGAGTTTCATGGGACAATGGCAATAGGGGGATAGCATCGCCTCACGCCAGCCTTGATCAATCATTAAATTCCATACGGATTCGTCACTTTTCACAACAACTTGCTCAACTCCATGTGACCTATCTCATCCTGTACAATCCCCAACAACTTGTACCCTCCCCCCTCCCCCTCCCCATCCGCATCCGAATCATCGTCATCCAACTGGTCATCATCCGCCAACTCTCCATCAATCTCCACCAGATGCCACCTCGGGAAATCTTCCCTCTCTTCAAACTCTCCCGCTGTCCACCCTTCCGCCGCTGGGCGGGTATGGATCATCTTGACATACCGGCCTTCGCCCATGCCTTCTGAGGCAGGCAAGCCGACGGAAGAGAGGAAACCGGTGAGGTTAACGGAGGGGATGGCGTAGATGTGGTTCCTGTCTGCGTCGGAGAAGATTCTGGGGTTGGGGATTATTTTGGGGAGGGGGCTGGATGGGGGAGAGAGGAGAAGGAAACGGGTGTAATTACCTTGAGACGAGTTAGCTCTGCGTGGATTGAGGAGAGAGATACTTACGATCACCGTACTGCGTCCCTTCATGCAACACCTCAAGCGCATCAGGGTACAACCCCAAAACAGCTTTTGAACAAATCGCAGCCCCCTTCCCCTCTCCTTCCTCAGGACTCTCAAGCAGACTCACAGCAGCCCCAGCAGTACTCGACCACCTCTCCCTCTTCGCCCTCGGCAGCTTCTCATCCAAATACCGAGCCGACTGCCCCAGCGCCTGTTCGTGCGACCGCACATATGTGATTTCAGACAACTGCGTGCCTTTCAAAGCGACGAGGCAGTGCCGAATGGGGAGGGAGAGGGTGAGCTTAATTTGACGCTCGATGGCGCCGGGTTTCGAGGCTTGGGGGTTGAGGGAGGATAAGAGACAGTCGAGCGTTTCTTGGACGCCTCCTTGCAGGGTGTTCTCGAGGGGCAGGACGATATGCGGGGATGGGGAATCATAGACGGCTTTGATACTGGCTGATGAGCCATTGCATGAAACATAGAAGAGGGGGACGTACCGGCGATGGTACTGCAGGGGACGAGGTCGACGGGGGTATGGAAGCGTGAAGCAAACGCTCGAGCTGCTTGCTCGCCATACGTGCCGCGAGGACCTAGGAATGCGAGCTCGACATGCTGCCTCTGTCTCTTGGCTGGCGGGGGGGGCATCCTCTGTTCTATTCTATTATATTATACTCTATGCATGCTTGGATCACACTGCCACGACAGCGAGCCAAATAGAGGGGCGGACACCGCCGCACCGCCACACCGCGAAACGCCGAGTATCGCCATGGCGCGAAACTGGCTGGCGATTTCGACGTTTTCGCTCGCGTTACAGAGGCTCTCTATCCAACAACATTCATCATGGGTAAGGTTCACGGTTCCCTCGCGCGTGCCGGTAAGGTCAGGTCTCAGGTATGTCCTCTCTTATTGCACAGAGAAAAGGGGGGAGCTGACCGGAATGTGTAGTGCCCCAAGGTCGAGCCCCAAGAGAAGAAGAAGCAGCCCAAGGGCCGAGCTCGTAAGTCGCCATGACTATCCGACTGTCCGCCGCCCACCCCCGACGACTGCCACTGCCAATATATCGTTGATGAGGGAAAAAAGAGGGACGAAGAAACATTGGACGGGATGGTGGAGCTGGAACGCGATGAGCAAGTGGCAGGGAGGGCAGCGGATATCGACCACGGAATGGAAAACACAGGATCATGGAGCTGACCCGAGTCCTCTTGCTTTTAGTCAAGCGATTGCAATACACTCGTCGATTCGTCAACGTTACCGTTGCTCCCGGTGGCAAGCGAAGGATGTGAGTCTTTTTTCCCCTCTTCCTTCTTAAACCTTTCGTGTCTGCGACGATTTGTCTCCACACCTCGATCATACCCCCTCGCCAACCCCCTCGATATTCTGATGATACATCAATCACGCATAGTTCACTCTGAAACATATGTTGAACTACAATCTTGAAATTAGTCTTTCGCTCCTATCTGACTCCTCCCCTCTCTTCCTCCCCTTTCTTGCTCGTGTACAGAATATATGGGAAAGAGATGCTGACGTTTGTCGCGTAGGAACCAGCAGCCCGTCGGCAAGTCCGGATAAACGTTGTCTCAACAAAGACGAATGGAGATCTGGATATTGGAGATTTGGGATGTATTTCATACCTTTGACGCTCGCGCCCTCGTTACGTTCTTGGTACAGGTCGTTCGTTGGCGGTGGACACTCGACATCAACATTTTTACAGGTGCCAGAGAGATGAGGAGGTCTGGGAGAACCGTGGTCTGGGACTTGTCGAATTGGTGTCGCCGGCATCGAACCCATCAAATCCATCACTATTGCATCACTGCGTGTATATCCTACTAACGTGCTAATCACTCGTCATAAAAAATAAAAATAAAAAACACCTCGTCAGACATGCGTAGGACGCTTCTACATAGCTCGTACAAGATCGTCAACAAAGAGTCCAAAGTCTCATGGAGAAGGCTACAGCACACCACAAACCCATTATAACGTCAAAGGCTCTATCACCACATCAAGCAAGCACATCCCAACCAACACCATAGCCATTATCACCCTCAAACAATCAATTAGTAAGACATGGCCCTCGCCTTCACCGTCCCCCTCAACTCTCCATCATCATCTTCCCCCACAAAAGCATAAGCATGATCCTTAGCCATCACCGTCTCATCACTCGCATCCTGCAAGTGCTCCACCCCACCCCCACCGCCTCGAGCGACCCAATCGAGATGACCATACCTCGTCTCTTTGGTGGGACCGGAAGGTGCGTCGAGGTGGGGTGATTTGAATGTCCAGCCTTTGAATGCGAGTCTGCAATCGAATCAGTCTTGTCGTACGAAAAGGGCATGGGAAGGAAAAAGGGGAAGGGCAGGCTTACTGTTTGCGGATCTCGAGCAGGTGCGCGCCGTGGGTCTTGTTTCGTAAGAGCGGGTCTTTACTGTCTTGTGCCGAACCCGGCGGGGCGAGAGGCTGATCGTATCGTCAGCCAACCTGTTCCTCGAGAAGGTCCATTGAAGATTATGAGAAGGACTCACCTCGCCAGGGATATCATCATCAAAATGACGCGTATCATCATCCGTATACAGATCCGGCGAATAAGGTGGTTTCTTCCTATGCAAATCTGCCCCCTCTCATCAGCACCATCCATACTCGTATCCTCGTCAAGAAGGATGAGGGTGGACTTACTATCCCAATCGATACCCCGAAACCAAGCATGCCTCTTGATCTCCTCCACCCCATCCTTCCCCAGTCCACCTTTCTCCTCCTTACTCAGCCCGAGCCCGCTGCCTGCACTTAGTACTCTTTTGCCCCTCGGCCTCCCCGCTGTAGCTCTCGCACCGTCCCCTGAATGAGGAGACGAAGCTCCAGAGAGAGGCATGGGGGAAGAAGAAGAAGAGGAAGAGCCGAGACGGTCTTCGGGCTCGCAGAGGAGTTGGGTGATGAGGTCTAGGCAGGCGGGAGAGAATTTTGGGGCGGGTGGGAATTTGAGGGTTTGGGGCCAATTCAGACTATACATTCTTGGTCAGGTTCTGGACAGGATAAAACGGCTAGGGGTTGAGTGACTTGCATTTTCTGGCGGGTAATATGGCGCTGTAAGGGAGGGGAAAGAGGTCAGCTTGGAGGAAGGGTTGTTGAGGGTGGGGTGGCTTACGGAAGAGGAGGTGAAGGGCGGGTAGCCGTACAGACATTCGTACACTACACGCGATTGTCAGCACCTCAACAAAGCAGCAAGCTGGCTGAACTTACTGATAACACCGAGAGACCACCAATCGCAAGAGAATCCGTACCCTTGTCCCCGGATGACTTCAGGAGCTATCACTCAACATCAGTCATCCACCCTACCAAATACCTCTGATACAACTCACCCATATACGAATTCGTCCCGCAAACGCTATACGCCAATTTGCGCCTATTCCTCTCTCTCCACTCCAACACCCCTTCCCCCTTCTCCACCCACTCCTTGCCCAAAATCCGCTTGACGTCCTTCCTATCCATCCGTTTTGTGTGGACGCTCGGATATTCCAAGTCGACTCCGTGTTTCTTGAGGAGCGCCAGACGTTGTTGTTCGTAGTACGACGTATCGTGAGCCCAATGAAGGTCCGTCGCCAGACCGAAATCAGATATCTTGATATGTCCTTCTTTATCAAACAAGAAATTATCCGGCTTGATATCCCGATGGACATACCCCAACCCATGCGTCTCCTCCAACGCAAGCACCATCTCCGCCACATACACCCTCGTCATCTCTTCCGAAAACGTATCCCTCTCCACCAACAGATTCAGCAAATCCCCGCCGCCCATGTATTCGAGTACGAGATAGAGGTGGTCTGTATCTTGGAAGGCGTAGAAGAGCTGGACGATGCGGGAAGGGGCGGGGGCGGAGGAGGCGGGGAGGTTGGGGAGTGGAGGGGGGTTGGAGGAGGAGGCGGAGGCGAGGAGGTCTTTTTCGGCTTTTACGTGGCCTTCTTGGGATTTCTGCAACATACTACGCCTCTCGTCAGCTAACGCGCCAAAGGGTAAGACGATGATACACACTCGGCCTTCCTAAGCTGCTTCATAGCCACCAACCTCCCCCCCTCCCTCTCCCTCGCAATCCTCACAACCCCAAACGCCCCATGCCCTATCACCCTTCCCATCTCAAACGCCCTAACATCCACCTTCCTCCTCCTCTCCCTCAACCATCGTCTTTCCTCCGCTTGCAGCTCTGCACGCACGAGGTCTTGTTGGGCGGGCGACATGAAGCGGTTGGCGGGGGAGAGGAGGGTGTTTTCGAGGGCGGCTTGACGCCGGGCACGGAGGAGGGGGTAGTTGGAGGGGTGGATGGGGGAGGAGAGGAGTTTGTCGTGGCAGCCGGGGGAGGAGAGGTCGTATGGGTTGAGGCTGTCCTCTGAGGAGAGGAAGGGGTGGTAGTAGCCTTCGAAGAAGAGGGCTACGCTCATGGCTTTCTCCAGAGTAGGGAGGGTGGGTTTGATGACCCTAAAAGGTAGAGGAGTGAAGAGATCTTGAGCAGAGGGGCGCTGGTCTCGTTTCTTGGAGCTTGAAGGTGGGAGCAGAAGCCCAGGAGGGAGGTCGGAGGCATCAGGATGCTCGACCATGGGTTCCAGCGTAGGCGCCATATTGAGAGGTAAAGACTTTTTGTTCGTAAACTTCATCGGGCTCTCAGGCGATGTCCCCGGCTGGCCTAGAGCGGACCCAGGACTACTCCGACTAGATTCGTATTCGAAATACCCAGCCATGTTTGCAATCATCCGAGGTGTCGACGCTCTTGCCAGCGAAGGCGAGATAGTCGTTGTCGTCGGTTCCGGCTTGACGTGAGCAGTGTCGAGTGAGGAAGGTGTAGGATTGTTCAGCAGAGGGTTGGAGTTGAGGGAAGAGTAGATGGAGGAGGGAAGACCGTTGATGACTCGTAATGTCCCAGGCGGCGCGCTGTGGTATGTCAGGGGATGTTGGGAGGAAGAGAGGGAGAGGGGACGTACAGGTCGTGTGCGGCACTGCCGAGTTCGCGGGTACGGGCTGTGGCTTCTACGACGGCTGCTACCGCTCGAGCTTGTTGCTCCAGAGCACGAGTCTTGACGACTTCTTTGATCGGGTTTGCCCATGCTGGGTCTAGAGTGGTGTCAGTTTTCCAGTGTGGTGATATTGCTTTGAGACGGACCGCCGATCTTGTCGCTGAGCCCTTCAGCTGACCACCGCAAGAGCAGCTCGGTAGCTTCTTCATACGTCGACGAGTGGAAGATATGCCTATCCTACATCAGCCTATATCACCTGCTATCGAGCCAAACTCACCTAAAGTCGGTAGGGTACCCAATTTCGCGCTTGTCGACCTTTCGCTTCTTGAGCTCCTTGGATTGAGGAGGCTCCTTGGCAGGTGGCGTCGGCGGCTTGGACGACTGAGGCGACCTGGGGCTCTGTAGACCTTTGGGGCTCTCCTTACGGTCACCCTTCTTGGGCGGCACAGGCGGCTTGCTGAGCTCTTCATCCGTATACCCACCCCCTGCCACCGGCGGCTCATATGATTTCCGAGGTAGACCACTGTCCCTATTCGGGGAGAAGCGCAAGTTGCGCTTGGGCTCGCCATCATTGACGCCTTTGGGAGTGGCGCCCAAGCGATGGGGGGTGGCGGAGATGAGGTTGATGAGGTCGTTGAAGCCAGAGTGGACCATGTAGGAGGTCCTGGGACGGGTCGTCATGGTGCACGTGCCGAGCGCTGTGGTCGGGGTTTGTCGTAGAGTCGTTGCGTGTCGTTAGTCCGTCGTTGTCGTCGTCAATGGTCGTCCAAGAAGGGCGAACTGAGAGAGAGAGTATCAGCTGATGGTCGGCATGTGAGGGAATGTCCCGGATGAGCATCGCGAAGAGGGCCGTTCGCGAACGCATAGATACGACTTGCCTGATTCACAGATGTCTCGCTTGTTGGCTTCCAAGCCACTGGCGTGTAGCCCAAATGTGTATCAGTAGAAGATGTGAAGAGACAAGATGAAAGATTTGCCACCTGAGGGACAATAAGGTGGATTGCAGACAGTCGACTAACCCCTTTAAACCCCTTCGCCCTCTCCGACACTTGCGATAATTCAGTTCCTTGCCTGCCTGCGTAGTCTGAGGATTTGGTCAGGAAAAAGACAGGGGAAGGGGGGGTCAGTGCACACAGGGTGCGTAGGAGTAGGCTGAGGGGGTTAAGGGGGAATAAATGGATGAGGTGGTGAGTGAATATGCGATACTTGCAGCCCCCCGCTGTCTCCAGGGTATCCCATGGCCCAGTAGTAGCAGGCCAGCATTGCAAGAGGTCCCCGGCGCGTCCGTGGAAGCAAAAGCCTACCACGCGTCCTGTTCCCGTCATTTCCGTCATTTTCCTTTGTTGTTCTCTCCATCTCCCCCCTCAAGCATCAGTCATGTCCGGCGCAGAACAGCGCAACGAGCGTATGCTCGAAGAAATCCTCAGGCTACCAGGAAACGGTCAGTACTCGTCCCCTCCTGGTCCCCCCACCCCGTATACGCGCCGCGTCTTTTGTTCTCGGGCGCTGACCCACCTCCAGACAATTGTGCCGACTGCCACTCTTCTGCCCCCAGATGGGCCAGTGTCAACCTGGGCATATTCCTCTGCGTCGGGTGCGCTTCAGTACATCGAAAGCTCGGTACTCATCAAAGCAGAGTGTAAGACCCTCCCCCGCCTCGCCTTGATCGCCGCCTTCAGCTAACGTGTCTTTTCAGCAAATCGGTCACGCTCGACAGCTGGAGCAGAGACCAGATATCCACCATGCGATCCATAGGCAACACCGCCTCCAACGCCATCTACAACCCCAACGAGCGGCTGCACCCCCCTCCCTCCTCGTACGGCCACGAAGAACGGGATTCCGAGATCGAGCGGTACATTCGCAAAAAGTACGAGCAATGCGCTTTCAAAGGCGGGGCTTCTGCGCGCCTTGACGGGCGGGTAGAGCCGACGAGTCTCAACAGGGCGAGAGAGGCGGACGGGCGGTTGCAGGCCGGGGCGGCGGGGTGGACGTTTGGTAAAGAGAATAGGCGGAACCCCGAGTTGAACGATATCGTGATGCCGCGGAAGAAGGAGAGAGACTTGCCGCCTATCCCCGTCAGCCCGTCCGCCTCTTCGCCCACTGGTAGAGCTCCGCCGAGAGCGAGGCCGGTACGCTCGCCTTCGGCGCAGAATGTGGCTTCGATGCGCCCAGCGCCGGCCCCGCCGTCCGAAGCCAACCTCGTCGATTTTTCCTCCGCTTCCACCTCTACTCTGCCCCTGCAGCTCAACGTATCCCCTTCGCCTCAACCTCAACAACCCCAATACATCCCTATACAGCCTACAGGCTTTTCCACCTCCCCGTCTTTTACCCCGCAATTCGCGAGTCCGAATGGGATGATGTCCAACTACCTCTCCCCACAACCTTCTCCTTCCCAAACATTCAACAACATACAATACTCTCCCCAGCCACAACAGGGCTACGGCCACCATCTCTCCACACAACCATCCTATCCAACCTTGCAACAACCGCAGATGTCGCCCGGCTTTCAAAGCCAGCAGGCTTTCGGGAACGGGATGATGGGTGGACAGCAGATGGGGCAGATGCAGATGGGACAGGGTCAATTCGGGATGGGTATGGGCCAGCAGGGGATGATGAATGGGTCTTCAAACGGTCAGGGACAGATGGGCGGGTATGGGCAGATGAATGGGATAGGGCAGATGGGCCAGGTGGGACAGATGGGCCAGATGGGCCAGATGGGGATGAATGGGATGGGTTTTCAACAAGGTTATTATACCATGTAGACGCGCCTTACTCTTCCTTCCCTTTCCTTCGTCGTCCCTCGACGTCTTTACGACCTCTTACTCCCCCATCTAGCACGACTTTCAGGGTTTTCTAGTCCTTGACGACCTCTTGATCTCTTCGTATCTCTTGTCTTTTCTCCTTTCTGATCTGTCTTGTATATTCATATAGGGACGCGATGTGTATCAGTGTTCTATGTATCAGTTGAAAGAGCTTCCAGATGTTTCATTCATTCAGATCTTTGGTAGTCTCTACAGGTAAAGATATGATGAACAGCACTCAGCTCAAGCTATCACTTCCGTCCTTGACACCCCGTAAGACTTCGACCGATGCGAAAATAAGACCGTGAGGTCAGCAAGTACCATCCTCACTCATTGTCGGGCGGGGCTTGGTGGTACTGTTGTTGCTGGTCGACATCCTCCCAGGAGAGACTCGGATCCCACCCCTCTCCCTCCAACATCATTATTGTGGTTTCGGCGCCGGCTGTCGACAACTGAGCCCGCAACTGATCCCGTTCTGCATCCACTGCATAGAAGTTTGCCTGTTTCTTACCACGGAGATGTTTTCGCTTCTTCTCTGTCTCAAAGCAGGCTGACGTCTTCTGCCTGTGTTTTGATACTGACGTCAGCATTCCGTCTTACATACATGTAACAATGATGATGGTGTCGATTTAAGCATGCAATGGGTCATTGATACGCACCACCGGCGCGGGCCCTTTTTTGTACTTCGGTGAGCCCATCGTCAGACTTCCTGCTTCCTTTGTCTCCTCCTTGGTAATGATAGATGACAATGAAAGTCGGCGCTTTGCTGATACATGACACGAGCCGCCTACGTACACTTGGTGGTACCGGTGGAGCTTTCTCCTTGATTTGCTGATGATGAGAAGGATTCAGGTAGAGGCATTCAAAGGCGTCCTTGTACGTTCAGCCTTTGTTGAAACCATGTTATGGTGGAGAGGTTTGCAATCCAAGATATGGCAAGGATTTTTGTAAGTCAACCTTTGTCATGTTTCCCTCCCAGTCTCGGCATTCTGTCCACAACTGTAGTGAGAGTGCGACATGACCTTTATCGGATTTAATTGTATGATGAGTATCTGGGAAATAAACATCTTGACTTGCATGATATATCATATGCGGGGTATGGCGGGTGTGACTGAAGGATAAGTGAAACTTCTTCCAACTGATGATGGGAACGCTGTTCACTCCTGATACCGGTGCGGACCTTGGAGAATTTTCTAAGGATGTATGTGACAACAAGGGATCCCCCCCTCGAATCATATCATTTCTCGGGCTCATGTGCGGTTGTCGCACTCTGGAACTAGAGTAATCACCATGGGAATCTGATCTTTATGACTCAGTGATGTCGGAGGTCGCTGGAGCTTTGTGTTTTCTCATCGTCATTGTCAAGACGTGTACACTTACTGTCCCATTCAGCAACGCGGATTATGTACGCATAAGAAAACCGTCAAGCATCCCCACGGCACCAACAAGTGTGATTTCAAAACGTTGCGTCCATGAAGATTCATGCGTGCGTGCCTTACGGAATCATTTTCGGAAGTGCGACCGGTGCAGGTGGGATAAAATGATATACTCTTATGCATGTATTTCAGTGTCTTGTGCATGCATCTTGTCGCTTGGAGTTGCATGACTTGCATGTAGGCTACTCACACCTTCTTGAAAGCACGAAAACAGGTTCCGCCGAATGACGCCTCTCTCTTCCCCTCGAACGCGTCTCAGCCCATCGCCGGCGGCGCCGCCGATGTCGATCTCCGAGGTCTCGGTGGGGTGACAAGACACCAGTGATCCATCTACCTCTTCATCTATTCCTCAGCCCCAAACATGGTCAAGCCCAAGTCTGCCAGGTCCTCCGCCCGCTCGACTCCAGTCAAAAAAGACAACCCCTCCATCTCCACCCCCACTTCAACGCGTTCCGGCCGGACGGTGACCAAGCCCGGGACGACGACCTCGCCCTATTTCGCAAACGGCAAGAGCAAAGGGAGGTCTACCAAGAAGGTTGACAAGGATGATGAGGACGACGATGAGGGGCTAGCAGAGCCTACGGGGATGACATCGTCTGAAGAAGGCTCAAGTGACGATTCGGGCTCTGAAGACGACTTCGGACCCTCCGAGGATGAATCAGAAGAGGAGGAGGCGGAGCCCGAAGAATCCTCTGGCTCAGAGATGGATAGCGACCATATCGACGATGAGAAGCCAAAGTCCAAGAGCAAGACGAAACGCAAAGCTCCTTCTCCCAAAGCTTCATCCGCCAAAAAGGCCAAGACGCAAGGTCACACCAGCAAGAAGACGAGCAACACTGGCGTCAAAAAGGCAGAAGAGCAGGGGAGAGAGTATATCGAGGGGTATGATGATGAGGATGAGGATGCAGACTTTTCTGATTCGGATCTGGAGGAGGGGCAGGAGCTTGCCGGGAGGATCTATCCTGCGCCCAAGACCGGACAAGGTCAGTTGTCCCCTTCGTCCTAGTCCTCACAGTATCACTGACACCGTCCATATAGTTGCAGCCGGAGAAATATCGAAGAATACCCTCAACTTCTTGAAGAACCTGCAGCTTCCCGAGCGCAACGACCGAGAATGGTTCAAATCCCACGAACCTGCTTTCCGGCAAGCCGAGAAGGTGCGCCCAATCATCGCTTGAATCTGTTATACCGTGCTAACAGTGCGGCCAGGAATGGACAACATTCGTCACCACCATGCAAATGAAACTTCACGAAATCGACGACGAAATCCCCATCCTCCCTCCCCGCGACATCATCCACCGCATCTACCGCGACGTCCGCTTCTCCTCCGACAAGACCCCTTACAAAAAAGGCTTCTCCTTCACCACCTCCCGCGGAGGGCGTAAAGGCTCGCCATGGGCAGCCTATCATTTGTACTTGTCGCCGAATGGGAAATCGATTTTGGCGGGGGGTCTTTGGTGTCCGGATAAAGACCAAACGGCCAAGATTCGGCACGAGTTTATGACGAATCCAGAGAGGTTCCGGAAGGTTATTGGGGAAGAAAAGTTTGAGAAGAATTTTGGGAAAGGGACGCCCCCTGGGAAGGGGGAGGATCAAAGACGGAGTGTATATGGCATGGATGATCAGTTGAAGGTAGCGCCGAAGGGGGTGGATAAGGGGCACAAGGATATCGATCTGCTCAAGTTGAGAACCGTTGCTGTTATCCACTAGTACGTGTATCTTTTCTCTCTCTTCTGAGTGTTCTCTCGAGCTGACGATGATTAAGCTTTACGGACGAAGAAGTCCTCGAGCCGAAATTCCAAGATACCGTCAGAGAAGTTGCGAGGACGATGGTACCGTTCATACGCCTGTACGTTTGCCTCTGCTACTACGATTACGCGAGTGGGCGCTGATGAGAAGCAGGTTGAATGATTACCTCACGTAGCGGCCCCGGCCCCTTATTTCGTCATGTGAGGAAAGGACAGAGCAATGGGTTGTATTCTTGTTTCACGTCATGTATTCGTGCTATCATTTCCCTTGCTGGAGCTCTTCAGTAAACGCGCCACGGACACTGACAGCGCCAAGTCCTTCGTGAAGACCAAGGCTAGAACGTACAAATACCAAACGCAAGCCTCATGCCGTCCGACCACGACGAAGCTTTCTAGAAAGTTACCGGGCACTACTACTGCTGTCGTGTACTATCCCGCCTCTTTCACGGCTGCACTGAGAGATTCGGACACAAGTCGATGCTTGATCCGAGCCAGAAGATGACTCGTGAATGGTTTGATTCGAGTCACAATCTCGGCCGATACCGGTCCCTAGTCACATCAGGTCTAGGCTCAACAAGGTCGCTCTTGCATCTGGTCCTACACGATGCTCATTGCAGACGCTCACACATGGGCCCATACAGGTTATGCAGGTATGTTGTACATCCATTTGAAGACTTTACCGAAACTAGACTAGCAAAAGAGAGCGAGAGAAGGTCAAAAGTAGCTATGAAAGACGAACGATGAGCCAGAAAAATCAAGTTCATTTCGTCTGTGTTGATGCTTGTGGAGACTGGGATGTTTCCAAAACAAATGAATAGTCTAACTATCTGATGAATCCAGAAAGAACAGAGATTACACGGTAGGATGATCGACGAACGCAAGGGAAGAAAGAGGAATGACAGAGACCACGACACTACTACTACACTTTTGATCTTCTTTCCGAGCTGCGCACCCCCAACCAACTTAATGGAACAGCTTCTTCTTTGGCTTCTCCTCTCCTCCTACCACCTTGATATGCTGGTGGTTCCCCGGTCTCCCGGGATGGTGGCTACAACAATCAATCCCCTTCACCCACTCATCCCCATCATCCATCTCTTGCGCCGTCAGACCCGTAATCTCCTCTGGCGGCACACTGACGCTCCCCGAGCAATCCTCCGACCCACAAGGACACATCATCTCATCCTTCCCCCTGCCCACAAGCAAGTCGGAGAGCGTACATCGGATCGAAGGCTCCACCGCGAGCATGCGCATGACGGCGCTTCGGGATTCGCGAGGGAGGAGACGGAAGATGGACTCGGCACCGCCCGATTGGAATGTACGAGTCGACGAGATCGACGCAGCGCGCTCCCTCCTTGCTTGTGAGTCTGCCCTCGCAGCAGAGCTCTGTTCGAGGGCGAGGTGGCCGGTAGCGCTGGTCATGGGGTTGACTCGGTGGTCGGCACCAGGGGTCGGCGGCTGAGAAGGCGTCGACACTGCGCGATGACGGCCCGTACCTTCCGTCTGACGCACACGAGCCTGGGGAGGTAGTGTGCCCTGCCTCTTGGGGTTTTTGGCAGCAGGCGTCAAGCCGCCCTTGGTCGCATACCTCGAAGCAGGCACAGAAACGACCGAATCGCTCCTCCTCGGGAAATTGAGATCACTCGGATCTTGTCTCCCGTCCCCGGCGTGAATATTCAAATGTGCCAAACGCCCATGAGGCCCATCGTCATCAGACGAAGAACACTCTTCAGGCGAGCCTGCTTTGGTGGTATCCACAGCCGTGTTGGAGCTCACATTCGACTCGGATCGCTGGAAGGGGATCTGGCTGGACCCGTCCGGCAAGAGCCCGTGGGGACCACCATGCTTGCCATCCTTGCCGTTGACCAGACTCGGCGCCGGCGTCGGGATGGGCGGCTTGGTAGCCAGCTCGGGGTGCGTATTGACATACAGCTTGTAAGACATATCCGTCTTGTAGTCTGGGATCTTCCACGGGAACCGCCTGAGCACCATACACATAAAGATGATGGCCACGCTCCACACATCCGTCAGCCGGGGGTCGTAGTGGTCCTTGGAAAGCACCTCGGGCGCAAGGTAAGGGTCGGACCCGACGACGCCGGTAGCTGGGATCTGATGCTTGCCGGGGTAGTGGAAGACGGTGGCAGTACCAAAGTCGATGAGCTTGACAGTGTTTTCGGTGGTCATGACGCAGTTGTCGAGCTTCAGGTCTCGGTGGGCGAGGCCCATAGAGTGGAGATAGTTGACACCGTCGACGATTTGGCGGAAGACGCAGTAGATCTCGGGACGCGACATTTTGCCAGACATGACGACGGAGAAGAGGTCGTACGGGGCGTATTCCATAATCTTGATCCATTGTCAGCAAAGCCCATATCAAACCGTAGAAACTCACCTCGTAGAAATGCCCGTGGTCGTTGACGATATCCACCGTCTCAATGACATTGATATGCCTCAACGTCACACCCACGCAAAACTCTGCCGTCACCTTTCTCTGATACTCCTTCTCCGACTCTCCCTGCCTCCTCGGCCTAAACTCCTTGACAGCATACACCGTATTCCCATTCTTCGTATTCCCCTTGATCAACCTGACCGTACCACCCGCACCACTCCCAAGCACCTTACCCCACTTGCCATACTTTTTCGACAAGTGCGCGTGGGAAGCTTCTTGCAGCGAGGGGTGTGTGAGCGCAAGGACGGGGTAAGGTACACCAGGGAACTCTGCCGCATTCTTCGGCGTCGCCCATCCAGGCGTATGCGACGGCGTCAAGTTCGGGGACCCTCCCGGCGTCGCCTCCCTCGTCACTTGCCTACTCGGCACCGTGCTCCCCGCCTGACTCGCCGCCTCCTTCTCCCGCTTCTTCTTCTCCTTCTTCTCATTATGCCCGAAAAAGCTCGCCAGAGAGGAATGCGACTTTTCACCCTCATTATCCCGGTGGTGGTGGCGCATAAAGCCCATGAGGTGGGTGGTGTGCGCACCGTGGTCCTTGTCGGCATGGCCGGTCCCGCCGGTGGAAGAGGGGGTCGCGTTGACGGCTGTCATGCTGCCGGCTTGGCCGTGCGCCATACCGCCGAAACCGCTGCCGCGTCTCTGCATCGCAGGCGTCGCTGCCCCCGTAGCCACCCCCGTCCCAGGCGTGGGCGAGTTTGGACCAGAGGCAGAAGGCGTATCGGCGAGGTGCTCCCGCACAGCAGGGTGGTGCTCGTGCTTGTGCTTGTCCGAGCCAATGTGGTGGTTCAAGAATCGGCGCAAGTCGTGCAACGGCCCAGCATGGTGTTTCGGCAGCCGAGTCGTCGTGGGCGACTGGTGAGGGGAAGACGGCGCTGTTTGAGCGTACTGCTTGACGTGTTGCGCCGGTTGGGGGGAGGAAGTGGCGCTTTGGGCGTGCTGCTGCTCTTGGACAGGAGGAGTGTTTGATTCGGGGGTGGGAGCGTTGGCGGTGGTGAAGGCGAGGTTCGAAGGGACGTGGGTCTTGTGGTGGGCTGCGTAGAACTGTTCACCGTCGATAGGCCTGACTGCTCTAGGAGCGTCGGTATGCACTGGCTGAGCACTTCCCTTTGAAGACTGTGCCAAGTCAGCTCATGTTTTCTGAGTCTGAGAAAGTCGCAGCCAATGAAGACAGGGGGGCATACGGAGACATAGATGAGGGGAGGGGGTTCAGGAGCGACCCGTCGCTTTGACCGATGATTGGTCTCTGTCCGCGTCCGCGAGATGCGGTTCCAGGAGAACCATGAGGGGTATGGAGGACGCTTGGCATGGTACGGGCTGGAGACGCGGCGCTCGCGGAGCATGGTGGGGGAGGACATGGGGGCAGAGCGAAGAGAGGAAAAGAAAGAGAAGGACCACGATCAGACTATTGCGCGCTATGCACACATTGCGTGGCCTTCCTAGAGAAGGCTATGCACGTCGCCCCGGATGTCACGAACAGCCCAGCTAGCAAAAAGGAGCCCCCCACCCCTCCCCTGCCCCACTAACAGAAAACAAGATAGCCTACAACACTCACCCATTTGGGATCTTCATGCCAGATACCTCCTCGACTCGGCACCTTGCGCAGCCCAGTCTCCGCATCCCCCTCAGACTCTCTCCCCTGCACATGCCTGTCTGCCCCTCCCATCGTGTTTAGCGTCGTCTGGCTGTCTGCCACTCCATTCCCATTCTGGCTCGCCCTCGCTGAATAAGCAGAGTCCTCCGACGAGCTCTCCTGCAAGACCATCTCGCTGTCTCTCCTACTGATGGGCGCAGAGCCGCCGTCAGAGCTGCCGACGGCATACTCGGAGCCATTGGGGGTTCCGTCCTGTACGGGAGTGAGATTGCCGGGGGAGGGAAGACCGTCGTGGGCGGTGAATATCTCGCGGCCCGCGTGGGTCATGAGCGAGAGACGCCTCTGGTTGGGGTCGGCAAAGTTGATAGAGTGGAGGGGGACGGCGGGGGCTGAAGACAGCATGGTGGGCGAGTCTTCAAGGTGATGCCAGAGGCGTTATCGATCTGATTGGCGCAGCGGAATCGCTGTCTCGTTGGCAACCTCCGAAGGGATGCAGGGAGTATGCCGAGTGTAAGAAAAAAGGTTGGCCGCTGGTGGGTGGTATCAAGGATGGAGGAAAGAAGAGCAAGAGAAGTGGATTGTAATATACGAGGGGTAATTCTGTAATCGGGTCGACGTCGCCCTGGACCGGGATCCCTGTCGTTCTAAACGCGGACCGCAGGCAGCTCGTAGACTGACTGGACTGACGACACGCTTCACGAGCCCTTCGGGTGGGTGTGTTCTGCCAACAAGAGGGGGCGGCAGGAGGTGCGAGGATGGAAGAGAGGATGAAGAGATGGGGGGCCGGCTGTTGGAGACCGAACCTTTCCAATTCGCGGTGAGAGCTCCGGATGACGCTCGTCTCGTGGAAAGTGGCTGCTGACCCCTTCCCTGTGTGCTGCTTTGTGGAAGGGAGATGGAGAGGAAGAAGGAAGAATACATCCCTAGATGCACTATGCATGGCAGCAGAGGCCTCTCTTGGCTGGTTCTTGGATCAGGTGTCCATCCATCTCCCAGCTTTTTGTTGCGTGCGCGCCGTGTCCGGCCTGTCCGCCCATCGGCCATCCCCGTCCATCCCGTCATCCCGCCACATCCCTCCCCATCTGCCGGGTCTGCCCATCTGCATCATAATAATATCAAACACCCCCGTTCGGTGGCAGCTCGGTGCCTCGGCGTCCATGATCCGCCGGTGTCCGGTCTCGTCTGTCGAGTGCACAACCCAAAGAAAGGGGAGCAAATTCCCCGTGGCGGTGGTAAACTTTCTTCTCTGACGTCAGCCGCATACACCGGCCCGCTGCCCGATGTCGGCTGTAAAACAAAGAGGCGTTCCGCCATGCCTTGCAAATCGCTCTCTCCCTCCAGCACACCTGCAGGTTATACAGACGTCCATTTGCCCTTGTGGCCACCTGCCACCGAGTGCGGCGGTGCCACTTGTCCCGGAACCAAACCGTCATGCAACGCACGCACGTACCCACCCACCCACGCCGCGGGGTGACTAACCCCCGTTCAAATTAGCCACTTTAATAGTCATATGTACTATGTAGCCTGACGTAGGTACATACATATGCCCATTACGGCCGGTTTCGGCAACAAGCATCGAGAGGTGATTTTCGACTATGGCCGCTTGACATCTTCTCCGTATCTTCTCCATCCACCCTTCGACTTTTGTACATAGAGAGCCGATGCGAGATCTGCAAATGCCTGATGGAAGGTGGGGAGTGAGATAAGGATCGAGGACATGTCGGATGATCGTCCGTCGTTCGATAGCGAGGCACCTCGATCTTCTGACTGCAAATGAATCAACGCCACGTCACAGCGGGGTGTGGCAGACTCACGGGAGACGGATCACTCTTGCACGCCTTCATACCCCATTCGAATGGAAAGGTCTGCCACTCTGTGGATACACAGAACTCAAGTGCAAGTCTCCAAGGCCTGATCTTCAACGGCATTGTCCGATCAGTCCCTCTCGTCATCATTCAGATCCTCTATCATAGCCTTGTGAAGAGTGGGGATACCATCAAGGCTAGTTTGCTTTTCCATCCATTGTAACATCATAACCGATCCAGAAGACACAATGTATACTTTACACTTTGATCGTCATCCCGTAGCAAGAAGACCGCCATATGACGCGGACAAGATTTTCATTATCATGTCACGCATTAGCAGATGAGATGGACCATCAATGTGACAATCCTACCCCATCACATCTCATAAGTGGGGTAACAGGTGGGGTAATTGGCACTCTCAAAAACTCATAGTTTGGAGGTGTGAAACGATACTATCCGGTACAGAAAGGACCTCTCGGGGCATGTGAAACGGCCGACTCTTGTGGGTGTATTCTCTCCTTTCTCGAGAGATTCGTTACCAGCCCCACCACCCGCCAGTCCTCAATGGAGTGTGGACTGATACCGTTTTAATCTCGATTCCCTGACAAGAGTTCATCGAACAGCTAAATGAGCGGAGGAGCGGAGGAGCGTCGGGCTGGCAATTCTTCTCATACCCAGCAGTGAGTGGTAGACGTGGGCAGCTCCACACTTCTCACAGGGCATTGTACAAGGGTATATAAGTAGCAGTTTCCAGCCCCACCGTTTGGACAAGATACATATCTTTACAGACTTTCAACAAAAGACAATAGTGTAAACAACAATGAGCGGTGACCAACCCTACTACGATTACACCCGCTCATCCGGCGGTGACTTTAGCCAATACACCGATGAGCCTGGCACCTATGACGGCTTTTACGGTACTGAAAGTAGTGCCTCTACAGGAGGCTATCCCGAGCAGAGCTATAGCGCAGGCAACGATGAAAGCCCCTTTGGCGAAGACGAAGAAGACGACTTTCTCGACCCGGAGGAGGAGCATCGCATGATGAAGGAACAGTCGGACCGGGGCTTGCGCGAATATACCAAGAGACAGAAAGAGATCCAGAAAGAGACTGAGAGGCGTAGGCAATCCAGTACGGGGGAGAGTCGAGGGAGCGGCAGTAGCAACCAAGGTAGTAGTAGCTCTTCCAGCAAGAAGAAGAAGGCACAGAAGCCGAAACTCAAGCCGGCAAAGAAGCCGTCGTCGAGCAAGTCTAAGCAAGCTTCAGAGCTTGCTGATATTGGCGAGGAAGAGGAATGATATTGTCATATGAATGCATGTTTTAGCACATCATCAGCAGGGTTTGTGCACCCAGTCCAGCCATGAAACATCGTTAGCGCCTAGCGACAGATTCAAGGCATGACTGACGGCTGATGAACACGTATGACACGATGAGAATTTATGATGTCCCACCACAGCTACATCATGTATACAAAAGCTTACTATCAACAGACAACACTAGCCGCCCCCATGGATCGATCCTCCCGCCAACGACACTTGTCTCTTCAAGACATCGCCCATCCCCGGCGCCTCCCCGACCTTCCGGCTCCCTTGCCTCTGCAGCCCCGCGCCCTCAGCCCCTGACCCATATCCAGAACCAGACCCCTTCCCACCCCGAGCACCTCCCGCTGGCCGAGTGAATGTCCGTTCAAGATCGACCGGATGCTCCCCATGCTCTCCATCCCCTTCCACCGACGACGACCTCTTGTCCTTTTCATCCACCCGCTCGACAGTGCTTTCATCCCGCCCTCGAACGGCAGCTTCCTCGTCTCTACCGTCGTCGGCTTTCTCTTCGTCAGCTTCGCGTTGGGTTACACCATATCTGATGTTGGCGGCTTCGCGCCAGCCTTCGCCGTAGCGTATTAGGAAGAAGAGAGCTACAGTCGCGCCCCACTTTACAAGAGTCAGTCTTGAACAGCGATCAAGTATGGAAGGACAGGGACGTACGCCGACGAAGGAACAGATGGTCATCGTCCATCCCCAGCCTATGGCGTTGGCGAGAGGAATGACGAATGCTGAAGCCGCTGCGGAGAAGATATATCGGATGCCTATGGGTTGAATCAGCATTGAGAAGAAAAGACAAACTTGGTCGTACAGTTGTTGACGGCGACAACTTCGGCACTTCTTGATTGCATAGCGTCAACTAGGCTAGAACTTCGTCACTTCTGTCATACCATTCACACAATGAGGGACGTACTATGTGTTTATTGGGGTCACAGCCAACATCAGAGAGAGACCATTGAGGAAGACCATGATGAGCGGCGGCGCCATTCCTCCTTTACTATGATGAATCATGAGCCGAATTTCCGAGCAATCTTTTGATGGATCTCACCCAGAGTTGAGGACCCAACCATAGACCAAGATCGACACCGGCATCCCTAAAGCCAATCCCCAGAAGCTCGCCCTCAACCTATCTTCCGGCCTGCGGTACCCTCGCTTGGCGATGTACTTTTTGACAATGCCGTCTGCGAAGGCTAAAGATTTCCGTCAGCGTGGATGGAAAGCTGATTGAAGAAACTTACGCCCTGCAAGCTTACTGGAAATCATGTTACCGACGCCGTTGGCGAGGTACAAGCATCCAGCGATGGCGCTGTTGTTGATGTGATATCTCTCTTTCTGGAATATCGTCAAGTGACGACTGCGTCAATGGTAGGTCTGCTTACAAAAACGGCTGATAGAGGAACGATGACACAGTAGGTATCTAGCAAGATACAGCTCGAGATGACACACTTCAAGGACATCAGCGACTATGCTTTGGTACAGGCTCACAATACTCACAGCCATAGCAACATTTGGCCATCTCAGCAACAGCAACGACCCCACCGGATTGACAAAGTACGGCACAAACTTTTTGCCAGTCTCCTTCTTCAACTTTTCGTGCATTGTCGGAGGGTGTGCCGTTTCAGGAAGGAAGAAGAGGGTGAGGGCGACGGATAGAGCGCTGCATCCGACAAGAAAGTATTGGGCAGCACGCCAAGTGATGGCGGTGTATTCAGTGAAAAGACCGCCGATGATTGGGGAGAGGGTGGGACCTATGAGGACGCTGATCAGGCGTCAGCGTGGTGTCAATGAGTAGGGGGTTGAGTAGGACGTACCCCATATAAAACATAGCCATGCCACTTGATCTTTCTGTGGGTCGAAAGATGTCTCCGATTGTACCAGCACCGACACTCAACACCGAAGAACTTCCTGCGCATACGTCAGAATTCTTCGCCTTTGTGCACCCCAAGTGGGTCAAACTCACCGATGCCCTGAAGAATCCTTGTGCCTATCAATGCTCCAATATTCTTGGAGTTTGCAACCCCGACACTGGCCACCACCATGATTGGCATACTTGCCAGATATACCGGCTTTCTTCCATAGAATCCGGCAAAGGGCGACCAAAAGATGGGCGCCACTCCTATTGATACCAGGAAGATGGCGACAGTATAGTTGATGACCTCGGTAGAAGAATGCAGATCGGTAGACATGACAGGTATTGACGGCAGGAAGATGGAAGAGGTCATGGCTGGAATTTGGCTAGGTGAGCACCGAAGCTTCATCGCACGAGGAGTTGCGAAATACGCACGACCGATGAAAGCAGAGTACGAGATGATTGCCACAATCATGTACTTTTGCCTCTTTGTGAAACGATCGTACACATCCTTGGGCCTCCCATCGATCATTTCTACCTCTGTCGCATTCCCCGAACCTTCTCCTTCCCCACTCTTGCTACACCTCGAGCTGCGATCCGGTGGCGCGTCGAGGATCCCGTCATCGAGACTAGCGTCTTGCACGTCTCCTTGAGATACCCTCCGACTAGGGCCGCCGAGGTTGGACTGTAGAGAAGAGTTTGACGACTTGAGCTTGTGCTCTTCTCCTGTTTCGGGCGTTGGTGAGGCGTGGGATATGAGGGTCGTACTCGAGCTTGCTGTGGTGGACACTACTATGTCGGCGTCGCTGTGGTGGTGTGATTCTGTGGGCATTCTGTATAGAAAGATTGTTTCGTAAGCTGTGGGAGGTTATCTCCACTGCAGATCGAGTCGAGCAGGACTGAAAACGAGAAATGAGTGGAATCTCACAAGCACAACAAAATTCCACATCGTCCATCGCAGAAGACCGACACGCGAGGCTCGGCTATCTCCGACGATGAAGACCTGCGAAAGCTATTTTAAGCTCCGCGCTCACACAGCAAGCTCACGGGTTCATCCCTCAGCCAGCTCGCTGGACAGTCATCAGAATAGGGAAGGCTACATCGCTAATCTGTCATCTACTCTCTCTTCGTCATTTTCAACACCATTACTGAGCGTCATCAGGCTCCCCCTTGCTCAGTGAATTCCATGTTGAACCTCGGCCTTGCACTTGACCATCCATTTCCATAAACCGACACTTTACGGATTCCCGTCTTCTGCTAGCGAGAAGCCCTCCGATCTGAACTGGACAGAGTGAATATCCCCCCTCGTGGTCCTGGTCCGTCGGCGGTGCTCCACTTCCGTCTCCAGAGTATCCTTAATCTCATGTGCTATATACCACGGGCGATATCTGCGCGCGGGACACGAGATTTGAGTACTCCTTGATCGGCAGACAGCCTCAATAGACTGTCTTCAAGTACAGGCAAGAAACGGATCGTGACACGATTGGTGACTGCATTGATCTGTGATTGCTCCCAGCGCCTTTGAGCTTCCGCTTTTTCTCGTCTCTTGAGCTTCCACTTGTTCTTCGTCGTAGTCATACCCGTAGTCAGACTGGTCGTCATACGACGAGGAGTATTTTCTGCTTCTCCTGGGCTCATACGAACTTGTTGGTGGATAGTAGCTACTGGTGGGTCTGCGCGTGTCGTAATAAGAGCTTGACGGTGGGGGTGCTCCACCACTTTCGAGAACATTCTTTCGCCACCAGGTTCGCCGATGTAGTTGATTCTAGAGGTTTCGACGGAGGACATGATGAGTAAGCAGACTTGAGGTGCCAGGGTATATAAGGACGCGTCTCCATAGCAGTAGATACTCCGTCGATCCACTATTGTTGTCTTCTCTAGTACACACTCTCTCTCTCGCTCAACACTCTCGCACAAACGCTATCTTCCTCCCGCGCCACTTTCAGGCAGAGTTTCCGCAAAAGTCATATCGAAAAAAGTCCGTTTCCCAGTCCAGCCCTCCCCATACACTGACATATCCTTGAATTCTATTACGCCGTCCTCCACAATCACCTTCTTCGGAAACACCCTCACACTCTCCATCAAGCCCCCCGTTCTCCCCTCTCGCTTCCTTCGAGCAATTTCTGCTTCCAATGTCGATCGTACTTCCTTCTCTACCTCATCATAGATAGAATCTTTGGCATTTTCGAAGTAGGACTCGTAACCCTTGAGGTCATTTGTTATGTTGGTCTCAAGTTGACTCATGAAGTCCTCCGTGATTTGGAAAGTTTCCTCGGAGATTCGAGAGAACTCGTCTTGGACCTCGTCACCCTGAGAGGGAGTGGGTTCGGCTTGGCGTTCAGTGGACATTGTTGTATGTGCTATGGATTTGATGAAATGCTGAAAGATGATGGGAAGGACTGGGGCTCTAAGTAGCAATGCGCGCCCCGGTACTCTATTCCCAAACATCTATATCAGTCACAGGATGATAGTCCAGAGTCACATAGCTGGCGACAATCCATTCTAACACAAATCCTTCCTGTGCCAACCCGAGCTGTTCTTTTGACTTATATTACAATTGCACGGAGCTGCAAAGAGATGTGAGAAAAGAGATGTGAGATTATCCTCGTTGTTTCCTTTCATGTGGCTTCCCATTGCCAATGCGGTCTCGATCTGCGGCATCACGTCAGACCATGAACCATCGGCACAGCTAATAGGGGCCTTCAAGCGATGCTATTTGACGTGATTCCGGTTCCGCTAATGCTATCATGCAGCCTCGGGCCGGCGGTCCATAATACGGCTGCGACCTAATCATCGTCACCCATAGAGGATGCAGATGGCTGTGCTCTATCCACTAATTATCCTTGTAAAAAGTCATATCAAAATGTGTCTTCTTCCTCTTGGACCACCCGTCCCCATATACCACCACATCCTCCAAGAACAGTTCATCCCCATCTCTCTTCAACGTGACTTTCTTCGGAAGAAACGTGACTGACCCCATATCCCCATCAGACCTTTCGCTATACTCCCTATCCACCACTTCCTCCAGCAGCTTCTTCCTGACCTGCTGTCTCACGCTAGCAGCTACTTCCGACCGAGGCAAAGTGAGCGACGGCGCTCCTTGGCTAGAGAGCCTTTCCAGATTGTTATCGAGCCTCACCAAGAATCCTTCGACTATGCGTTCGGTATGGGCATCGATTTGGGAGCGCTCGCTTGGGCGGCTAGTAGCTCTGGGAGGCGATGGAGGAGCAGTCCTTCCCCCCGTGGACATTGTGTGACTAGTAGGAGGAGGCGGTGGACGATAGCTGGACCGGCGACTGGTGGGAGGGGAGGGAGGGGCAGCACTCTCCCCAGCGGATGCAAAACTTCTCCTGCTACTACGAGCGTGGCCAGTAGGGGGTGGTGGAGGACGACGGCGTGGGCTGGAGTGAAGACCGCTGTATTGGCTATCGCTGTAGTAGCTATGGCCGTAGTGGCTACCGCTGAAATTGCTGTCGCTGTAGTAACCATCATCGTAGTGGGGCCTTGCATAGTACGCAGAAGGCGGATAATCGTCATAGAATGGGCTGTCGGTGTAGTATGTCCGGCGCCTACGGCTGCTGGGCATGATGGTACGTCGTGCTGTATTGTGGGTCGGTCGATGATGTTGCGAAGACCGAAATAGGAGATTGGACGATGGTCAGGCTATTATGCCCTACGCCGTTTGGGGCCTTCCCATATATCCGTCTACAGTGACTGTAGCCTGGGAACTACATGATATTTGATGAGAAGTATTCGTATGATTTCAAAGGAGGCGCCACTGATAAGTCTCAGAGATGAGCATCGCGGTTTCTCATGACTTGGCGTACATTCCCATCCATATGCGCCACAGGTGACTGGCAATCTTCAAGGGTTTCTATCTCCAACATATGCAAATGATTCTTCTCTCCAAAAGAACATCCCTCAATCGGCCGGCATTTCACGGCTTGCTACCACCAAGCGCCACCGATCAGTCAACCTCCACCTCCACCATGGAAGCCGAAGGGACTGGGGCCCCTGAGTCGGGCCGAAAGGGGAAAGTCCACTGAGTTGTCATGCAATTGTCATGTGACTGTTGCATTTCTTGGGCGTCAACCTGGAGAGATGGTGGCACCGATATCGGAGGGCGGCATAACACGGCTACCTCTCTCGGATCTATCTTCTTCGGGCTCCTTTTTTGGAATCAGCCACAGGGTCCACAAGGCTCTATATATCATGTCAATCCCTCCAGGCTTCTTCATCTGCCCGCTTCTATGCCTCCAGGCCCTTTGCTTCAAACCCAACTCCAAACACACACCCCAACTTGGCCCCCACAATGGCCGACATCATGGAAAAGCAAGAGGCCGCACACATCGAAGACACCATTAGGGACGACAAGACCCATTCCGACGCAGTCATCGAGAAGGTCAGGCAAGAGCACGGAGAAATTTATGCACAGGCCTTGGAGAGATACGGTGAAGAAGGATCGATAGACCCCGAAACCGATAAGAAGTTGAGAAACAAGCTGGACCGAAGGATCATTCCCCTTCTGGGCATCTGCTACTTTTTCTACGTAAGCGCCCGTCAGTCTTGAGCGGTGGCAAAGCTGACGCTCCAGCAAGTATGTTGACAAGACGACATTGAGTTACGCTGCCATCTTTGGTATCAGGACCGACCTCAATCTCATAGGCGACAAATACTCTTGGCTTTCCAGGTTCGCCTTTGTCCATCATCTCGTCGACCTCATATACTGACGCGCCACAGTATCTTCTACTTCGGTTGGCTAGGATGGGCCATCCCATCCAACTTGATCATGCAGCGCTCACCTCCCGCCTACTATCTCGCAATCAACATCTTCTTCTGGGGTGTCTTTCTCATGATCCAGGCGGCGTCCAAGAACTATGCGACTATCGCCGCTTTGAGAGTCATCTCTGGTGCTGCTGAAGCCATCGCCGATCCTGGGTCAGTCGTCCCACATCCCAGAAGAGATGATACCCAGTGCTGATGCTCGACTGTAGCTTCATGCTGATTACCTCAATGTATTACACTCGAGAAGAGCAGCCATCAAGGATCTCTTCCTGGTACGCTTTTAACGGTCTCGGTGTCGCCGGGTGAGTCATCGCTCTTATATGGCCAAGTCCTACGCTAATCTCGTCTGGATGGCAGAGGTGGACTTATCGGCTACGGTATCGGTAAGCCCTAAACTTTTCCTTCATCCCACCCAAGCTGACATACCCGGTCCCAGGTCAAATCAAAGGCGCCCTCGCATCATGGCGTTACGAATTCCTCATCGCCGGCGCTGCCTGTTCATCCTGGGCAATCTGCATCGGCTTGTACCTCCCCAACTCTCCTGTGTCCTTCAAGGGATTTACGCATGACGAGCGGGTTCTGATGATTGCCAGGATGAGGAAGAACCAGAGGGGTATCGAAGGCAGGAAGATCAAGTGGGATCAGATTCTGGAGGCTGTGACCGACTACAAGACTGTGAGTTCAGGTCTCTATGATTGTGCCAGAAGACAAGCTGATGGAGAACATACAGTACATGTTCTTCCTCCTTGGTTTTCTTGGCAACATCCCCAACGGATAAGTCCTCTCTCATCGCTCACAAGGCTATACACTCACTCCCCCTCTTTACAGGCATCTCCAACTTTTCCACCCTCGTCATCCAAGGTCTCGGCTTTGACACCCTGCACACCGCCCTCCTCGGTATTCCCCAAGGTGTCTTGATTATGATCTGGATCGGCTCCGGCGCCCTTATCAACGATCGTCTCCCCAAGAACTCGAGGACTTTTGTCTGTGCTGCTTTCATGATTCCTACAATCGCCGGGTCTTTGGGATTCTTGTTGGCTCCTACCAATGCCTATGTCGGGAGGTTGATCTGCTTGTGCGCTCCTCTTCCTTCCTATCTTCGTATCGTAATAAGGCTGACGAGGTTTCGTTTAGCTATTTGACCGGGTCTTATCAGTCGAGTTTTGTTCTGTCTCTATCACTCATCACCTCCAATTCTGGTGGTCAGAGTAAGAAGCTGATCGTATCCGGCTTCATTTGGCTCGGTAAGCCCCCTCTTGCTCCGAGTCGTGACGGATGATTGCTGATCCAGTCATTCCACAGGCGCATGTGTCGGAAACATCGCTGGCCCCTTCGTAAGCTCCCCTCCCCATCACCCCTCAGACCCCCTCACTCACCTCCCCACCCAGTTCTACAAATCCGAACAGGCCCCCAAATACACCCTCGGTATCGGATCCATCCTCGTCTGCAACTGCCTTGAATTCCTCCTCTTCTTTGCTTTCCGATACGCCTTCAAGTGGGAGAACCACAAGAAGCAAAAGTTGAGGGAGCAAGTCCGAGACTCGGGCGAGGTGACGGAGGAGGATGTGAATGCGACGGCGTTTTCGGATTTGACTGATAAGCAGAACCCCAAGTGAGTTGTGCCCTTTGTGCGATGAAGTGGGAAAGACTGACTTGCTTGTAGCTTTGAATATGTGTACTGAGCAATGATCGCAAGGGTATATGATTGTAACAGGTAATTGGTAACTATGGCGTAATCTTTGTAAACATATGACTCTTCTCCAGGTTGATCAGCAAGCCCTCCAGGTTGAATTCCACACTCCGGATGCAAAAGTCTCGCGGAAAAGAATTCATCTCATGTCCAAATCTATGGCAGACGGGGGGTCATCATTACTGAAGGGGTTTTTGATTTTGCACTTGTCTCATTCAACACTTCTCTCGCCTCTTTCTATACTCCTTCTCCCTCGTCCCTGGCTCTTGCCATGCACTTGATCAAGGCTTAAGCAGAACCAGTCTTGGCGGCCTCGACGGCCTTGGAAGCAGCCTCGTCCAAACCATCTTATTACAAGTCAGCGCACGGACGACAAAAGTAAATAGAGGATACTCACCGAAGGGGAAGATCTTCAAACCAGACTCCTTGATCATGTTCTTCGCCTCGGCCTCCTTGGTACCCTGCAACCTGACAATGAGAGGGATCTCGAGCTCGAGCTCCTTGGTGGCCTTGATGATACCCTCAGCAATGACGTCGCATCGCATGATACCACCGACTGCAAATTCCATCAGCACCGCGATCCTCAAGCAAGGGATGTAACCTACAGATGTTGACAAAGATGGACTTGACGTCCTTGTTGGTCAAGAGGAGCTCGAAAGCCTTCTTGACAGCGTCGGCAGTAGCACCACCACCGACATCCAAAAAGTTGGCGGGGGAACCACCGTGGAGGTTGAGGACGTCCATGGTAGCCATGGCAAGACCGGCACCGTTGACGAGACAGCCAATGTCACCGTCGAGCTTGATAAAGTTGAGGCCGTACTCGGCGGCCTCGACTTCCTGGGCGTCCTCCTGGGTAATGTCTCGGAGCTTGAAGATGTCCTTCTGTCGGAAGTCGGCGTTGTCGTCGAAACCGAACTTGGCGTCCATACTACATTCCAATGAGTAAAGTCAAACAGCACTAGAGCGGGGGACGTACCAGAGCACCTCGCCAGTGCTCAATTCAGCCAAGGGGTTGATCTCGATCTGAGTAGCGTCCTTCTCCTTGTAGATGGTGTACAACTTCTCAAACACATCCGCAGCGTTCTTCCTAGCGCCCTCCTTGAAACCGAGCTTACCAGCAAGCTCCAAAGCGGTCTCCTTGCTGATACCGTTCTCAAAGTCCAAGGGGGTGGTGAGGATGGCATCGGGAGTGTCCCTAGCGACATCCTCAATGTTCATACCACCCTGGGAAGAGCTGACAAGGACGGGGCCACCAGTGGTTCGGTCGTTGAGGATGGCGGCGTAATACTCCTTCTGGGGAGGCAATCGCTCGGCGAGCATGACGGCGTTACAGACTCGACCACCAGCACCGGTCTGCTTGGTGATGAGCTTGTAACCGAGCATCTTTTCGGCGTACTCCTTGGCCTGAGCGGGGCTAGTGTATGGTCAGCTACAGATCGCGTCGCATAGAGGTCGATGAGATCTCACGAGTCGACCATCTGGACACCACCCTGGAATCCAGAGTCAAAGTGACCCTTTCCTCGACCACCAGCCAAAACCTGCGCCTTGATCACAAGCTCGTCCTTGCCTATAACGCATTGGTTAGCCCTCAATCGTGCTGCGCTGCCACCTCTTCCATCTCCCTCGTCGACGACCACCATTGTACCGAACACAGATCGGCCGAACGGCAACGCCGCCCCCGACCCTCCTCTATGCACGTCTGCGCCCATCCCCACATGCACAACAAAACTCACCAAAAGACTTGGCGACGCTCTCGGCCTCAGCGCCAGAGAAGGCAGGAAGAGACTTGGGCGTAGGGACACCATACTAGCAAAGGCCACCGGTTAGCATTACCGTTAACCCACGATTCACAAGAGGGCATGCTTACAGAGTTCAAAAGCTGAACAGACTGGTACTCATGGATAGAGAGGTTCCTCTTTTGTTGAGCAACGGTCTTGAGGGGCTAGCTCTGGCGTGAGTACGATTGATTATTGGGACGTCTTGGGCGCTTCCCCACGTCCGATGGCGCGTCCTACGCAGCCCTTCCTCGTGATTGAAAGACGGAGACATACCTTGACATTAGCACGGGCGGCTCTGAATCCTCGGATCATGGTGGTAGTGTTGGAGTTGGTAGAGAGGGAGGAAATAGAGGTGTCGTTGTCGGGTCGTTCTCGGAAAACGCTCAGGGAGGTGGACACCGCCGCCCCTCCCACTTATCACCGACCAATGCCGCAAACGCGTCCGGGAGACAAGCATGCAATGCATTCAAGAGGTTTCAAGATGATATGTATGATTGTATTGATTTCGAGGGACCCAATGTACACGCAGAATAAGAAAGACAAAGAGATCGAAACAAAGATAAAGAGATAGATTCTACCACGAAGCAGCACAAGACACGTTCCCTCTATGTCGAGAAGCTACACGGCTGTCAGTAAAGCACACTCGCACACGAGGCCTACTCACATTCCCAGAATCTTGAACGGATTCGAGCTCCCTCCGACCTCACCCTGCAACTGGCATTCCACGAAATGCGATCCCTTCTGCACTCCTCTATCGATCATCACCAACGTCGCGATCACATCCTCGACCTCGGCGGTACCGTGCAGCTCGGTGTTACCCGCGTAATTGTCGTCAACCCAGCACTTGACGACACCGAGAGGCTTGTCGGGCGGGGATTGGAGGAAGTAGATACCGACGTCACCGGCACCAAGGACGAGGGGAACTCGAAGACGAGCAGTGGGCTGTTCGGCATACCTACGATAATGTCAGCCATACTTCTATGCAGCAGATGTTGACCCACCAGTAATGCCTGTCCTCCTGCACCGCGCCCTTGGGTGGGTGGTAAGGCTTCCAACCACTTCCCAAGAACAAACTATCCGGCAGAGGGTTGATCAAGTTGCTCGCAGCAACGCAGAACGGCTCAATCTCTCTAAACTTTTGCACATCATGCGGCTTGTCCGCAATCCTCATCTGCGGCACTCTCAAGCCCTGGTACCTATCCGCCAAACTCGACCCAGCCGAGACGCCGTCTCCGGGATCTTGCCCAGGCATGCCTTTTCGCAGACCGACACCTCCAAGGAGGGAGGGTGAACCAGCAGAGGTCGCGTCAGACTCGGTACCAAGGTCGGGGACGTCAAAGCCATGGTCGGTGATGGAGGACCAGCCGGCGCACACTTGGGATTGGAGGTAGGAGACGAGAACGTCGGAGATGAGCCCGTGGCCGTTAAAGTTGGCGTGCGCGGGGTCGTTGTAGAATGCCGAACGTGCTTGGTCAGGGCTCTCGAGGTATTGCTCGTAGAGAAGACCCTTGACACTATACAAGAGTCAGTGTTGTCGATCGCTTCTCTATCAAGTCCACTTGCCTGATGTGAGGTACGTCGTAGAACTGTCCAACAACGTTGTGCAAGATCTCGGGACCGGCGAATCCATTCTGCGCCTGTACCTGAGGACTAAAGTGACCAAGAATGATCACAGCAGGCATCTCAGGTCGGACGAGGACAGATCGCACCAAGAGCTCAAAGTGCTGGAGCCACTCCGGATCGCTGCATTCTTGTCAGTCTTGCACCTTTGACCATCCCGCAAACACATACTTGGGGTCGGCCGCATCAAACTCCAAGATCACCAGATCTGTCTTGTCGGGCAGATGGTGGCTGTTGCAGTACGCATAGTAGGCGGAATCGGTCTTGGGCGTCGCGCCGTTGGTGAGCTCGTTGGCAGGGTGAGGGAAGACAGTGTTCCACCAGTCAAAGAGACGGTGGGGGTAGCACTTTTCATGTGTGGGGTCATCGCCCGCACCCATACACGCAGAGACTGTAACAGATAGTCAGACGACCTTCATCGAGAGATTTAGGGAGACCCACCAGAGCCTCCAAGAACACTGATCGTGACCGGCGCACCGCTCATCGCCTTTTGCAAGACCCTCTGCACTCTCGCGCCCGTACCCAAATGCAGCCTACTTCTCAGCAGCTCAAACTGCCCTCTTCGGGTCGCGATGGTATCGCCCGGACCAAAGACTGGACAAAACTCGAAAGGCGCAGTATCGATGAGGGAATTGTTTAGATAATCGCGGGGGATAAGATGGGCGGTGTCTGTCACCTTGTGGTGGTCATCGGAAGACGACGAGGAGGAGGGGATGACGAGTTTGAGAAAGATGATGAAGCCGAGAATGGCTGTTACTAGTATCCAGCCTTGCTGGGTCAAGCCTGTAAAGGTTCAGTGCCCGCTACGCGATATCCCATGCCGTAGACTTACCAAACTTGCTTCTCTTCCCCTTTTTCCCAAGCACTCCACCCAGCCCAAGCTTCTCCAAATTCAATCTCAACCCACCCTGTCCACTCCCTCTTCTCCCCTGCACTCCACCCCTCTCGCTCCGCCTCTCCTTCTCCCGCTCCTTTTCATCCACAAAGCCTTCCGCGCCCTCAAAGTACTCTCCAGACACTTTAGCGGAGCTGCCGTCCTGCTGTTGGGCGAGCAGCGACTCGGATGACGCGTGGACGTGGCCACGGGGGTAGTGGGACATGGGCGTGTCGGGCTCGACCTGCATGGTGCCTGTTGCGGGAGGAGCGAGTGCCGGGGGTTGAGTGGGATCTTGGGCTTGCAATGTATTTCTGGGCCTGATCATGACCCCTGGAACGGTCGGTGGGATGTCGAGGGGGAAGTCACAAGAAGTTGTACAAGATACTCTTTCAAGGTACTCCGATCTTTGCTCGCTCGTCGCTTCTTCGTAGACGCGTGTATTACGTAAGTGGCGCTACTCTTCCTGACCGCATCATCGTCGCGTCGATATCATCGTCTGGCTGCAGGCTGCCTATGCATAGGACAAAGTGGTAGAGCGTACTCTGTTACTGTACTCTGTCAGAATGCAACTCACCTCATGATCAGCCGTGATGGAGTCAAGTCGTTATCGCGTGAGCAGACAGGTTGCTTCCAAAAACAATGTTGATTCACCTCCTTGCTGCTTTTTCCTCTTCTCTAATCTATCTTCCTGAAGATTTTATTATTATTATTTTTTGAATGTGTCTCCTTTACTTTCTCGGGAACGTCTGGGTAACGCTTCTCGGCGGGCCAGTCAACACTTCACCCTTCCCGGACAGCCCACCTTCCCTGACTCGCTGCTCAACGCTGATTCGATCAAGTCGCCATCCGAGACAGAAGCCCATAGGACATTGGGGCGAAAAGAGCTCGACAAACTCTTCTCGTCAGTGGCGGTGAGAGACCAGATGTCGCCCCTCAGGGCAGCCGATTACAATGACCAGGACATAAGGCCGTCAGTCGTACGATTCACGAACTTCATTTGAAGACTTCTTTTTCTCAGATATGTTGTGGCCTTAGGTCTGGACATACTGAAACACAACCTCTTGGGTTCATCCATGACTGTGTGCACCGCTCCGGCCAGAAAAGCTAGAGCAACGTCAGCGCAGATTCCCACAAAAAGCCAGCAGATCGAGGCGGATGGACCTACGTAGCTTCAGACCCTTTCGCATACCGGTTAGGACGCTAACCATCTGGACCGTCGAGGAAGTGCGTACCATCATCGCTGAGCTCGGGCCACTTCGACCGTTGAGGTCAGCAAAAGCAAAGGAGGTAGAAGAGATAGAACTCGCCCTCACTGACTCTTGGTTTCTGGGGCGCTTTCCCTTGCTCCTGTGCCCACCTGCATTATGACGAGACGTCGTTCGCTGACTAGCTATCGCCCTCTGCTCCTGCAGCTCCTTCTCAAGAACCTGCACTTTTTGTATGAGAACCGCGCCTGTAGCCATACCAGCCTTGAGCACAGGCAGGCACCAGTCGTAGAACGTTGACAAAGAGTCGATATCGGCCAGGGCCTGGGGCAAGCGCTGACTGACGGCCTTCAAAAAGGTGTCCCGGTCATTGTAATCGGCTGCCTCGAGGGCCCACATCTGGTTTCCCATCGCCACAGACGAGGGGAGTTTGTCGAGCTCTCTTCGCGCCAATGCCCTATAAACTTCTGCGCCGGATAGCGATTTGATCGAATCAGCGCTGGGCAGGGGGTCAGGGAAGGTGGACTGTCTGGGAGGGGAAGGTGGATTACACCCGGGTTTCTGCGGAGAGAGACGCAGTCACGGCTGATAGAGATTCCATGGTCCATTGGTCTCAAGAGTCATTGCAGTGGGCCACGATAACCGGGTATGACCCGACTAGGCTTCAAGCGTTGAGTGCAGCGGGGCAGGGGCCGTTGCTAGCGCCCATTCTCCTCTAGCCTTCGAGAAAGTTAGCCGACCACGCATCAATGATGAGCAAACATAACGTTGCTGCTGGTTCTTGAAATGACCTGTTGCCCACATGAAGAGGTACAATAGATTATCGTGGTCATCATGCACAGCACATATGTACATACATGTCCAACTAAACAACAGGCGTAAGCTCGCGACTATCACTTTCAATCTCCATGATCTCGAGCTTTCAATTCTTTCTTCAGTAAAGGAAACTAGACGGGTGGATCCCCAGTCCTCAAACCAGGTACCTTCCCAATATAAAACGCCACCCGTCCCTCTACCTCCTCCGCGCCCTCCTTGGGAGTCGAATAGAACCTGTACACACCCCTTCATCAGCATCCCCAATCGCCATCGGCCATTTGCTCAAGATGATGACTGACCATGCGATATCCTTAAGCTCCCCATCATCGCCTTTATAGTTGTAATAACTGGCATCTCCTATCCATCCCACCCCCATCAGCTCTTTCCCAATGCATAAAGTAGAAGGAGAAGAAGGTCGTACCTTTCCAAGGACAGTGTGTAGTCGTCTCGCTTTGGGTGTATCGGCCCCTGTCCAAAAGCGCGTGGTCGGGGAAATACCAGCTGCCGACCGCTATCAGCTCAAGTCCTCGTGTCCCCATGGTAGGGAGAAAGGCAGGGAACGTACTTTCCCTCGACGTGCGTGAGGTCAGAGACATGCGCTTGCGCGAGGATCTTGTCCCCGAGAAAGACGGCGAGTTGTTGGTCTGCAGACATACTCTCGGTTTCAACTGTGATGTCTGATTGAGAAAGAGAAGGGGAGGGTTGCACGACCTTTATAGGATGATGCTCGAGGCAGCTCACACAGATGGGCAAGAGGCTGACTCGCCCACCCGCCTCCACCCCGAGAAGCGGGAGGCGCCACGTCCCCACGTCATATGACACCAGCCTACGTTCACGTTGTTGAGTGATCCCGCCGATCCACCACACTGCCACCACCCGCTCATGTCAGCATGCTGATCTCATGTTCCCTCTGCACCCCAAGTCATGTAGTGTTTTGAATGAAGCCAGTACCGGCACTCTACATCTCATATAGGCGGGCATATTGATCCCCCAAAAACTAATATGATAAAAACGACACATAAAACGAAATCTCCCCAAAAAGCCTTTCTAAGACGCTACCTCCTTCTTCCTTCCCCTTGCTCGCCGGCTGAAAAACGAAAGAAATGAATGATTCGTCTATGCTACTGTTTGGGAGTTCAAGTCTCGCTTTTCTTCTTTCGAGATGGTCGTTACACACATGAAATCTTGGGAAAAAAGTAGTAATCTAAAAGGGGCCGAAGAATTGAGATGCAAAGATCAGAAACACAAATCATAGAAAGAGGATCTATCGACAGAAAAAGACGCAAAGCCAGGAAAGAAACAAGGATAGAAAAGTAAAGAATCTAAAAGTAGACAAAAAAAAGTTGATGATACAAGCGTGGTATGGTTTTTGGTGAAAGAGTTTTCACCCATAGCGTTCCAAGGTGTGTTTGGAAAAAAAAATTGTCTCCTTTCTGTATATATGGGTGGATGCAGACTAATGCAATATAAGAGAAAAAATCCTCAAAACGTCCGTGATGTCTAGTATTGTTTTATTTTGATATGCAGAGGACGGTTTTGATGGTGGAGACGAAAGAAGAGTGTGGGGGTGAATGTGGGAAGGGATGAAGAACGCGGGTGTTTGTTGCTTGTATTTCGGAAAGGAGTAATGTCACAATTTGTGATGGGAGCGAGGGTTGTGGTAGCGTTTACCACCAACTAGCGCTAGAGCCGCCAGCGGCAGAAGGGAAACCACCGCCTCCAAAGCTGGGGCCACCACCACCGTAACCGCCTCGAGAGCCGCCGCCAAAGCCACCACCAGTGGATTGACGCAAGTCTCGCCCACCGGACGAGAAACCGCCACCACCACCACCACCACCTCGTCGTCCGCCCCTTCCTCGTCCACCATAGCTGCTCCCGCCAAAGCCTCGAGACTCTGAAGAAATCTCAACGAGCCACTGAGGCACCTCCTGGTTGGCCTCCTTGAGGAGCTCAATCAAGTCCCGCCCGATGCTCAAGTTGCCTCGGTTGAAGAAGGCGGTAGAGGTACCGACGTTTCCGGCACGGCCGGTACGACCGATTCGGTGGGTGTACTCGGCGACGTCGGTGGGGAGGTCGTAGAGGATGACGTGGGTGACGTTGGGGATATCGAGACCTCGGGCGGCGACGGCGGTGGCGACGAGGATGGGGGCACGGCCAGACTTGAAGGCGTGGAGGGCAGCCTCACGCTCGCGCTGGGTTCGGTCACCGTGGATAGAGGTGGCGTTGTGGCGTCGCTGGCAGAGGAAGTCGCAGAGAGTGTCGGCCATTCGCTTGGTCTCGACAAAGACGAGGATCAAACCGCCAGTCTGCTCGGCAAGGAGCAGATCGAGGAGCAAAGAGCGCTTGTCCTGGTCGTCGACATACTCGACACGTTGAGTAATGTTTTCAGAGGTGGAACCGACTCGGCCGACGGTGAGGTAGATGTAGTCCTTGAGGAAAGCCCTGGCAAGGTGCTGGATCTCCCTGGGGAAGGTGGCGGAAAACATCAAAGTCTGACGGTCCTCGACACCGGGCATACCCTCTCGCTCAACAATCTGCCTGATCTGGGGCTCGAAACCCATGTCAAGCATTCGGTCGGCCTCATCGAGAACAAGGTACTTGACGTTGGTAAGAGAGATCTTGCCTCGCTCGATAAGGTCGACAAGACGACCGGGAGTGGCAGACAAGAGGTCACAGCCTCGCTCGATCTGACTCATCTGTTGACGGATATCGGCACCGCCATAGACGACGGCAGGTCGCACCCAAGATCGGTAGGCGAATTTACGGGCCTCCTCGTGGATCTGAGAGACAAGCTCTCGGGTGGGGGCGAGGATAAGGGCAGTGGGGTAAGCCTTTCGGCCCCTGCCGCCGTAGCCACGGAAGCCAGAGTCGGCCTCGGCAGGGGGAGCGACAGGACCGTAGGTGTAGAGGGCAGAAAGAATGGGGAAGAGGAAACCACCGGTCTTACCAGAACCAGTCTGGGCACACGCCATCAAGTCACGGCCTTGGGCGATGGTGGGGATGGAGTACTTTTGGACAGGGGTGGGGGTGGTGTAACGAGAAGACATAATGTTCTCGATAAGGACAGGGTCGATGGGAGGGGAGGTAAACTCGGTGACGGGCTCGGGGGCGCCTTCTCCAGAGATTTCGACGGGGATATCAGCGTATCGGTCAAAGTTGATACCAGTAGACTGAAAAAAGCGTCAGCACGACGCGTAGATGTTTTGATCGTGTGTGTGACCCACCTGGTGCAACCCATCTCCGACTTCACCGTACAACTCCTTTTCTGTTCTGGGGTTTCTAGCTCCGACAATGTGCTTGCCATCTTTCCAGGTACCGAAACCGGGGGGGGCGCCACCGTCAAAAGTCCTCTTTACACGAGCAGCGGGCACATCCCAGCCGCTGGCCCCGGGCGCAGCAGCCGAGGGAGGGGGCATGCTCCTGGTAGGGGGAGTGGTGGCGGGGGTGGGGAGACCGGTAGGGGAAGGTCGGTAAGCAGGGGCGGGGGCGGCAGCGGCAGGCGGGGCGACTGGGGCAGCGGGGCGGTTACGGAGGTGGGGAGGGATGTACGACTTGGCAGCGCCAGAGAGGCTCATTGTTTCTGCAGCAGGGTGAGCACGGGCTGTGGGAGTAGAAAGGTGCATACTCATTTGGCCTTCGATACCGTTGGACATGATGGAGTGGCGATTTCTGTGGGGGAGAAAGGAGTGGGCTACGGTGAGCTTTTGGAGTGATTTGATTCCGGGGGTGGGTGGCGGGATGCTTTTCTGGGAAGAGCGGCTGGAGGGAGAGAGAGGGAGAGAGAGGGATGAGATCGAACGGTGGTGCATTCATCGGAGGGTGAAATATTTCATTCCTTTTTTCCTCCACATTCCATTCTGGGTGTTGTGGCTGTATCCCAAAAATGGTCCCTATCTAAAACCGGCCACCAATCTGGGCTGCCCAAAATGGGCGGGAGAAATGCAAGAAATGCGGGAGGATAATAAACGCGTCGCGAGCGTGTCCGTGCGTGTCTTTCATCGCATCTGTCGACCTCTTCAACAACATTCATATCGAACAATGGTAAGCCATCCCGCCCCTCCCCATGCTATATGCTGACACCCCCTAGTCTGGTAACAACGCCGGTCAGTCCCCCGCTCGACCAGCCCCCCCTCCAACTACCCACTAACACCACCACCCCTTTGCAGAATACCGCGAAGCCTTTGCCCTCTTTGACAAGAAGGGTACCGGACAAGTCGCCCGTGAATCCCTCGGCGAGCTGCTCCGATCTCTCGGCCAAAACCCCACCCAGGCAGACGTTGCCGAGCTCGAAAAGAGCGTCGGCGCTACCTTTAGCTACGACGAGTTTTTGGCCATCCTGAACAGGCCGGATGGATGGAAGCCGGCTGGAACTGCCGGTGTGTCTGCCTCGTATATGCTTTATGGGGTCAGAAGCTGATGGGCAACTGCTAGACGAGTTTATCAAGGGGTTCCAAGTGTTTGACAAGGCCGGAAACGGCTTTATCGGTGCTGGTGAATTACGATACGTGCTCACCCAGCTCGGCGAGAAGATGACCGACGAGGAGGTGGACGAGCTGCTGAAGGGTTTCCCCGTCCAGTAAGTAGTCTTATTGTGTATGCGTTGGGTGGCGAAAAGTGCTAATGTGGTTGGATAGGGACGGCCAGATCAACTATCACTCTTTCGTCCGATCCATTCTCGCCCAATAGAGCATGACGAGATGAGTAGGGTGTGGTGATAATGCGGCGTCCGAAGAGTGAAAGACGCTTGGATAGGACTGGGTTTTTTTTTGACGATTTTCTCTACTTTTACGATGCCATCTCGTGTTTTGAAGCTCCCTGACTTGGTCCGAAACAACAAATGTCCATGTATCTTCCAAACTCATGTATGCTGATTATAACGTTGGAATCAACTAATGCTACAGAATTATAATTTACTCTTCCTTCAACACCTCCCTACACACAAAACACCTCCCATCCTCCCTAAACCACCTCCTCACACAACTCTCGTGCCCCGCATGTCCACAGCCGGGTACAAGCACCCCCTTATCGCCGCCTTTGAACTGGCTCAGACATATGGGGCACTTGGCGACTCTGACGCCCAAGAGAGAGAGTTTGAGTTTCACTTTGCCTTGCGGGGTGGTACGTCGGGAATCGACGGATACCATCCCCGGCAAGAGGGTAGCGAGAGCAGCAGGGGAGGCGGCTGCGGGCTTGGAAGGGCCGAGGAAGGTCGTCAAGTGTGAAAAACCCTTCATCTTCTGTCAGCTCCTCCCACTCCCCACCAAACAAAAAAAAAAGAACAAGAAAGACGTACTTCATATTCTCGCCCACTGCCATCCAACCTAGCCACAAACAACTCCAAATCCGTATACTCTCTCCCCGCCGACCCCTCTCTTTCTTCTCGAATCACGCTCGGTCCGGGGCGACTATGCACCCCGGGCCCGGGGCCATCTTGTGCACTCGGCAACCTCCCGAGGCCATCCTCGCCCCCATTCTCGCCGTGGGTTACATCAACACCAACACCCGCTTGCTCCACACCATCACCGTCCCTCAGGTCCACCGCCGAAGCAGACCGATTCACGCGGGTATCATCCGCTTCCTCCGCTTCCGCCCCCGAGCCTCCTTGGTGGAGGAGACCCAACTGGGCTTCAGAGGGGGTGGGATGGGGGGCAGATTGGCTGGGGAGGTGGGCGTAGTGTGGGTGGTGGACGTCGCTCTGCGTCCGGCCTGATAAGGGACGGAGGGTCAATCTTGGAGCGGTCATATTACCAGCCGTGGGGTCAGACAGAGGTGTAGGCGTCGGGAGAGGTGTAAGCCAGAGTACAGGTCCGGGCGCAGGCGCAGCGTTGATCCTACGGACTTGTGGTGGTGAACGCGGCCCCTCGAGAGGCTCTGTCGTCTCTTCACGCTTATCAGGTGAGTCAGGCGCAGGCGCAGGCTCAGACAAGACAAGCGAAGGAGAGGCTTGCTCTCGCGCCCATGGGCTTCGTAACCTCAATAGCCTCGGCGGCGGTGGGGGCCTAGGGCCGAGAGGTCTTTTTGAAGATACCGAGGCTGGGGCCGCAGACACGGGCGGTTCCTCTCGAGGGGCAGCAGTATCTTTCTGCGGGATGCCCTCCGATCCTGCCTCCTCATCCCTCTCGGCCTTGGACTCTTCATCCTGAAGACCGAGCTGAGCAACAGCAACAGGATGTCTAGGCGGCGGCGGAGGTGGCGGGCGTCTCTTTGGCGCTGGCAGTGGAGGCACAGGCGGTGGGTTATCAGATTTCCGCGGGGGGAGAGGAGGAGGCTGGTTGACGACGTAATGAGGACGTGGAGGGATGGGTGGTGGAATTTTGCGTCTAGAAGCTAGAGAGGGAGGGACGGGTGGTGGGATCTTGCTCGAGCTTGCTACTGGGGCAGTGATGGAGACAGCCTCAGAGGTGTCTTCTGGACCTGGTTTGGAGGATGTAGAAGGCTCGTCCCGATCGCCTCCGGATTCCAGCAACTGCAAGAGATCCACCGACGAAGCCGCTAGCCTCCACAAACTCTGATTCGATTCTCTCTTCTTCTGAACATCCGCCTTGTCGCTGTCTCCCCGCTCATCATCCCTCATATACTTCTGGGGAGCTCTGATAGACGATGCCGAGGAGGACGGGGCTGGGTCGGAATCGTCAAGGTTGATGAGAGGGCCAGAGACGCCATATCGGAGCTTCTCAACCTTGGCTATAGGAGGTTTGGGAGGTGATGCAGGGACAGGCGCCACAACTGTTGGAGTAGGCTTCGGGACCGCCAAATCCCGTCTTCTGAGTGCAGCTTCCCTGCTGGGAGGAAGATCACCCATTCGAGCGTTCTCATCCTTCTTCCCCGATCCCGCGAGGTTTCCCTCGCTTTTCCGTCTCCCCACCGTCAGCTCATCCTCTGGCTTGCGCGCCGCAGCCTCAGCTTGCGACACGCTAGCCCTGGCACCCCCGAGCACATTCCCACTAGACTTTGATCTGACATGCGCAGGCGTGGGGATTTGGTTTATCTCGGGGGACGAAGCCCATGCCGTCTTTTGAACCAACGGACGTAGCGTCTCTGGCTCCTTTCTCCCAGCCTTTTCAGAAGGCTTCCCTTCGTCTTTCGGTCTGATAGCAGTCACCTCCTCCTCCCTCGGCACCAGCGTACCCTTAGGCGGTCCATAAACCCTCGAAGGCGCTTCTTCCACCTCTTCTTCCTCTCTCACCTCTTTCTTGTAGGCAGGCGCTTCAGTAGACCAAGGTGTACGCGGGCTGGAAGCAGCTACAGGACTCTTCTCGCCCATCTCTGTACTCGTCATCCTCTTTCTTTCTTGGGCTGTGTTGGCCCATTCTTTGCCCTTCTTTTTGGACTTTTTAAGTTTCTTTGGTGAAGGGATAGGGGCTGGTGCTGGATCAGGCTGTACTGGGGCAGGAGGAGGTGTCTGGGGTCGAGGTTCTGTGGGTGTAGATGGAGGAGGGGTATGGGAAGGTGGAGGGGGCGAAGGATTGGGAGGCTCGACGGCTGGAGAGATGACCTCACCAGCATCCTCTTCCACCGGCGCTACAGTCTCTTGCTCATCTGAAGCGACAGGTGGCTCCTCTATCGCAGGACCCTCAGCGACAGGAAATTGAGGCTGTTCAGCCTCGACCTCCTCCCCACCTTGCCCCTCCCCTACCCCACCCTCCCTACCAAGCTTCCTCCCCCACTCCCTCTTAACCCTCTCCTCAAGCGTATACCCCGCCAACAAATCCGCATTCCACATCCTCCTATCCTCCCTCTCCTGCTTCGTCATCCCATCACCCCCATCAGCACCATCGCTTCCCGCATTTTCATCCTGTTCAATGATGGGGCTTATACCAGACTGAGATCTACCTGTTGGGGCGGGAGATGGGCCTCTGGGGGGGTTGACGCTCAAAGAGGGAATGGTGAGGTTTGGTGTTGGGGCAAGGAAAGGGGATGAAGGGGCGCTTTCGTATCTCGTCGAAGCCGGTGACGCCGACCGTTCTGTCGAGCTGCCTCTATGAGATCGCCGTGAAGCAGTGGGCGGTATCACAAGCGTGGGCGGAGCTGGTTGGTCTTCAGAGGTAGCCCCAGTACCAGGGGCAGGGGCAGGGGCAGGAGAAGGTGTCAGGCCAACTGCTTGTTCCCACGTCGGCGGTGGCGACCTTGCTCTACCTCCTTCCCCTCCATCGGCTTGTGATCCAGCATCTTCCTGGCTCAAAGGCGAACGGGCAAAAGCTGGTGGAAGACGGGCGGTGGCAGCATTCGGAAAGGGGAACGGCGGTGGCGGTTCTCCCGACTCTTGAGTCATTTGGTCTGGTATTTCTATTCCCATGCATCAGCTTCTGGATTACCAAGAGAGTACTCGAGGAGGGCTTACCATCCCATACGTTCCTCCGCCGCATACTAGCTCCCCTCGCCACACCCAACGCCCTCCCCTCCTCCCGACTACTCACCGTTACCCTCCTCCTCAACCCCTCTTCTTCCTCCCCTCTCACTATCCTCCTCCTCCTCCTCGCCGGCGCTGGATCTTGTTCCGCCGCAACAGGGTCCGACCCCAAGATCGTCGCCAAATGACCCAGAGACGTTTGACTAGGGTTTCCAGTAGGAAGATCTTGCAGCCTCGTTTGGCTTGCTGTACCGCCCGCATGCCTTCCGAGCCGATCTTCACCTCGCCGGCGGTCTCGAAGTTGCTGGTGTTGGACTCTAGGCGCTGCTGGGACGCCTCCGGGTACGATACTCGGCGGGGCCAACAATCCTTGAGCATACCGGCTTGCCTTCTTCTTCTTCTGCCCCCTCTCCCTCCCTGACCCGCCTGATCCTACCGCTGCACCGCCCAATATCTGCGCAGAAGGCCCCTCTTGAGGCCTGGTAAAGCTAGACGGAAGCACCATTTCCGCCAGCCTGTTGTGCGGGGTATTCGATATAGGCGACGGTGCTCTGGCGAGGTATGGTCTCGGAACCGGGCGGAACTCTTGCAAAGAAGACGGACCTGGGACGGGCGAAGGTGAAGGAGGCAGGGGGGAGGGGGGACGTTTCTTCTTGGGTTTACGAGCAGCTGCGAGGGGTAAGTCTGAGGTATGCGGTAATGCCAAGGGACTTACGGCCCGCTGGGGTCTGTGGGGTGGTCAGCGAGTGGCGAGTGGATGGGGATGGGGCTTACCCTGGCTCTTGGAGTGGACTCCATTGTCTACGCAGAGGGTATACGAATTCGAGTAATTGTGGCAATTGTAAGAGAAGAGTCAACTTGGTACACTGCCATTTGCGTCATAGAGTCCCGCACATGGCCACCGCCGCCGACATGCTCTCAAAGCCCCTCTCGGCGCTCTCAACACCATCCAGGAAGCTCAAGAGATCTATTGACATGGCCAGTGGATGGCAGGGAGAGACAATGTAATGTATGCAAGCACAAAATTCATTCATACTCTTGCTTTTCGGCTACATGGCTTCAAATTTACTTCTTCTCCTGTCCGTCGACAACCTGCTGCTGCTTGTCCTAAATACGCGTTTTGTCAGCGCTGCATTTGACGGGCATTGAGCAAGCCGACTTGGGCCGGCTGTCATGGGGTTGGAAGCCCGAACGGCTGAACCCTCGCCCAAATCATCCACCGACGCCCAAAGAAGAAGAATGCAACTTACAACCTCAGCCTGAGCAGCCTTAAGCTTGGCCTGAGCAAGCTTGAGCTTCTCAGCCTCGTGCTGCTGGACGTATTGGGCCTCCTTGGCCTGCTCACGGGTCCTACAAGGCAAAACGGTAAAATGTCAGCTCGGCATCTTTTCGCGAGGAGGCAGCTAGCCAGCAACAACCACAAGGGTACGATGGATACATGTGGCGGATGTACCCAGGCGGAGAGATAGAAGGGGACGTACTTGAAACCGGTAGAGCTGGCGGTGGCACCCTCGCCCCTGACGTCGGGAGAGTAGTATCGGGCAAACATGGACTGCGTTGTTACAATTGGGAGAGAGTAATGGTTATTGGTTTACGAGTGGCAATAGACAAGGCAAACGTCAGGACTCATTCTTATACACCCCTCTGCGCGCCAAATGACAATCCTCCCACGCCAACGAATCACATCCCCGACTCCCACCCCTGTCCCCCCTCCCTCTCACCGACGGATACTCACAGCAGGGGCCTTGGAGACAGTGACTCGGGCGGTGGTGGCGGCTCGGACGGCGAACATTGTGGGATGCTGTTGGATTGTAGATGCAAGAGGACAAGAGGGGCTCGAGGAGTGACGACGGAAGCGAGAACTGCATACGTAATCAGTTTCGGAATAGGCGCCCAAGACGCGCACCTACTTGCGCCCATCTCCTCTTACATTCCTGCATTCCACAACAACGCTATGAAGCGGGCAGCGCAAGATATGGATACGAGAGACCCCAAGAGGCACAAGGCGGAGCATCAGGAGGAGGGGGGGGAGGGGGATAGGCTGGTAGAGCTGGATAAGCGGTATTCGGTGAGTCGGTCGTTCCGATTCCGGCTGGGGCAGCGCTGATATATTATGGCGCAGCAACTGGTCATGCAAGCAGCTTTGGTATTTCAGTATACTGTGTTTTCGCGGAGAATGCAAGTCGACTCATTGGGTATGGTTCTATGCTGACCAGGAGATGCAGAGGACTGCAGAATGCCGAAGCACCGATACGTATGACTCGCCGTCTGGAACAATGCTGGAGATCCTACGAAGGTTTAAGAAGACAAATACAATGGGACCCTGTACGCCCCAACACCCACCGTTCTGAAAAGTGGCTGACAGATAATCAAGGCCATGGGCGAGAAACCGAAATGCCTCCAAGCCATCCCTCCAATCCCTCTCCCTAAATCAGTCACCCTCGCATCCTTCATCCCCGCCCCCGCCCCCATACTCAAAAAATCGTCTTCCCCAGAACTACCCCAAGAGACCAAGACGGAGGTCGTACAACAAGTCGAAGTCAAAGCGGAACCCGCAGGAGGTGAATTGCACGCCCCTTTACCCCTCCCTGCGCACCTCATCTCCGACTCGCCTGCAGGACTCGCGAGTACAGCGTCGCCCGTACCTCTCGGCGCTGCGAGTACGAATGCTTTTCAAGGCCAAGCTTTGCGTGAAGCCGCGCCCATCACCGAACCCCAGGCGCAGGCGGGGGCCGGGGCCGGGGCTGGGAGTCTCGATTACGGTAGTATGGGTTTCAACGAGCTTTCCTCCTTGATCAATGGAGATCCCTCGGCATTCGGTATCCACCTAGACGGTGTCGGTGGTGTGGGTCAGCCAGAGACAAGACAAAGTCAACAACCCCAAGTCAAGCACGATGTGATAGACCTCACTTCCGATGACGATATCATCCCCATCCAAGCACCCGCCCCGAAACTCTCTCGTGCCACATCACATACACAACCCCGAGCCTCTCCCAAATTATCCAATGAAACGTATCAACAACAGCAGCAAGCTGCTAGCAACGACATCCTCGCTTCGTTGGGTTTCAGCGGCCAAGATGCGCCCGAAGCGTCCTCGGGGAATGCAACAAGGGAGAACGTCATGAACTTTGATCTTGGAGGGAGTGGAGAGGACTTCTCGGCTTTGGCTGGGTTGTTCCAAGGGCGCGACGCCGGACCTGGTGGCAGTGGAGGGCAAGAAACCCAGCCCCAGCCCGCACCCACCATCCCCACTCAACCATCCGCCCCTCCCTCCCAAATCCCAACGCAAACCCAACCCATCCCCCCCCAAGACCCTCCTCCTCCCTCCACCGCTTTAGCAGAGGCAGAGAAAGAAGACCAAGCCGAAGGCGGGGGTATGGGCGGGTCGTTGGAAGACCTGTTTGCAGAGGCAGACGGGCTTATATCGACTATCCCTGTCGAAGAGGACGTCCTCAAAGCTGAGGAGCAGCCTTCGCAGACTTTGTATCAGGCTCCTGTTCCTGCGCAAACGCAGCCTCAGGCGCAAGTGCCAAGCCAGCCCTCGCAGACCCAGACCCAGACCCAGACCCAGAACCAAAGCCAGCAAAACGCACCGAGCACAAATCCCCCCAACCAAATCTCACACGACCCCCTCCTCGGCATGTCGCTCGACATATCCAATATGGGCATGGGCAACATGGACATGTCGTCCCTCGGTGGAAACTTTGGTATCGGCCAAAGCACCGGGATGGGCGGAGACAATCTGAATGACATGTCTATGGACACCGGTATAGGCATGGACATGGGTATGGGTATGGGTATGGGGGGTGATTCGGGGTATGGTGAGATGGGAGGGATTGATATGAATGATTTCAACTTCGGGGGAGGGGACGGGGGGGATGGGGGGAATATTGACGGGGAAGAGTTTGAGAGGTTGATGGCAGAGTTCCAGTAGAGTGTATTTTTGTCTGCTTGCTTTTGTCTTTGTGCGTTTATCTGCTTTGCTTCAGGTGCTGTTATGCCATTTGTAAGACGTAAAACTGTATCATATAATGTATATCTTGACTATTGTTCACAACGGTATACAATTGCTCCTACTCCTCACCACACCACACCCCTATCTTCCCTCTCCGCATCATCCCAAGCCCTCCCCTCTCCCTGATCACCCACATACCCTCCCTCACCTCCTCCTTCCCGCTCACAGAGCCCACATTTCCTCCCCAAACTCATCCTCCCTCCAAACTCTGCCATATGCCCCTGCGCCTGGTGGATATTGTACAGCATGAGCCCGGGTTCGGTCCGCGGGTCGGTAGAGATGAGCAGGATGAAGGTATTACGCGTGAGCGGCTCGAGAACGACGGTGCAGTCTTCGAATTTACACTCGAACCCTTGATACTGCTCATGATTGCGTTGACACACTTTCCGGAAGCCCTTGATGATTTCAGAGATCTTTTCAAACCTCTGCGCATCCAGCTCTTTGACCCCATTCTTCATCTCGACCTGGTCTAGGTCGCTCGGATCGCAGTCGAGCGGACTGCCGCTCTTTGCGATGACGAGGAAGGTTTCGGCTTCGAATAGGACGGCTTCGACGGAGAGACAGAGGTCGCGGAGATAAGTTAGGTGGGAGGTTATGAGGGAGATGTTGGGGATGAGGGTGTGGATGATTGAAGACCATGCCTGTATCTTTATTAGCACAGACTGGACAGAAAGCAGGGGACTCGCCTTGTACAACGTCTCATCCCAGATACTCGTCGGATAACACCTCACCCCCCTCGCGCCCTCCCCCGTCTCCTCCCCAACCCTCGCATCCACCCTCCCCAACTCCTCCTTCCTCTGCTCATACCCCCGCCTCTTTGGATCCTCTTTGTCCGTCAAATCCATCTTGTTGATCAAACACCATACCCCAGCATCTGGCGAGTTTTCGCGCAGGGCGAGCAGGATCTCTTCGAAATAGGACAGGTCGGACTCCCATTCGGGGGTGGTATTGTCGAATACGTAGATGAGGACGGCGACATTGGAAAAGATGGTGTCTTTTTGGGAGGAGAGGTAGTTGTCGACAAAGGCGGATTGGCCGCCGCAGTCCCATAGGTTCTGGATAGGGTTAGTGCATAGCGCTTGTTGTTGTTGGATGCCGTACCAGGACGAGACCACCGAGGAAGCGGACTGCCGACTGCTCGACATCGATTGTAGCTCCTAATCGTCTCGTGTCTTTTGCACTGTAGTTTGAGCTTTCTGGGCATTAGCATTGCACTGAGCATTAGCCTTGTCACCTACAAGATGACGGAACGCATGGAAGTCTTGCCGCTCCCTAGGGCCAGGTCAGTAGGTGACAAGACATGGTTAGTAGTGGGCGATGCATACCTGACTTTCCCATGAGCAGGACCTGAGGGGGTCAGCGGGGCCATGGGCATGGGGGACTCACCTTCTTCCTCGCTGCCTGTGCCATGGCTGGTGATTTGAATGGAGATGCAAGAGAAGAAGCCTCCACCATTCCCGCGTCATCTCCTCTATCTTTCAATTCACTCCTTGCATTCGCTATACTTTTCAGTTTTCTCGGCCGACTCCACAGGCTCACAGGGCTTATCCTACAGACGCCCGGGTCTGTTCTCGTGCTTGCCCCCCCGCCTGGATACCCGCCATGGTCGTCCTCACTACTCGGAACCGCAAGCGTGCATGGTTTCTCCTCACCGCCACTGTCTCAATTCATATTATCCTTCTCACCGCCACCCGCCGGCTGAGCGATAGAAGATTCCCCAAGGGTGGCGGTCTCATCAAGCGGTTCATTGATGACCACGATGCAGTGAGTCCGCATCCACCCCCTCGGCACAAGCTGACGACTTCAGTCTGGCCCGCTCGACTTTCCCTATATTGAGTGGTACAACGCCCTCCCCCCCGCATGGCGGCCCTTCTTCATCATCCTCCTCCTCTGCATACTCACTTTCCTTTTCTCCTTTATTGGTATCTCCGCCTCCGATTTTTTCTGTCCAAACCTCGCCACTGCTGCCGCCTACCTCGGCCTGAACGAGAGTACAGCAGGTGTGACGTTTCTGGCCTTTGGAAACGGCAGTCCAGATGTGTTCAGTACATTCTCAGCTATGAGCAATGGGACTGTTGGACTGGCTGTGGGCGAGCTCATCGGTGCCGCTAGCTTCAGTAGGTCTTTTTCCTTTCTCGGAACTCTTCGCTCACACGTCCCAGTTGTATCCATCGTCGTCGGCTCCATAGCCTTCATCGGACCCTTCAAAGTCCCCCGCCACGCCTTTCGCCGCGACGTCGCCTTCTTCACCATCGCGGTCCTCGTCCTCATCATCACCCTCCACGACGGCCAGCTCACCCTCTTTGAATCTGGCGGTATGGTCGGGCTGTATCTGCTGTACGTCGCGGTGGTGGTGAGCGAGAACTGGTGGAAGAAGAGAAAGAGACGGTGGATTTTTCTCGGTAAGAGACGAGTGACACAGTCGAGGGAAAGCAGTGGCGATACGGCAAAGATTCTAGCTTCTCTATCGCCTCATCCAGAGCCTGAACGCCCAGCACCTGTGCCCATCACCGACCATGATTCCACATCCTTGTCTCCCGCCGTTTCTTCCCGCCGCCGCTCGCACTCCAGCTCCCACCTCCTCACCGCACGCCACCTCGACCCCCTCGACACCCCCACGCCCCGCGCCAACATGTCCCTCCTGGGCGCTATCGAATTCCGAGACGTCGTCAATTCTCTCCGCAAAGAAGGTGGCTCAATTTATTCTGGCCGGAGCTCGCGGTCGGCGAGTCCCACAGGCACAGTGACGCCGAGAATGACAGGCCGCGAGAGGGGAGATTACTTTGGGAACCTCGGACATCGACGGTCGAGCTCGCATACCTTTGGCCGTGGCGGTCCCGGCACGCCTGGGGGGTCTTCCAAGCGGATACAGTCCAACAGCGTGCGTCGTGGTTCGAGTCAGATGACGGATCAGTCACCAGAGAGGGATAGGAGGATGACCCTGCCGACTCGCCATTCGCACCAAGGTGGATCGCCAGCACCGGTCGGTCTCGGGATTTCCAACGCCCCCGAATCGAATCCGTGGCATGACCAGCCAGGTAACCCACCCACGCCTTCGCCCCAGCTCCAGCTCCCTCCCACATCTCCGGCAAAACCCAGTCTAACCAAGCTGGTGATACCAGGCGACAACATTGCCGCGCGAGAAGTACCTTCCATCTCCGTCCTCGACCCTTCCGGCCAGACCGCATCCCCCATACCCGCTTCTCCACCTCTGACTTCCAAGCGAAAACGCGCTTCAAAACACGTCCGCGCAGCTCTGAAAATCCTCTTCCCCTCCATGCAATCTTTCCGCCACAAATCCATCCTCGGCATGGTACTCGCCATCATCACCGCCCTCCAAATTTTGGCGCTGACGTTGACGCTGCCAGTGGTGGATGATGGGCATGAGATGGAGGAGGGGGAGATACAGCTGGGTGAAGGGGAGGGGCTGCCGTTGCATGATTCTTCTGGGTCTGATGGGGAAGGAGAAGGGGAGAGTGATGGGGAGGAAGGGGGGGATGAGGATGATGAAGCCGATAGGCTTCTGAACCCCCATGTCGGGGAAGAACTGCATCATCTGGTCGACCACGGCTTCTCTCCGCTCCATTCGCCTCTCGGCAGAATTCATCACTCTGCCATGCGCAAGATGGGGTATCACCCGGAATCTGGGGGTCTGAGTCCCGTCAGGAGTGAAGAATATGCTGAGGGAGAGGGCGAAGAGCACCTGGATGAGACTTATGACGACGTGGAAGGCAGCGATGGGAGGAGAGAAGAGTGTGAGGGTGCTTTAGAGTTCAAAAAGTACCTCACAGCCGTCCAATGCGTCCTGGGACCATTATTCTGCTGCTTTATCACTTTCAGTGCGTTGCTTCTTCTCCCTTTTGCGCCAAGCTGACATTCTGCAAGACGGTCTGTCATCATTCAAGTGGATCGCCCTGGGTACAACCCTTGCAGGCCTGATCGCCTCCGTCCCCGTCATTCGATACGCCTCGGACGGGACAGCCCAGCCTTGGAGGTTGGTGAGGTGCTTCTGTGGGTTCACGTGTAGTATGGTGTGGATTGCTGCTATTGCGGATATGGTGGTTGATGTTTTGGACGTGAGTCTTCTTTTATCGAAGGTTGGATTTGTACTGATGAGTATCTAGACGGTGGGCGAGATCCTCGGGTTGAGTGACGCCATTATCGGCCTTACCAGTACGTCCCCTCAGCTACCACCAACGATCCAACTGACCGTCTATAGTCTTCGCCGTGGGCAACTCTCTAGCCGATCTCGTCGCAAACGTCACCGTTGCCCAATTCGCCCCTACCATGGCCTACGGCGCCTGCTTTGGCGGCCCCATGCTCAACCTCCTCCTCGGTATCGGCGGATCCGGATCATACCACATCATCACCTCTACCTCGCACAAGCCCGTCTCTGTCGACTTTTCACCAACACTATGGGTGTCTGCCACGGGGTTGGTGGTAATTCTGCTGGCGACGGCGGTGTGGGTACCAGTGAATGGGTATGTAGTTGATAAGAGGTGGGCGGGGTGTTTGATTGTGGCGTATGTGGTTTTGATGAGTGTGAATGTTGGGGTAGAGCTCAAAACGGGGAGGAGCTAAATCACTGTATCTTTACAAGTTGTAACATAGAATCTTGGCCATCTTCGGCAATCACATGTCAGTTTATAATGCATACATTATCCATCTTCCCATTGTCAAGTATCATACAAATGCAATATACAAGAGTCCCATCGCTACTCTACCGGGGAGGCATCGCAGTAGGTATAATCTTGATACCATACCCAGGCGTTGCACCTCCTCTCGGCGTCCCCACTCCATTCATCTGACTCGGCAAGCTCCAAGCAGCATTCCCTCCTTCCACATATTCCTCCACATCATCATCCGACCCCTCTTGCACCTCATCATGTCTACTCGTATCCTCCACCTCCACCCTCACTCCACCTTCATCCAAAATAACCTCCTTCCCATCATCGCCCCTGCCTTTATTCAGCTGAAGAGCTTCAAGGGCACGTTGGAGGTCTTCAGGGAGGATGTTGCGATTGGGAGCATCTTCTGCTATGGGTTCCCAGCCTTCGGGCGGGGAGCCGGGAGGAGAGATGAGGAAGTTGTGGGGTAATGGTGGAGGGGCGAGGTGGGTGGTGGCGGGGTCTGGATGGAGCTCGGTGTTTGGCAGATAGAGCAATCTAAGCATGAGTCTATAGCCTCGTCAGACAATGGTACACGTTGCAGACCGAGCATGCTCACTCCTCTTCCTTTCCATGTTGACTGCCTTCGCCACCTACAGGCACCTCCAACTTGAGCCAGTCTCCTTCAGCCTTGGCCGCCTCGGCTTCTTCCTCGCTCTCGAATACTACTATGACTCTGCCGAATCCTCTCACAGGGGCCCAGTGGGCTATACGCCCGAATTGTTCATAGTGGGCGCGCAAGAGGGAGAGGACCGGGGGCGAGAAGAGGTTTGGGTGGGGGAGGAGGAGGGCGAGGGTGTTCGTGGGGTCGTGGAGAATAGTGGAGGAGGCTGGGGGTCGTGCCATCGCTGTAATGTATGCTGTTGTTCGAGAAAGAAAGACAGTTGACACTTTGAGATGCTGAAATGCGATGAAGAGAGGCTCGAGTGCCCTTCGGCCATGTCCGCCGGGAGAGGTGGAGGCGCATCTATACATCTTTCTCCTTTTGTACACCACAGCCATGTCTGACACAGCCCTCATCATCGTCGACGTCCAGAACGACTTTCTGCCCCCGAGCGGGTCTCTCGCAGTCCCAAATGGGCGAGCCGTACTGCCCGTCATCGAGGAGATGTTGGGTCCCGAATGGGAGTGGGGCCTCGTTGTAGCTAGCCAGGTCAGTCCCTCCCACAAGTCCCCAATTCGTCTCTGAAGGAGTATAGGACTATCACCCGCCATCCCATATATCCTTTGCTTCCTCCCATCCGCCTCACCCGCCATTCTCAGAGCTCGAGCTGCCAAAACACGATTCCCGCAACGCAACTTACACCCAAACCCTCTGGCCTGACCATTGCGTCCAAGGAACGCCTGGAGCAGAGATAGAAGCGTCTTTGGGTGAAGCTTTCAAAAAGAGAGGAGGGGTGAGGTTGGTAAGGAAGGTAAGTGAGATGTGGAAACTTTGCGAGCTCTGTGCTGACCTAAGGTGAAGGGTACGGACCCCAGGATTGAAGCATACTCGGCCTTTGAAGGCGAGGTCCTATCCGAATCATACCCCGCACCTCCTGACGCCGAGCCCCCCAAGAGAGTACCCAATGGTCCATCCGCCTTGACCGACTTTCTCAGAGATTCGGATATAGAGAGAACGGTAATAGTCGGCCTGGCTACCGACTATTGGTACGTCCTTCTCCAACTGCTGTAGCTCATGGCTGACACGATCATGCTAGTGTCAACCAAACAGCCATCAGCTCCATCCTCTCCGGCTTTTCGACCGCTCTCCTTACTCCCGCCATGCGGGGCATCTCTCCAGAAGGCACTGCCGCCACCTTGACCGCACTAGAGGGAATGGGTGGTGCCATCATCGGGCGAGACGGTAACGGAGAGGGGTGGCAATTCCAACTGCACGAATGGCTCAAGTAGCCTCAGTCCATGCAGCACGATATCATTCAACGTGTTGTTATAAGGGTTTTAATTACATAGATCCAGATCTACGAAATACCATCCTACGTCCCTACAAGAAACAGTAGTCTTTCCCCGTCCAGCGAGAAAAGTTCACCCCAACAAAAAATCGTCCTATGCAAAAAGATGATACGAGCTGCTCTCGCCGTAAACCGGTACGGAAAGCTAATGGAGATGGCCCCTCGAAAAGATTAATAAGTTCAAGATGAAACCCCATGTGTTTGATTTGTATAAACAGATGATTGTTTTTCAAAAACCCATTTTCAGAACCATTCTCGTTGATCGACAACAGAGCAAAGGCTTCTCTCTTCTTCCGAGTTGTTTCTCTTTCCCTGCTAGCAGGTCCAGCCTCGATCGTCGGGCCTCCTGCTGTGATGTACGCGGTACAAGGACGCAGGAGACGACGAGAGGAATTGAAAGACGAAAACAAGGAAGAGAAGGTAGGTTGAAGAAAAGAGAAAGATGCTATACGACAATTTATCCACAAAAATGAGGCGTTCTCAAAACCCTAGTAAAAGAAAATCATGTCAAACAAACAAGAAAAGTACACCCGAATCGCCTTAGACGGAGACAACACCCCTAGCAGCGTGGGCCATGCCCATACCAGCCCTCCTGGACCTACCTCCGTGGCTAGCATGGAGTCGCTTGGTCGTCTGCGCTCGGGGAGCAAAGGGAATGGCATCCCTCTTGCTGCTCACGCTGGTAGACCCAGAGGCACCAGCCTTGAATTGGTCGTAGACGCTGGTGTGGTAGGTGGAAGGCATGCTGGACCAAGCGGCGAGGATGGTGTCATAGTCGTCGGTGCCGACGTTGACGTTGAAGGAACCGTGGTTCCAAAGACCCCATCGACCCATGTTGACGGTAGAGTGGGCCCAAGAGAGCCAAGAGAGACCCTGGCCGTTGGCCTGGTTGAGGATGTAGTCGAGGGTGTCACTGCCAAAAGTCAGCTGTGTACTCTTAGGATTGCAGAACAACTTACCCGTCGGCCATGAATTCACCAAGAAGAGTGGGGATGCCGTAGCCGGACCAGGTGTCAATGTACTGCTGCACACCGCTGGCCCACTGCTCCCTGTTGGAGTCGAAATCGGAGCCCATCATGTTGTACTCGTGCATAGAGTAGATGACGTTGGTCCAGCCGTAAGTGGAGGGGTCGGTAGATATGGACTCGTGCTATAAATCGTCAGCGCTGCTCACACAAAGCTCAAGAGACTTACAATGATGATACGGTCAGAGTCGACAGACCTAACAGCGGTGTAAAGGTCCTGCTGGAGGTAGTCACCGTAAGAACCAGTAGGCTCGTTGATCACATCGTAACCAAAGATGGCAGGCTCATCGATATAGTGCTCGGCGACCTGCCTCCAGATCTCCGCAACAGCCGCACGCTGGCTGGCACCGTCGTCCGTGTTCTCAGAGATGGCAGAGTAAGAATCCTCCTGTCCGGGCCACATGTGGAAGTCGACAATGGTGTAGATACCACGGGCCTTGGCGTTGGCGATAACCCAGTCCATCCTGGTGAACGCATCGTCCCTCCAAGAGCCGTCGGCATTCTGTACAGTTCGGAAAGAGAAAGGAAGACGGATGACGTTGAATCCAATCTCGACGAGCTCGTCAAAGTCGGCGTCGGTGAGCCAAGTGTCGGCCCAAGCCTCAACAAGAACTCGAGCCTGGTCGGTACCGAATCGGTTCTCAAGGGTAGAAAGAGAGAATCGGTCGGAAGATCCAGTGTCGTCGGTGATACCGCACATCCAGTCTTCAAGCACCAAGTAACCACCAATGTTGGTACCCCTGAGGACAACAGTGTTGCCGTCAGAGTCGACAATATTGGTACCGCTGGTCTGAAGCTTGCCAGAAGACATGCTGCCGACAGAAGCAGTGGCAGAGATGGCAGAGGTGGCAGTGGTAGCGGTGGCAGAGGCGGTGGCAGACGCCCCCCAAGAGTCGGTAGAAGAAGACGAGTTCCAAGCGTCAGAAGCACTGGCAGTAGCAGTCACGTTCCAAGGATCGCTGGCAGTAGAAGAGGCAGTCTCCCAAGGGTTGGTCGCAGAGGAAGTGGCAGATTCCCAAGCGTCGGAGGAAGAGTTGGAAGCCGTCTCCCAAGCGTTGGAAGAGGACGCGGTGGCGGAGCCCCAAGCATCAGACGAAGAGTTGGAGGCAGTCTCCCAAGGGTTGGTGGCAGAAGCAGTGGCAGAAGCCCAGGCATCAGACGAAGAGTTGCTAGCAGTAGGCTCGGAAGAGTTGAACGACCATCCGACAGACACAGAGGCGGTGGCAGACGCCCAAGCATCGGAAGTGGTAGTAGCCCACCAGTCGTCAGAGCTGGAAGTAGCGCTCTCGGAAGCACCGGGAGCCAAGAGGTTGCCACCAAGAGAGCTGTTGGTAGAAGTCGCGTTGGCAAGGTCAGAAGAGAGGGTGGCGGTAGAGTTGAGCGAGTACGAGGCAGACTCGGTGGCGTAAGACGCGTCAGAGTCGGTCACAGAGGCGGTCTCGTTGACGAAAGACTGGGTGGCAGACGCGGTCTCGTTACCGTAAGACTGTGTGGCAGAAACAGTCTCGTTGGCGTAAGACGCGGTGGCAGA